GCCCCCAGGCAAACGAAAGCCTTACCTCTTACGGCGCAACCAAACGCCATTTCGTTGTGATGTCCCATGAAATTTGACCTCAAGCTGTGCCCTGACGGTTCTTTCAAAGGAACCAATGGCTCTTCACTACATCACCGCTCCCACAGCTGAGTCTGATGTTACATCAAGTTAGTCATGACCAGGTTGGTCGCGGTCGTGCTGGCTGCGACCACGGGCGACCGGCGAATTCTGTGTCGACGTTGCTGGGCGTCATTGACACACTGTGCTGAAAACAAAGAACACCACCTGAGGACCTGCAAGCACAACCATCACCAACTAGTTCAAATGCGTCGAGCAAACAAAGAACTCCTCTTCGCAGGCCGAGCGGCTCTTGCCGCCGTTGCTCAAGCTCCAGTCTGTAAGCCAGGTCACGACAACAGCATTCACAATGATGACCTGGGCAACGTCCGCAATATGCACTAAAACAAACATGAAGGGTATAGCTCAGAACTAGAGACCAAGTGGACCAATGGAATTGGCCAGGTCCCTTCCACCAACTGAAGGGCCCAAGTTGTCTGCACGGCGAGATGCGAAGGGCTGTCTCAACAGGACGCTGGCCCCCGGCCTGAGTCCCAAGTTTCCCAAGTTTGCCACAAGCTCATGGCCAAGTATATAAAGGGCCTGAGATTTGTGTTGCAATCAGCCTAAGAACTGTGCGGCTGTTTGGGATGGCGGGCAGGTCCCAAAGCATTTGCCGCTTGGATCAGGGAAGGCGTGTCTCAATACATGCCCCATTAGCTCCTCAAAGCTCAACATGCCAGCAGCGAGGCGCATAGGCATCACAAGCCCAGGACAATCACAGCATCTAGCCAAGAGCCAGGAATTGAACGTCAGCACTAAGTGCGGACTTCTGGATTAGTTGGGTGTGGGTTGGTCAAGTGCGATTTGGGTGAGCGCGATGCGGCTCGGCGAGTGCGTCCTTTCGTTCCAGACGCTTGGTTCACCCCCCCCCACTAATCCAGGACCAGTTGTAAGTGCAAAACATGACTCAGAACCACACATACATTTTGGGATAACACGCGCGCCTCGAATCAGGATCGCGAATATTCGATCAGGGTTTCTTGATAACTCAGCGCCGCCAGTGGAAGCAAACTAGCCTTTGAGCTCCTCCAGTTGTTTCGCAATTATGGGCTAGTTACTTCGCATACTATGGGTGTTCACGTTCGGACCGTGGCACGTGTCTGAGGATGACGTAAATTACAGTGATGCTGAAGAGGCATACTGCCCAGTCATGCATAAAATCACAAAGCGGTGTCTGTTGATACCTTAAAAGAAAGAAAAACAGACTGGTCCAAGCTGACTGGGGATTGGAAAATAGAGGTACTGTTCTTCAAGCTAGAGCAACTTCTCCAACAAGATGACAGATTGAAGGTTGCCCAATATCGAGGTATCTGGGAGCCCAGCCATCGCGGAGAAACTCTTGAAAGACCGGCCCTCGATGAAGTCTGGCAGCCAACCTTGGAAAAGGTCTGAGCATGGTGGCTTTGGCTCGAAATTGGCGGCGCAAACAGCTGCAAGGTACCCTTCACCAACGTAACATGTTGGTTGGACGCGTCGGCTGCAGGCTGACTGCTTCCTTTGCACGTGAGGCAAGTTGCTCAACCCCTGGATGTTTTGGTTTTTCAGGGGTCCTGTTATGCGACAAAGCCAACCGTCTCGATCATATAATTTGACACCCTCAAGGGTGTAAGACAATAGAGGTCAACGAGAAACAAGTCTCGTGGTCCTGTTCTTCTTGTTATTGCAGCTTCTGTGGCACAGCAATACTTCAACTACACGTGAATCTTGCTCGATCTGTACGGCATCTGCTATGAACTGTTCGACGCGCAATGTGCCCTTTCTTTGACCGGGCTGTTCAAAAAGGGGCGGAGGGCGCCCCGATGTTCTAATCCAACCTGTCGGGCTGTAGGGGGCAAACCAATGCCACTAGCCAGCACAGAGATTCACAAGGAGTCCCATACTGATTGCTGTGATCGTCACTTATGAATGCTTAGCACACCTTAGCACCGTGGAGATCCTGGCCGCCTATGTCACGCTTCACCCACCCCTTGCGAAGCATCAGAAGCGGTTCGCGCGCCTCTGCGGGGCGGTTCGGTGAGGCCGTCCCACCATTGCGCAAAGGAGGCGGCTGCAACGAAGAGCCTACAGGCAGCGGAGGTCAGCGGAAACTCCCCAGACCCCTAGTTCCACCGCAGTTGTCCTCGCAGCTCACTTTAAGAAACCGAGGCCCGGCCACGAAAATGATCCGCACAATGGGGATTCACCACGAAAAAGCGGTGGAATCCTAGCTCGAACTTGTTGTGCGCGCTCCCGCGCCGCAAAGCCCTGCTATTCCCGAACATTCCCCCCTGCCCTTGCCAGCAGATAAGCTCTCTCACGAAGCTGCCGAATCGAATGGGCATGCCTGGCTATGCAAGGCAATGTGGCACCTAGCAATGATGCTGCACTCTGGCAATTACGAACGCAAAAGCGCATGTTCGAAGTAGGCGTTGGCGGCAACAGGACGACAGCCTCTGCAATCTTGATGTCTCAAGTGCTGGCAGCTTTATGCTGAAGGCCTGCGGACCGAGGATAAGGATGTTGCTGGTGATGCTGGCGGCGGGCCCTAAGCAGCCTTCTCAAAACAAACGCTTCCCCGGGCCCTCGAAGAAGCATTCCCTATGGCCAAACTAAATGCCCTGGCCAGCGGTTGACTATCCCTGACGACGGGCGCAGCCGGGCTGACGGGCACAGCCGGATTGCTGGAGATGCTCAGAAAGTTGCCGCCAACCCTCCCCGCCGAGGTCCTCAGTGTAGAAGGGGTTTTGAGAGACGATGGCTGAAAGTCGCCCTTACAGCTCTAATGTCATCAAAGCTCGACTAGGCTTCTGCTCAGAACTCAGAACTGTTCTCGGCACGTGTTGGGCAGCAAACATCCCGCCACAGTTTGGCATCCTGTCAAACATGTGGCCTGGTCTCAGGATGCTGGGCTGAGACTAGCATTCTCGAGCACGCAAGCCGTACACAAAAGCATTTGCGGCTTTGTAGCTCCGAATGGCTCTCACATCATTTGGCTCGCAGCCCTCGCTAGAATGGGGCAAGGGCACTTTTTGCGCTGGGAGTTCTGTCCGCCAGGACTTGCGACTTTTGCGGAGCTGGTGCGTGACCGTGGGCCAGCTGGCCGGCATCTTTTGGCCAACTCGGGGGCCGTGTTGATTGGTTTCATGACGTGCGTAGAATGACGCGCGTAGGTACCGTTGCGTTATCACGAGTCGCACGAAGACAACGTCAAGTTGGTAGAGCATATCCCCAACATTCCCCAACCTAAGCATCGATGCCATCCTTTCCGACAACAGGCATGCACAAAACCCCTGGTCTTCTCGTGACCTCCCACTGCCTACCAAAATTGATAGGGGCTTTGAACACAAGAGTTTCCCACAAGGCCTCTGTCTGGTTTCACGTTGAGGAAGGGTGACACTTTGTGAAAACATGTATCGAATCTTCTCACAAGAGCCTGAGTTCTGCAAGCCTCCCGTTTGAGCTGGTCCTGGAGGTTCCTTCCGATTCTTTTACCATGTGATGGGCTGGCACGAGGATATCGTTTCAAGCCACGCCTTCCAAACCTCTCGCTGAAATCATTGATTTGACAAGAACCAGTTCCGGGGCCCAACAAGCAACTTCCCTCGCGGCACCCCGCCTCTCGGCTCTACTGATTTTGTGCTCCTCGTTCCCCGTCACTTTAGTCAAGAATCGTACCTCAAGCAGTTGAACACATTGGGTCACGATAAACCAAAGTAATCAATGCCTCGTGCGCGGTCCCATCCCGGTCGGAGTCTGGACCAAGGATTCCGCATAAGAGCACCTGGAAAGTCCTTGCTGTTGTCACGTTGCTCACGCTTTCTTGCTTTCCAGCCGCGGCCCAGGCAAGCCCAAAGTTATTAACACTCTGAGCCTCCATGCTTAATGAACACCCAGTGCAACAAATGTTAAAGTCGACGAATGCAACTGCCCTCTCTACGAAGTCTTGATCACCATACTTCACACCGTGGTTCTGTGGTGCCCAGATCAGCCAGGCCCGGCTAGTTGTGAGGGCTTCTGTGGTACCCGATCTTGTACAAGCATTTCGCAAGACCACAATTCGAAAAAACGGGAATTCATTGTGTGGTAGTGGATAACGTCATTTCTGAACGGCATGTTTGTGAGTGTGCCCTGACATTCCCTTTATTACTCTATTTTGTGAAGAATCGACCGCATTTTGGCTCCGCTGGCTTCCAAGAAACTGCATGTCGGGACACCCTGAATGCAACCAGGGCGGCCGTTCTGGTGACCATCGTCTCCGGAACATCCTCCCAATGGCAATGCGAAGCAAGCACATTGCCGAAACCAACAAAACCGGCTACCCCAGTTTACAGCCACAAGAAGACCACAAGCACCTCGAGATGGACTGGCAGAATGTGGAGGCGGGACCTTCGCCCGTCCTCTTCCTCCAGGTACTTCTTCAGGCCGAGTTTCATGCTGCCGCTTCCTCAATTCCACGCAATGGAGCAAGGAAAACTAGTTTCACATCCCCCCCCCTATTATTGGCCCGAGAGGGTCAGGACAAAAAAACATGTCTAAAAAGCGACATCTACGATCAAGCGACTGAATCCTGCGTTGAGGGCACCTCCTTGAGAATCAAACCAGTTCAAGCTTGTGAGCAAGAACATATGCGTTTACGGGAATGCGTCTCGCGGTTCTCACCCACAAATCTGCTGCCCGCCCGCCGGGGCCCAGGCGGTTTGGGGACAGCCCCAGTTTCTCCCGACTCTCCTCGTCCATTTGGGCCCTGGCCTGGGGCGAGAAGGGTCTAATCCGTGTGAGAGAGCCTTGAGCGTGGCTTGCCTTTCGCAGCGTCGACAAACGGTCGTTTGGAAAAGAACGAGCCAGTCAGTGAGAGCTGCGCGGGATTCCGACATGCGACGCTCGCATAGGGGGGGTTCTGAGGGCCACATAGGGGTTGCAAAAGGGCATCCCCAGGCCCTTTGGGTTCACAAACCCATCTTGAAATTCTGGAAGCGGCCACAGAGTGCAATCAGATCGAGAGTGTCTAGGTGACACGCCGAGAACATGGATTATGAGCATCGGTTTGCACTTCAACACATCATCCGCATATCTAGGAAAAAGCGCGCTCTGCAGCCAGCTCAAGAAACTGACAGGAACCCAAGTCCAAGATTGGCTTCAATGCCAGCTTCTTTGAAGTCAAGAAGATGGACCAACAGGGAGGTCCAAGAAACAAACATCTCCAGATTTTGCTTACTTCACCGCCTCAGGCTCCGAGAAGATGCTGTTCGTGGAGTGTGCCTGGTACATGGCCAGGTTCGCCTGCGCTGGGCAAATGGCCAGCAAAGAAGCCCGATCTTCCTAATCCCGGTCGGCGTGATTTTGAACAACCCAGGTCAGAAATCAGTGAGGAAGGCCTTTGGCCTAGTGTGTTCACTTCATTCACCCTTGGCCGCCATGAGGAGAAACAGGTACGCCCAGAAATTATCTCTTCAAAAACCACCTTCTGAGCAGAAACCCGAACCTTCCTTATCCTGGCCCCGCCTGAAGTGAGGACACGGGCCGAGTGGCCTGAGCCGCGGGCCGCTGGATCTTGAGCTCTAGCGGCCGCTCTTTGAGCTTCGGCAACAGCTCCGAGCCTTGCGCGCGTCGGACACCCGCTGAAGTGGAAGTGTGGGGGATGTCGGGTGAGGGCAAAAGGGTGAAGGGAGCACTTAAGCAGAACTGGAAAAAGACACCAGTGCAGTTTTCGGGAGACCGATATACGGTGAATCACACGAGGGATGCGTTTGGCATAATTCTCATAGTGGCTGGAATGCGGGGGTCCTCAGCTCTTGCTAGCGAAAACAGTGAAACCACCAGAGCCTTTCCATGCAATGCTTTAGACGAGCCATGCGGCGTTCTTTGCCCTCGGTCTCCATTCCGTTGATCTCAAGGATGACGTCCTCGTTCTTGAGGCCACCTCGAGCGGAGGGTGTTGCTTCTTTCTTGCCATGTCACTCATTCTCAACAACTTTTGCCTGGTGTGCAAAACGTGGTTTCTTCTGGAATCTCAACCTTCCGCTCATTGGGATTGTCGAAGCCATGTTGGCCAAAACTGCCCCTTAGGCAACAGCCATGGACATCGAACCGCCCTGACAGCTGGAACGCAAAGATGTGCAAAGCACTGTGGCAGCGTGGGCAACGTGTCTGAAGCGGTCGCCGTCTCGGGCTTCTTCTGGGCGTGGGCTGCACTCCGAGAAGCAGGCGTGTTCTGGCCACAAGTCTCTCTGTTTTAGACGGCTTTTTTCTCGGGCAATTCATTTACATGCTCAAACTTGGGTAGAGTGGCATCTCGCAGCTTGAATGCGTGGCACGGCTCCCGGAGACCGGCCAGTCTGGCGGCGGCCAGCCCAGGCTGGGCCAAGCAAGGTTGGAACACCGAGGTGCGATTCTGTGACTCACAGCGCGCATTGGTAGTGTCGCGTGGCAGAACATGGCCTAACCTACTTTGCGAACTTACGGATTTAGCTATCTAGGTGAAGCAACGGCTGTAGATCAACGAGATCAACGAATGATTTTTGCCAAGTATAGGCTGGTGGACTTAGCTAACTCGGCCAAGCAGCCCAGGAAATTAGCAACCCTGCCTGCCCAGCACAAATGCGCTGTCGCACGATTAGTACAGGCCCCCCCTTAGCAAAGGGTCTTAGAGCTTCCTTTTCATATTTGATTCAGCTGATTTCGTTTGCTGGACTTGGTTTTTCAGATTTAGTATTGCTGGCGCTATCTTTCGAGATTTTGATTGGAGTTTCGATTCGATTTAGTGTGTGGCCTACCATGAGGGGGGGGGGGGGAGGTCCTTCTGAATTCCAGGCGCGTTTATTTTCATTTATTTTTTTCACCCGGACCACCCGCTTGTCCTTACTCGAGGTGCAATGTTAATCCTACTTGGACATTATGCAGCGAACCTTCACGATCCTCATGAGGCTGCTTGCTATCAGAATGCATCATCGCCAATGTGATAACGCTGCGCGCCGTCTGTAGCATAAGGATGTTGCAAAAAACCAGTTGCACATACCCAAACATCATCATTAATACTGCCCCGACAGTATCATGATGCTGCTCACGTTGCTAGGATGCTGCCTGCGTATTTGGAACGCAGGATGCATTGCCACAGCCTCATCACACGTCATCACCACCACGATGTCCACATTTCAATGGTGCTACTCGAATTATCCTGACGGCGCCAGCCTCTCGCCGCGTCAGTTTGCTCATTGATTCTCCACCGGTTATAGTATGTGTATGTAAGAATGAGCTTGAATTGCGGAGAGTCAGTGTCAATACAAATTATAGTTGCATCGGCGGAACCGGCCGACATGAATGCATGCAGTTGCTTTGACCCGCGCAGATTGATGTAGTCTTTGAACAGAATCCTGCGTTCAAGAAACAGCCAGCTGAGCAGAGATGCAAGGGAGGATGTCGAGGATTCGGAGGATTGAGGGTTGGATGAGAACACCGTGCTGGGTGGTTCAAATATTAGAGTGGCATCCAATAGAGACCTGGATGCCTTGAATAGGTTCTGCTGCTTTGGTGTGTTCAGCTGTCATTTGATGTCGCGGTGTCAAAACATGTTGCAAAACGTGGGCGGTCAGACCATGAGGCCAGGGGAGACAAAAGAAAGCTAGTGTCAACGCACAGCTTCGGCTGACTTCTAGGGCAGCAGGGGAGGACCAAACGAGAAGAATAAACACAGTAAGATACAGGTGGTTCCTTGCTCGGACATTGCGAATCAAACGGGGCCAGGGAAGATCAGGGAAGAAGCGAGCAGCGTCTAGACGTCAGGTTGACTGCATTGTGCAGCGAGCTCGGAACCTGAGACTTTATGTCTGTGAGTTGTCTATCTGTCTGCCTACCTCTGTTTGCCTGTGTTTGATGGTCTTTGTGCTCGTGCTTTTTTTTCGTGCCTGTTTCCACCCCCCTGGAATACTCAGGTTTGTGCTCAACAGTTCACATTCTGCTGCAAAAATGAATGAATTATGCAGTGCAATCCAGGATGTGCTAGAACTTGCCAGCACCTATTAGTTTGTCGTAAGTATGGATGTGAAGAACTCTGAAAAAAAGTGGTCAAATAATATTCAATCTTCAATCCAGGATGTGCAAGCACGTGCTAGCATATCCTGGATTGCCCTGACTACATATTTGAAGAATGGCAGGAAGAGTTGTCAGAGAATCTTGAATCTTCGATCTTCAATCCAGGATGTGCTAGCACTTTCCAAGAATCAAATCGTGGGTGTGCACCGCCAGCAGTTCGCCAGGGGGAGAAGCATGTCTTGAAAACTTCAGTTTTTTGGGCAGCATGGCCACAACATCTGGAAGATCTTCAATCTTCAATGCGCGTGGGAAAACCTAAAAGAGTCTTAAACCAAAAAGACTGTCAAGCTTTTGCGGGCCAGGAATGACAAAAGTTGCAAACATACTTCTGTCGATTTTTGAAAACACGTCTCTGTTATTGGCTTGGCTCAGTTCTTGCTTGGCTAAAACCGCATGGAGTTAGATAAAACAAGTACAGTAAATCACCCCCTTTAAATTCCAGTTTGAACCGGGCATGACAATAGCTGCGTTCTCTAATATGTGTTGAAATTCACGACGGACTGCTAGCGGTTGAAGGTGAATTTAGTTTGCGCTCGACGGCTGAATCGAATTAGTCAAGCAACACACGTTGCTTTGCAAGTTTGCTTCAAACACACTGATTTATAATGTATTTGGACTTATGCACAGAAACATAGAATAACATGTGAATGCAACTGCGCAACAATATACAGCACTTTTACAATTGATTTGGATGTCAGCTGCAAGTGGGAATGAGTTCCTTTCCCCAAAGTTGATGATTTGCTGAATTTCCCTACCAAACAAAAATAATAAGACCACTCATGGAGCTGTTACAGGCACATTGATGCTGCCAAAGCATACTTCGCGTACTGCTCTTGTTTTGAAAAGGAACCTGCCTGGAGTTGCACATCCGGAGTTTCAAGCGTTTGTCACCCCCAGTCTGGCAAAAAAACTGAGTTCTGAGCAAAAAGCAGAGTATTTCAAGGGGGGGAAGCATGTGCACATATATATATATTTATATGATGTGTGTGTGTGCGCGCGCACCCATGCACCCCCCATGAGTTTTCTCCTGAGAGGACTGTTCTCACGTTCCACGCATACGTGCAAACGCAGCCAAACTCGGTGTCCCCTGACTGCTGTCCCAAGAGCATGCTTGGGCAGCGCTGCCCTCCTCGAGCATTTGCACGCTGGGCAAGGCGTTCCAGGCTATGCGGAAGCCCAGCTGCTCAACATCCGGCCCAAAGGTGCGGTAGAAGGCCTGCCATGGCCAACTGGGCCCAAGACCTCAACCCCTTGATTTGCAACCTCATTCAAAGTTGAATGGAGCAGCATGTCCACAGCCTGCAGATTTTAGAAGGAGCACTATGTGCAGATTCAGCCAGCAATTGAAAGCAGAAGCCGGGCCAACTTGAAGGCTCATTTCCACCCAGCGGCCTCAGTACTTTCGGCTTCCGAAGAGTCCTCTGGCACTTCTGCGCGTGGGCTCCCAACATCCTGCCGGTCTGCGAGGGGCTGGATGTGTCCACGCATGTTCGTGACCTCACCTTGGCCTCAAAAGCAGCCAAATGCAATGAGCAAGCAACTGGCATCCACGTCTGGTTTGTGTGCGAGCCTGTTCCACATTTTACTGCCACGCTTGTAGTTGCTTTGCTTGGAACCATGTAGCTGCAAAGGGTGACTAGTTTGTCCTTGGCCGTCAGCTGGTGTATGTGCGGCAGAAATGATATGTGCAAGCAGCTACATGACATCCACAAAGCAACCTTGCAACTGAAATCAAAGTCTCAGGCAGTTTCCACTCAACTCTATGAGCCAAAAACATGTAGGATCTGCAAACCGCCCCATGGACTGTCCTTGGGTTCCGAATGGATCTGCACCTTCTTCGGCCGCACCTGCGGCCAATCCAACTAACCCAACACTGCCACCCGAGTCTGCGGTCAGGCCTTTGACTTGCCAACTAAGCCTGGAAGAAGGCACCTCCAACACTGATGTGTTTCCTGCTGCCAACATCATGGTCCGCCTTGACCTACCGAATTGCCTCGGTTTGTCGTCACATTACCCAATAATGGAGCGTGTTCTGAAAGCTTGCTTGCTCCTACTTCATTACGAGGAATGTCTAGGCAAGCAACGCGCGATTGCAAAAGTCAGCGTGTTGCCGACGGGGCATTGAGTTGACCCCAGGCTTTCCAGAGGATTGAAGCGGGGGGTTGGGTACCAAAATAAATAAGCCACGAGGGCAAGGGATGAGGAAAGCGGAAAAACGTTCGCGGCTTGCAGCCGGACCAACTGAAATTCAGGACAATGGGATAAACAAACAAACTGGCAACCACATACGACAAAGTACAATGGGAAACTAACAAAAACCATACCTGTGATGTAAGGCAATTACTGAAACAAAAACAACTCCCATTTTTCACCCAAAGGCTGTGGCTCAGACTGGCCATCAGGAAGCCACTGACAGCATTCGCCATTCAAGGCAATGATTGGAGCTTAACCGCGGTCTCAAAATGCAAACTCGCATGCACAAAAACATCTGCCCAAACATGCGCAAGCCAGCTGCCCTGCGCCTCTTTGAGCCTGGGGGCCTCCAAGGGGAAGGGTGACTGAAAGCAGCAGCCCATCGCGCCCAGCAGGCGGTTGGCTTTCGGTGTGTCCTCCAATGGGTTTGGCACACTTCCCGCGACGGCAAGGCGTTCAAGATGAGAAGGTCAAGCCATTGGCAACACGCGAAAATGTGAACCAAAGCCTCAAGGCTTACAACGTGGCAAAGTTGAACACAACGTCAAACGCAGCAAAAAGAACAAGTTGGACTTGCATTTACGTCTAGGGTCAGGCCGCAACAAGTTCCTGGCTAAATAGCTGGGATGCCATGATCAATCAGGTATTCGAGGTTGTGCTTGCGAAGAGGCAGGGCACCTGCGCTGGCAACACCACTGGGGATCCAACGGGGAACGCCATATATATATATATATGTATTTATGTTGAAGGCAATGCAGAAATGCTGAGGAATGAACTGGGACAGGCCAGCTGGCAGAATAAAACATCTCACACCACGTGTTGAACCTGCTGGCGGACAAAACGCCCAGGATTGAGCCCTGCATGGATGAATGCGGGGAGCGCCTATCGGGTTGTTCGGGGCCTACCCAAACCAATAAGAAGGGCACAAAACATGGCAAAAGGATCAGCCCAAGTGCGCGTCCTGCCGCACAGTTCTCTGCTGGGATTCTGACCGCTGCTCATACAGCTGCTCTTGCAAGTCAGCACACCGCCTTTCTAACCTGCGTGGCGACGGCTACCAACAAAAAAAAAAACCGAGGCCACTGCATGGCCATCTTCAGCAAACTCCTAGCCAGGAGGTTGAACAACCACACTCATTTGACTCGTGATGTTTCTGCCGGAGGCTCTAGAAGCAAGTGGGTTGATTATTTTACCTCCGCGTCAAGTAAACAACGCATACTGTCACACAACCCTCCTCAACTAGTCCGTGTCACGCAGGCCTTGAGACCTCCTCCTCATGAACAGCCACGATCTGCCCCACCAACTCGGAGAACGTTGCCATGGCTCACACCAAATCTGGAATGGTTTTGCCCGTGTTGAGTGTGAGTCTGGTAATTGCTCTCGGACGAGCTCGGGAGAAACTGGCCACGAAGTTCAAGAGCAGATGCAAGAACAGAAACAAAAATGCAAAAACAAAATGTGGGTCGCGCTCTTCGTGTGCATGTCTTGCGCCTACGCCTATTCGCTCACTGAAGTACTGCAGCGGGGGACATGCACCATCACAGCAGCTTCGGACGTCGCCAAATGTCGTGGAGGTAACCTACACTGCCCACATCACTGGCTGGACAATGGGTAAAGCATGTTGTGGGGTACATAAAAACAGACTTGCAGACTCTACTCGCCCCACCCCTCCTTTGGTGCCGGCCACCACCACCCCCCAAGTGCGCACGTGTCCCAGCGCTGGGGGCTTTGTCGAAACTTTCAGCATACGTGCCTCACTGCTCGGCTCGGGCAAACACAGCGGCACCATGTCCATGTTTCATAGACTACTGACACGTAGCCGCCAGCACGAAAGGGCCTGCTCGCGCCATAATGATTGAAGATCGCCGCGGCTTGTGGCTTGCTGTGCCTGCCTGTCATTGCAAGCTTCTAAAAATCTTGACGGCGCAGCGCCGCTGCCCAGTGCCGTGCTTGTGTGGAGAACGCTCGCCAGCCGCGTCTGGTGCGGCGCCCGGCCTGCAAGTGCAGCATTATCCTCGGTGCCCGGGATGCCTGCAACCCCGGAAGCAGGGCTTTCAAAAAAACGTGGGAGAAACAAAAGTAATCTGAGGTGCCCCAGCTGCGCGCCGCTCGCGAAGCCTGTGAAATCCGCACCAGTTTTTTCTCAGCGCCAAGGGGCCGGAGGGGCGCGTTGTCCCCCAGCAGCGGTTGGCCAATACCACTGCGCCCGACGATGCGCCGCGGGACAGGCGCTGCTGGACCTTGTCCTTCACGGCGCAACGCGCTTGGCGTACCTGCGACTTCGCAAGCACTCTGCACGGTGGTCACCAAGGGAGGTGTTCGGGTCGGTGGGCACGGCGGCAAGCGACGCCCCGGCGTTTGTGGAGGCTTCGCAAGAACGGGTGTTAAGTGCGCAAGTTCCGCGCGAGACGCGGGAGCCAGTGCTGCAGGAGCAGGTTGCCGGCCGCTGCCGCCTCACACAGGCAGTCTATCCACGAGAAGCTCCTGCACACTGCATCAGGGCGACGCTCAAGCAACGCGGGCAAGGCGTCATAACCGGCCGGGCGCGGTGTGGGCAGCACGCAAGAGACCCAAGCCCCCCATCGCGCGCGCGTGGGGAGCAAAGCGAGGCGGAGGCTAATCATGCAATGCCCCGCTCCCATCGTGCGAATCCGCGTAAACTGCCGACTGGGACGGCGGCACAGCGGCGCACCCCCCCGGCCTTAGCGCAAGGGACGTTGGGGGGGGGGGTGGTCATTTTAATTTTTCCAAAGGCCATGAGCCGTGTCACCCGGCACACTGCCTCCTTCGCCGTGTGAGCTGGCACACTCAATGAAGCAACCGTGACCCGGCGTGCCGGGGCCTTTGCCACACCTGGTCACTGCGCCGCCAGCATGCTCAACGGCGGGACCTGGCGCGCCGGGTCCAACGCCAGGGCTTTTGAAGCGGCGCGCGCACAACTGCGTGACCCGGCGCGCCGGCTCCTACGCCGGGCCGCGAACCGGACGCGGCACATCAGGTCCTGCGCCGCTAGCACGCTCAACCGCTCAACGGTGGGACCGGGCCTTGTGAAGCGGTCACCCGGCGCGGCCGCCCGGGCCGTCCGCTGCATGAGCTCAACATGAACAACCAGCACAAACCCTTCAGTGTAAAACCCTTTGTACTTAGCCAAGAGTCTGCGATGCGCCAATCTCTTAAAAGAGAGGCTGTCTGTCTCAGCATCATGTGTTTGAAGATGAATGAGCCCCCACCCTGAGCACAACTTAAAAAGCCCATGACGGTTTGGGACTCGTGCCTGTGGACATCCCACAGGTCACCTGTTACTGAGTCTTGGCCTTAACTCCCAAACTTGCACTTAGCTTAGGAGCTGCTGAGTGCATGTTGCAGCCGAAGGAGCTTGCAAAGTCCTGCAGGAATTGAGAAGGAGCGAAACTGCAAATCCACAGGTGTGCCACTGCACGGCACGTCTGACAGTCAAGCAGGCATTGCGGTGCGCCGAACGATCTATTTGGAGATGGCAAAGCAGCGGCAGCAGTGATCGGCAGAATGGCCGAGGCAGGGACTACTGGCAGTCAAGCGCGCGCAGAGGCGGGGGCGTGGCGCTGTCCAAGCAATGAGGTTGAGCAAAGCCAGTGTAACGAGCTGAGTTCTTTTGTTTCGGCCTTGGGCTTTGCAACTTAATGTTGCACCTGGTTTCATATCGGTAGTCTGAATTATGTCAAAGTTTCCCCGGACCCCCCACTGTTTCGGTACCATGATTTATGGCAAGTTCGAACCCCCAAAAATCCCGTTGAAAAATTAAAGGGCCGGATAACCCCACAAGTCTATGCTTATTGAAGTATGCGACACTTGCATCTGCCGAGCAGCGAATAATCCCAAATCCGGGACACGCAAAGACCCTCATGCAAAACCTTCACGCAGTCAGCTATGTCGAAAACTCTCAGCACTTTGTTTTTCGCTCTGGCAGATCGAGGGGTCGCATTGGCATCGCCAATGGCATATGTCAGCGGCATATGTTTAACACATGGCTTGAAGTGCCATCGCGTCAGGCGCAGCATGTATCTGCCAGCCTGGCCCCATGCATCCTGCGCTGTAAGGCGCTAAGTACTTCAAGACGAAAGCCTTCCAAGAGCGGAATTTCTGCGGGCTTCTTTGCATTGCAGCTGGTTCTACAAGCGTATATAGGTCGCTCCCGCGACCGCAGGTGCAAGCAACTTCCAAATCATCCATGCGTCCGAATCTTTCGATTGGGGTGTCCTGAAGTGCGGCTCGGTGATGTGTTCTGGCACGGCTGCAAATGCTGCCATTTAGACAGCTGCCAAACCCTGCCCCTGCCACGCAAACACACACTCAGATGCACAGAATGCTGCGCCTGCCACGACTTCGGCAATGGCATCTCCAAAGTGCTGCGCCTGCCACGATTTCGCGCGCCCCGAGCCGCGCGCGCGACAACATCCCAGCCCTTTAGACAGCTGCCAAATCCTGCCCCTGCCACGCAAACACACGCTCAGATGCACAGAATGCTGCGCCTGGCAATGGTATCTCCAAAGTGCTGCGCCTGCCACGATTTCGCGCGCCCCGAGCCGCGCGCGCGACAACATGCCAACCCTTTAGACAGCTGCCAAATGCTGCCCCTGCCACGCAAACACACACTCAGATGCAGCTGTGCCCCTGCCACGACTTCGGCAATGGCATCTCCAAAGTGCTGCGCCTGCCACGCTTTCGCGAGCCCCGAGCCGCGCGCGCGACAACATCCCAGCCCTTTAGACAGCTGCCAAACCCTGCCCCTGCCACGCAAACACACACTCAGATGCACAGAATACTGCGCCTGCCACGACTTCGGCAATGGCATCTCCAAAGTGCTGCGCCTGCCACGATTTCGCGAGCCCCGAGCCGCGCGCGCGACAACATCCCAGCCCTTTAGACAGCTGCCAAATGCTGCCCCTGCCACGCAAACACACACTCAGATGCACAGAATGCTGCGCCTGCCACGACTTCGGCAATGGCATCTCCAAAGTGCTGCGCCTGCCACGTCGCGCGCGCGGCTCGGGGTTCGCGAAAACGTGGCAGGCGCAGCACTTTGAAGATGCCATTGCCGAAGTCGTGGCAGGTGCAGCATTCTGTGCATCTGAGTGTGTGTTTGCGTGGCAGGGGCAGGGTTTGGCAGCTGTCTAAAGGGCTGGGATGTTGTCGCGCGCGCGGCTCGGGGCTCGCGAAATCGTGGCAGGCGCAGCACTTTAGAGATGCCATTGCCGAGCACGGCTCGGGGCTCGCAAAATCGTGGCAGGCGCAGCACTTTGGAGATGCCATTGCCGAAGTCGTGGCAGGCGCAGCATTCTGTGCATCTGAGATGGTCTGGAAAGGCTGCCCTGAAAGGTTCCTAGCTTCAAGGAATTTCCTGAGAGTGGCCTGTGCTTCTAAGGTGCAAGCCGTGGCAGTCCTCATCCTGAGCACCTTGCCCAGGAAGATGCGCCAGGCCAGGGCTGGGCGCTTGGTTTCCGTTTTCGAGGTCCACAAGTTCTGAGGCCCATCAGCTCAGCTTCATCAATGAAAGGCTGAGCATGATTGAGAGGCGCCCTGCTGGATCAAGGGGATTGAGATGTCTTGTAGGTTGCTCGGCCACATATAGATGCGGGAAAACTTATCCGCAGAGTTGGCGCTCAGAGACACCCACTCCACCACTTGGTCCTCTGCAGCGAGCTTCCCGCACAAATGGCGTGGGCGTGATTGATGCTGTGCTGAGGAGTTGGCTGACTTACAAACATCAAGCAATCTGCGCCCGTCAGCCGGCAGGCCAGCGGCAAGGCTGGGTGCGACACGGTGGACATGCCGACGATGTGGCCAACACTTTGCAGCGTCCTCCATGAGGCGCTTGTAAAAGCCCACCGGCCTCGTGTAGGAGACCCGATGGTCGCCCAACACACCGGCCTCGCGTCCGCAGCCCGGCTGGCCATCGCCGCCACAACGTCGCTGCGTCAAGGGCAGTGGCAACCTCAAGCGCCTGCGCAAAGCGAGGTGCATGTGTTCAGGCGAAAGCGTCGTGCCCGGATCGCACGGGACTGCTGCAAGCCACGCGCCTGCCTGCGCGCCACTCTGGGACCGCAGAAGCGCTCGCAAGGCTGGCGCGAGGGCGGGCATTAGCTCGCGCTCCCTGTAATTCAGGTGCGGAAGCAGCGTGCCTTTGCCAACCTCACGGCAGGTCGCTTGGCTCTGTAATCTCAGCAGATCAGGCGCGGCCAAAGCCAAGCAGGCCGGGCCTCCCAGCCGGCAGCCTCTAAACTGCGCGCCGCAGCCCGGGCAAGCCGCAGCGAGCAGACCGGAAAAAAACACTCTGGGGCGCCCCCTGGCCAGACAAAGGCGTAGAACAAACGGACGAACGGGAGACGGCGGTTAGCCCCGGGAACGGCGCGCAGCGCCTCCAGCATGGCCCGCCGTGACACGTTGTCAACAGCACCAACCCCATCCACAGAAAGCACCGTAGCCTCAGGACCAGTGCTAGGGGCTTCCCTCGCCGGACATTGCAAAAAGCGAGAACACGAAAAACTTTTCGCAGATTATTGAAAATGTGCACCGATGGCGGCGTACAGCAGGCCTTCGGGCAGGCCAGCTTCGCAACGCCGACACTGGGAAGCCCAACTCGCCGTTGATGCTCTAGAGCTGAAGCTTATCAGTGTGCTCTTTGAGCAATCATAGTAAATGACTTTGTGGGGCTCGAGACGCTTGCCTCTCACGCCCCACAAGAGCGACACCGGGCCAAGCAAAGCCTGGAAAGTTGTAGGGGCGCGTCGCTGGCCAGCAGGAGACTGGACGTGTTCCGGGGCACCAGAAACTATGGTGTTGACGACAACCGGAGTCAAAGGCATGAAAGCTTATCAGTGGGCTCGGCCGCACTCTTTGAGCAAAGGGCCGCCGCGCTGTTCACAAACTAGAAAAGTCGAAAAGTCAACAAGTCAAAAAGTCAAACCACAGCGAGGGGGGACTACCCGAACAGTCAAGAAAACACGGAAAGTCAGAACCATGCGAAAAGTCGAAATGATAAAAAGTTTTGAACTTTTTGACTTTAATATCCCTTGCTCTACTACACAAGCCGCCGGCCACGTGGGCGGCAACGGGTTCCCGAACACTTGCCAGCCAGCGCGTCAGTGTTCCTCTGTCGCCCGGCGCGCTTTTTCGGATGTCTGCATTCCCGCGTTGGCTCAGGAAATTGTTCCTCCTGTTCTTCAGGGGTGGGAGGGCCGCGCAACTCGTTGCAGCAGGTGGTCCGTTCCGCGCGTCACTCCACTCATCAGGCAGCACCCATGGGCCGCTAGGACCACCAGCGCAACGACGCGTGACCAGGCCACCCACACCGCCTGCGCAACATATAAAACGCACACACCCCTTTCCAGAACAATGCGTTGAGGGGGGGCCTAGGTGCCCGTGCCGAATTTTGCATGACCCGGCGCGCAAGGTCCCACTACGCCAGGCCTTGTCGACTTGCGTGCTCAGCCACGGGGCCCGGCATGACCGGGCTGCGTGAGCTCAACTTGAACCCCGCCGCGCCCGCCCAATCGCTGCCGCCCAGCGCAAAGCAAGAGAGACAGCGTACGGATGCGGACCACAGCGGGGCGTCTTCCCTCCAACGATTTCCGGGCTCACGCAAGTTGCGGGCCAGCAGCAACGGACCGAGGATGTCGCGCCATGGGCTTCGCGAGGGCGAGGGTCATGTGCCTAAGTGCCCTTTACAGGCTTGGCCCGGCGCGGCCTCCAACACGTCGAAGAAAGTGGCGCCCCCTTGCTGGCAAACATCGCCCTTGCGGATGCGGTGGCAGACGCTGGCCGCGCAAGTGGTAGGTGGGCGCGCCGGTGGACGTTGCGACGCTGATGCGTACGTCGACCCTTCAAGAGTAATATGCAGCAGCTTGCCAGCGCAACCTACATGTCCTACGTGTCCGTCTTCCACTGACCAACAGCCAACCAAAAACAACAACAGCAGCAGCAGCAACAGCAACCAACACCAGCGACAGCATGCGACAGCGACAGCGACAGCAACAGCAACAACGACAGCAACAACAACAGCAACAGCAACCAACAACAGCGGCCGCATAGCAACCATCAACAAAAACAGCGAAAGCGACAGCAACAACAGTTACACCAACACCAACAATACCACCACCAACAACAAACAACAAACAGACAGACAGACAGACAGACAGACAGACAGACAGACAGACAGACAGACAAACAATCAATCAATCAATCAATCAACCAATCAAACAATCAACCAATCAATCAATCAGTTAAGCAATCAAGCAATCAAGCAAACAAGCAAACAAGCAAACAAACGAACAAACAAACAACAACACACAACCAACAACAAACAACAAACAACCAACAACTGCCAACAACTGCCAACAACTGCCAACAACTGCCAACAACCAACAACCAACAAACAACAACCAACAACCAACAACCAGAAACCAGCGACCAACAAACAACAAGCAACACAACAAACAAACTCTCCAACAACCAACAACCAACAACCACCAGCCACCAGCCACCAGCACCACCACCAACAACAGCAACAGCAACAGCAACAGCAACAGCAACAGCAACAGCAACAGCAACAGCAACAGCAACGACGACGACGAGGACAACAGCAGCTGCTGCAGCTGCAACATGAGCAGCAGCTGCAACATGAGCAGCAGCTGCAACAGCACAACAGGAACACCAAGAGCAACAGCCACAGCGACAGCCACAGCGACAGCCACAGCAAATCGACTTGGGAATCAGGAAGGGCCAGGACATCAAGCGTAGCTGTTGTGCACTGCGCCCAGCTGAGCCCGCAGGACATCGATTGTTTGTTCGGCTCAGGGCAGGTGAGCACTTCCACGTCACACCCCTTGCCAATCGGGTTGGCTACCCTGCTGTCACACAAGGTGCAGCAGCTGGGATAACCGTAGGGGAGCCCCCCAAGAGGGGTGGCGTGTTTGTTGAAACTGAGCACGCGGAGCCGGCCCGCAAAGTCGTTGAACATCGATGGAGCTCAGAGGCATTTGTCGCCACCTTGGACCCATCAAGTCGACGGCGAGCAAAACGACTCGAGAGATGGCTGTCAGCCAGGCAAGAGCAGCGGTTCGGTGGAAGAACTACTCGATCCACCAATTGCGGAGCCGAGGGCAGGAACGCAGCGCACCGAAAAGGAAGCACAACCTGTCGCCCGGTTGCCGACCAATTAACGACCTTCCTCCTTCTCTCCGGCCAACAGCCAAAACAGAAGCCTCGTACACCGTGCGGCTGTCAGTGTCAACAGCAGAACAGGTGTCAACAGCGGAACAGGTGTGATCCCAAGCAAATACGGCAGATGGAAATGTCGAGTAAGTGTCATTGAAGTGCACGATTTGCCGTCTTGCCGCGCTACAGTTTGTTGATTCATTCTCGCAAGCGATGATGAGAGAAAGTTGGGTGTTGGACACAAGCAAATGTGTTTTTGCGTCCATTGTCAATTAGTTTTGTTTGCTGGACAAATGCGGCGAGTTGTGAGCAGGCAAGCTCCAAAGCAGACTACATATGGTGCTTTATATGGTCAAGAAAACGGTGTGTTTGGTCGGACAAGCAACCAACCAAGTACGCCACGCATGCAGCAGGCGTTGGCAACTAATCGTTCCGGCCGGCGAACGATTTGCGGTCATTCTGCATGCCTTTGTGCGCAGCGGCCTTTGCTCAAATCCAGAGTCTTGGCAAGCTGAATGAAAAGCCGCTTGCAAAGACTGAGTCCGAACAGTGAGGTTCGGGCGCCGAAAACGACGAGCTGCCTTCGATAGGCTGCCTTCGACTGCTTCTGCCACCCGCGCTCTGACGTGCCCCCCTCCCTGCGGCTCGCCCTTTTTCTATGGACTTCGAGGCACTCACGGCCACCTCGAGGCAGCAAATCTGGGTCACCCCTTTGGGGGGGGGGTCCCATTTTGGGACAAACCCAAAGTCAGCATCAAGTCGGGGATCTTTCGGTGGACAGCGTTCACATGGGGATTTATGAACATCAAGCATTTGGGAGGTGTTCCCATTGACATCTATTGCCATTTGTTCATCTTGGAGTCTCACATCAAAAAGCCTCAAAGCTGTTGGCATCAGGATAATGTGGCATTTGCAACAGCAATCCAGCAATGAAAATCAAAGGGATGGAGGCCAGCAGTGAACAACAAGCAAAGCCAGAATCACAGTATAGGCTTCCACAAGTTGCCAGAGAAGCATTGGGCAAAATCAGCTTAGTTGGGAGACTCCATGCGCCAGCAACCAGGTCGATGCCTTACATAGACCTTCCTCTCCCAAGATCCTATCCCGTTTGCGGCCCGATCAGCCAAAGCCAAAGGATGGTTGGCCCTCTTCTTTGCCATCTGACGGTGGTGCTTCAGTGCAGAGGATCGACAGGTTCGTGAGCCGCAACATTCGGATGCAAGAATTTCAGGCTACATCAATTGGGCCCGCCACTGGTGCCTTCTTACAAGCAAAACAACACGTACTTTTTAGCAGGAATCCGGTAGAACTTGTGCGTAAGCATTGTTTCAGGAAAAACACTGTACAGGCTTCCAATTTGTTGCAAGGCTTAGACGGGGCTCCGCTACCTACCCGAGCCACTGGGGCTGCGTGCCAATCCACCAGCCCCAGGCCATCCCGGTCCACCTGATCTTGCGGTCCCCCGATGGCGTTTTTGGGCGGTTTCCACGGCGAAACTCGGAGGTTTGGCGCAAGCTGGGTGCTTGGTACAGTTGCAAAGCAAGTTGGTATGGGTCGGGGAAGAGAGCGATTGACGCACCTGACGCAGCCAGCTGCCTGCTTTGTGCGTAGGTGAGCAACTTTCAAGTCTTCGACTGAGCATCATCGGAAGCGCATCATGCCCATCAGGAATACTCAAGGTACACGCATGCTCTATGCATGCTCTATTTAGGGTCCCTAAATTTGCTGCAAGCAATGGAAGCCTAGGGTAAGTCAACTGGTGTGCGAAAGAAAAACACGGACAAAATAAAAACAACAACAAAACGGATCAACAAACACCTCAAACGAGACCATCAACGTGTGTCGTTAGTTATTAAGTTATGATTGTTTAGAAATAACACGCTTGCATGAAAGCAACCGCTGCAATAATCAATATAGTCGCAATGGAGATCTGGTGTCCAAGAGAAGGAAAGGCATCAATCGCTTGTTCCCCCAAGGTTGATTGATATCCAGACCGATCAGTTTTCCCTCAAGATTCATTACCATGTGCTGAATTCCCCGGGAAAAACAACGTTATGTTCAGTAGGAGCCTTTTAAAACCAACAGGGGACAATACAACATGTTTAGCAACTGGCTCCCGGCCCAGGGGCTACTTCACAATGGCACACAGACCCCCATTCCAAAACAAGCACAAGCCCAACGAGCAAGACTCACCCAAGTGGTGTTCTTTGAAGTTGCCATCCGGCAACTCCCTTTTAAGTCAACTTGCCCTTAGTCGGTGGTTTGGATTGGTGCGTTGGGGATTTGAACCCTTGTTTCTTTGAGAGGGTAGTTGCGAAACTACCCCGACCCTCCAAAGCACCAAACCAAACCACCAATTGGGGGTAAGGTGGTTCACAATCAAAACTTGGTATTGACATGGTCTACCCCCAATCCGTGCAATCAAAGACATCAATCAGCAGCTGCACTTATGCACCTGTTAGTGGCTGCCCTTAAACGTCACTTTGGGTTAAGCTCTTGGCTTATTTGCTGTTTGGCTTGTAAAACCGATAACCCCTGGTCGTTTGCCCAGGGATGTTCTTTCTAAATTCGCCAACCGATAGCCCCTGTTTAAGTTCGCCAACTGAAACCCATGGACCGAGGTTCGCTTCCGTCTCAGCCAAGCCGCTGCACCAGTGATGGACATAGGCTTCCGCTTCTGCCGCTCCTGAGGCGCGATCCATGCGTGGCGCACCAAACACAAAGCATTGCTTGGAGGTGCCCCGCAAAAAATACACACGCTGTGTGCAAATATATATATATATATATATTATGTGCTAATTAATATGTATATAATTCATGGAATATACATAGACTTTACAGAATGTGCGTGGGTTATGGTGTTTTAACAGCTCTCTCTGTCTGAAGCTTGGGCTTCGGCCGATGCTCGCAGTTGCAGGGAAGTGCTGGCTTTTTGCATTGCGTCACGTGGTTTTGTCCCGAAAGGGTGGCTCCTAGAACAGTTGGTGTTTCAAGCGAAACCAAAGGTACACCAACCACGTCACGGGCACCCGTATTTTGAGAAAACCCATGTCTAAACATGAGCAATTCCGTGGATCAAAGGAAGTGGAAAGCAGTCCCTCGTGTGAATCCTCCAAATGTTCAGCTGTCTGGATCCATTTGGGCCCAGCCCCTCTTTGGATATGTGTGTTCTTGTGCAATGATGGGGTAAGCATGGTAGCCGAACCATCTGCTGAGACATCCAAAAACAGATGAACCGATTTCTAGTTTGAGAAACACCATTTTTTTTAGAGTGGGGGGACCGTCCGCTTCTTCTTGACGCGATCAAGTTCCGTCCTTGGGCCACGAAGCATCCGGAAAGTTCACCCCCGTGACGCGGAAGCGGATCAGCTCGTTCTAAGGCCGGAGACTGGGGGGAGACTGCAAAGACTGCCACATATGGGCCTGTCTTTTTGTGAGCGAATTTGTGTTGTCTGTGGTTTGAAAGGAAACCATGAGGGAAACCCACCCATTTTGGGGGGGTCCCGCTCCAAAACACACACACACACAACTTCTCCGAAACTTTGAGATGCTTCAAAAGAACGCCACCCACATTAAACCACGAGGCATGAGGCACATCTGGATCGACGGGCCTCAGCCCTGCTGCCTTGCAAAATAATCAATCGTGTTGTTACGCTTGAAACCGATCTTATTGTCTTTTTCAACTCCAGCCCTTGCCACGCAAAACGCGACAGCCCGATCGCAGAAAAGGTGTACTCGTGCGGATAACACCCCTACGAAATCACCATAGCTATCGTCGCCTGCTTGACTCAGCATAGCCACATCTTTCCGTAACCATTGTGCCTTCGTGAGCAATTGGTTCGTTCAGTGTAGGTTCTAGCGGCATGCTGAGAAAAGGGATGAAGTGCCAATCTGGGAACTTGGAATCTAGCCTCGGGTTGTAAAACTGGTAGCCTGCAGTAGCAGTGTTCATGGCCGCCATGGTTTCGCCATGAGAGGATCTAAGTTAACTCCGATTGATCGATGGCCCTTGTTGAGTCTCCTCCACCCAACAAACAAATCAGGATATTGAAAAATGACAACATGTGAGCCGTGCCAAATACTCTTGTGTAAAAAGCGGTCCTATAAACTTGCTTTCGCGGACCCTTTCGCGATGCTTTCGCGACCCCATGTTTTGCTTGCGCGGGCTTTGGTTTCTTTAGAATTGCTTTCGCGACGCTTCCGCGGCGGACCGTCACACAGCATGCAGGCTTTCGCGGGTCTTTCGCGGCGGGACCTTCTTTGGTTACTTTCGCGATAAGCTTTCGCAAGCTTTCGCGGCCTGCGTTTTGGCTTTCGCGGGGATTCTATAGGACACCCCCCTTTACTACTTTGTATTGTCAGGGTTTTTGGCGCTGCTCATGTTGCGCCTGAATAACCGGCTGAAGCATTCAACAATAACTAGCACGCCTTTGGTGGCCTGAATGATTATTCCATTGTACGAAGCACCCTGTGTCAGTGACAAGTTCACCACGTACTACCTTTTCATGAACAATAATAATTTGGCAACAGAGACTGGGGCATGAGAAACAACAACCCTAGCACTCAAACTGAGACTGAGACCTTCTCGTAGAAGTAATTCATCGTCTCCCTGGTCTCCTGCGAATCACGACAGCCTAAATGTCCATGTGAAGCGAACCTGGCACTTCTGACCATTGGAATGCGAGCGACATGGCGCGAAACGGTCCCATTGACTGGCCTCAAATAGTTTCTTCTCACAGTCATCCCGTCCCAGAAAGTTGCTGCGTTCGACACATCATCCCACCCAACGGAAGCTGGTTTCCATGGGATTGATTTCGACTTCTGTATGATGCCGTTATGAATGCTTGTCAATGACAAACCATAACATGCAGCGCTCACAAAAGTTGACTGCTTCGTGGACAAACGAGCTTATTGCATTAAGTCGGATCAGCTACAATTATGAAGAGCAATTCACTAAATTTGCAGCGAAGCGCTTTCTTCTTTCGTCACAAAAGCCAAGTCACAATAGATCAAAACAGGAATTCAGGTGCCACGAATTGAGAGCTAACTTTGTAGGTTCTGCAGCGTTTCTCAGCTCGTCGCATGCGATCACACCAGGTTGCCCCGCAAAAGGATGGCAATTTGCTGGGTTGCGAATGCATGTCTTCCCTTAAAGTTGGCTGCGAAGGGAGGAAAGGTCTGCAAGTTGAGCTTCCCTCTCCCGGCGCAGCACGCTTCAGGCTCCTCGTCCTGGTACAGCCAGACCTCGCGCAGACATAGCAGAACGGTGGATTCCGACAAATGCAGCGGAAGCCAGGAAGCCGTTCACGGCCAGAAACTCCGGCTTTCCAGAAAACGGAAGCGTTTCTCCACGACGCAAACCCGCACAGAAACACAATGCCGGTAAGTATCCTGAGGGCCTGAGCAGCTAAGCTGGTGGCTGACGCCAAGGATTCAAGGCAGGGACCCATCGAGAAAAGAGTCAAGATCACGGCTAGGACTGACTTGAAGGCAATCAAGTTCTAGTCGCACCCACAAGGTAAGATCCTTGCATTGCTTTATTGTGTTCTAATCTTTCGGGTGTAACAGTGTAGCGCGTTCTTAAAGGCCTTGACTGACTGGCCACGGAAAATATCACAAGCAAGAACGCCAGATGTGTGAGTGCGTATTCAACATTCCAAGCTACGTATCCATTCCTTTTGCGCCTTTGGCACATGCAAATGATCAAGAGCAAAACAGCGTTTTGGATCGCTTGCTCGCCCCTCAAGCTTCACAATTGCTATATTCGTGCAAAGCCTGAAGAGAACAGGCCTCCACCTGGGACTTTTGCTGAAGCTTCTACCCTTGGGACCATTCTGAGGACTTATCTCACTCTTCCCATGGGAGGATCAAACACCAAGGGGTGTTGTCAAAGCAAGTACTGCGGAGGTGAAACAATCAGAAACCCAACTCCAACAGAACGCCAGTCTAGCTGGCCTGATACTTACAAAACACCAGCATGCGGCATGCGTCTTTACTTGTGCATCAGCTTCAAACACATCTGGATGCCGCGTTGTTGGCTCCTCCATGTCAAGCGAACCCGGCAAAAGGAACATCTATTCGATGGAAGCGGATTGGCGTGCCGTGATTTTTGGCGTGCGCACGTGTGTCAAGTCCATTCACAAATCTACTTGTGAGAAGCCAACGTAGCTACAGGTAAGTTGCAAGAGTCATCGAGCCGCGTGGCTCTGCAAGCTGAGGTTCTGGGGCTCTGGGACCCGGTCCCAGCGCTCTTGCTTGGCGTCGTACATGTAGGGCGTGCGAAGGTTCGCCGAGGGGATCTCGACGTCCTGCGATGTGACGGCACGAGATTCGAGATGTTGCATTCCATGTCCTTTCGTTGTGTCCAAATCCAGCTAAAAACAAACAGACACGGGACTTGTGATTGCACACCAGCTCTTTTGGTTTCCCTTGAAGTTCTCAAAACAAAAAGCAAAAACATGAAGTTCTCAAAAAAAAAGAGTCAAACAATTGGTTTCCCTTGGAGTTCTCCAAAAACAACAAAACAACAAGTTCTCCTTGGCTTTCCCCTCCCTTGCAACTTGCTTTCCATGGGTCCAATGTCCTGGAAGAAGCCTAGGGACACCTGCAAGCCCTGGGGCGAGGAGCCCACCACGGCCCCCACCTCGGAGTCGGAGTTGGAGTCGCCTTTTGGACCCTTTGCAGTGGACAAAGCAAACCAACAGGAAACACTCTGCATGTGTTCATGTTGTTTTGGTGGGGGATCCGTATTTTTTCACTCATACCCAAATCGTCCCAAATCCGTGGAAGGTGGTTGGTTCATCCAAAACAGTGTCCTTCTCTGAACGGAGCAAAGGGTAAGGGAAAAAAACACGTTTATTTCGGTGCAAAGAAAGGGTTGCCCGGGGGAAAATCTGATACTAGCAGTACCAGTAAACCGATAAGCAGAATCGTGGGCCAGCAAAACCAACTGAACCCCCAAACAGCCAACTTATTGTGACGCCCTTTAGAACAGCTTCCCAAACAGACTTTCCGGGTGGTGGTGGTACAAGCAAAGCCCCAGAAAGAGATGATAATCATGATGTATGTATATATATATATATATATGTGAATGTGTATTACATTTATGTATATATATATATATGTACATGTTTAATTAAGGGTAGGTGACAAAGGAACACACACACACACACACAAATCTCTGGGGCCGTACTTCTCCAGTACGCTGGAATACTAAACCATTGCTAACCAATTCGCACAGATTGCTGGGCCAACTCAAACGAAACCTAAACCGATTCTAAACTACTAAGCAGTAAGCAGTACTTGCTGAGAGCTGCGTGGCTGCTTGTTTCTGGCTTTTCCTTGTTTGTCCCCCCTCCCATTTAGTTTGAGGGGGAACCTTTACTCATCACTGCCCCACATTTTTCTGAACGCAGACCCCTTGCACATTGCCGGGCTCACTTTGACTGAAGCGGTGCAAGGCCCTGACAAGCCATTCATCGATGAAGGGCTGGAAGACGATGAGGTTAAACTCAACCTCCAAGTCGGGCAAATGTTTCGTTTCTTCAGCGGCTTAACGCGTTAATGCCAGGGCTGATAGAACACCAATCAACATGCCCAACCAGGCTTCCTGGTGCCAAAATATATTATGAAACTGCATAAAAAAGGCTTATTCGTAATGTAATTATATGCAACACATCGACACAACATGCCGTGGTGGGAAGCATTTGTTTAAGTCCACTGGCAGGCAAGGGATACTATTTTGCGCCTGGTCCCCTTCTCAGCAGAGCGAGGTATTGTCTTTGATATCGTTGATATCTTTGTCATATATTTTCCATTTGCTTAATCCCGGATCAAGCCATGGACAGCAATACGTAGTGGCGGCGTCTTGTGTGGGACGGCAACTTGAGAAAGAACCGGTTGCTGCGAGCCTAATTGAGGCTCGTCGCTCCGTCGTCCCTCACATCAACAGAACGAGTTGGGCCACGTCCTAAACATGTGCATGACTTGCCATGTCGTATAATTTTGCTTTTGCCACCAGCTTACGCCACCTCACACACCTGGAGCGTTTTCGTACACGCAGGTAAATACGAAGAGACTCCCACTATCTCCCACTAAACATGTAAACGGAGGATTTGGACGCTCAGTTGTTTTACGACAACTATTACACCTTCAAGGGGTACGGGTGGGTCCCCCCCTGCAGACACCAATGCGAGCAATTCTTACCCACCGAGAGCCCCAGAAAACGCTTCCCGTCCTTCACAAACGCCTCGCCGCAGGAGATTTTGCCGTCTCCGGGGTAGATGATCGCATCCTTGCAATTTCTCTGATCTTTCCCAGGAAAAGCGGACCCTCAATCAAGCTTTACAAACATCACTGAATGTCCCGCCCAAAAATGGCAGTTGACTGGTGACCGGGCATTGAGCGACCCCTGGAAAACCCAGCCCCGAAGGCCCAAATAGGCTTCCCATCTCAGGGTTTGGTGGGTGTTGAAACGGCACATGGACAAAGGCCCGAAGCTTGTGTCTTTGGCAGGGAACAAGGACATTAGGGTTCAATGTTGGCATTGGAGTTGGCGGTCCCTTGAAAGTGGACAAACACAAACAAAAACGCCGGCCCTCCAATGAGTATCGTGGGGCACCTTGCTTTGGCCCCACTTGGTGGTGGATGAAAGGGCCCAAGTGACCGCATGCCTCCCTTTTGTTGCGGTCTCAACATGCTGCAAAACATCGAAAAAGAGCACGCAAACGCCTTGCCAGTTCTGGGCCATGTCCCATGTAGTCGATGCTGCAAAAGAACAACAAAGTCAATCTCTCACATGACAAAGCGAATCTCTCACATGAGGGAAGCCCTAGCCACCCTGGTTCTCGCGAAACTCCCCTAGAGCCTTGATGTTCACAAAATTGTAGAACTCGATGCAAAGCCCCACGTCAGGCAGAATCTTGTCCACGTAGCGCAGCTGGATCTGCCTACAGGGTGAAGTGTGAGTCGGAAGGTTGACAGGCGCGTGCTCGTGCTCGCGTGCGCTTGTTCGCATCCGTACGTTGGCGCGGGGCTGATGTCTGGCCCCGTGTCATACTCGAAACAGTCAACCATAAGGAAAGCACTAGCATACCTAGAAATGCCCCCAGCCATCTTCAAGCAACATCTTCCAGCTTTCGTCAGGTCCGAAGCAAGCGGGGAGGTAGACCGTCTTGCCAGCATGTTGATGTCAACCACTCCCCACTGCAATCCCCACTCGACCCCATCCACCTCTTCAGCTGATCTCGATGGTCATCTCGGAAATCCTGGCAGCTGGTTGGGAAGTAGGGCAACACATCTTGGTTGCTTTCTGCTCCCCTGCTGAAAGTTTAACTTTTAGTGGTTTAACGGAAAACCCATTCGGTGGCAAAAAGTTAAAGTCCTAACATCCAAGCAAAATGCACCAAAGACATACTCAGAACGGAGGTCCCCATGCGGCATGTGGAGCGCAGCATGCCCGTGCCAACGCAGAGACACCCTACCATCCCCCGAACCTCATCCATTTGTAAGCCAGGAAACTAGCCAACACCCCTTTGAAACCCACGGTCACGTGCTGACGCAGGACCATTGCGCAGAATGGGGCATGCATCATGCTAGTGACATCTCGTGATGCCGAGACGCCAATGGACCCCGCCTCCGGCTTTATGGGGACGTCATCGGCAACTAACGCCTAGGATTCAGTGGCACAGGGAAACCAGCACCAGCTCTGCAATAGTGAGAAACACAAACAATAACCAATCCACATAAACAACAACGACAACCTGGAATGTCAGAGAACACCTCCAGGGGTTCAATCTCAGGTCGCTGTTCCCGCAAGTGAAGTCGCCCTTGGTTGGTGGTTTTTGGCCCAAACATATCCTCCTTGCAGCCTCAGCTTGGCCATGCTTCGACTTGTGCCCATCAAGATCTGCACGTGTTGTAGCTACACCATGCACACAAATGTTGGGGCATGTTTGCTCGAGGTAACATCCTGATGCACAATGCCCACAAGCCTTGATAGCCACGCAACCCAACAATTTGTTGGGGGCATAAACCTAGGAGACACCTATTGCTACGTGTGGTCAGCCGTCCGCCTTTACGCGTAAGATTTCATGCGCGGAACGGGCAGGGCCTGTGGTATTAGGCGGCCAAGCCCACAATGCGAGTGGAGCAGGACCATGCATTCCGTTTTGCAATGCAACAAGGGATGCAGAAATCTTCACAGGTCGTGCCGCACCATCTACTCCATCAATTTCCCGCATTTCTTGATGGATTGCTGCAAGAGCGCAGCCAGCGCAGCTCTGGAATGGCCGGCCGGTCCAGTGCGGCCCTTTACATGCAAAACTCAGCGGGCCAAGCCGGTTGCTTGGATTCCGCAAGGGTCTCGCGTTCAGACACCTCAAGGCTTGACTCCCCCGTCTCTTCACCCATTTCACTCGTTCTCTTCACCCGTTTTCCTCGGGTTTGGCCCATTTGAGAAGTATCCCTGATGGAATCGGAAGGTACACCCAAAGACTCGGCGGAAACGTTGATTCCAAACGACAAACCCATGTGTCATCACTGGGGCTCTAACCAAGGTGAACATGTCGAGGTGCGACCTGAACTGCAACGCGTGCAATCAATTTCAGTACTTCAATAGGGAAGCCTGCTAAGACAAATGGAACGCGTATAGTGATAGGGCCGTATACATAATATGGGAATCGACCCGATTTGGCAAAACCGGTTGTGAACTTGCAGCACGTGCCTTCAAACTCCAACAACTATGCCAACTTTACGTGCAAAAGAGGTGGCATCACAGTGCATATTGCCTGGGCTTAAGTCTCGCCGTCAGTCAGCGTCTGGGTCTCCAACGTGTGTTTGCACCTGTCTCAAAGCTTAACATAGTGTAAACACGTACCCATGCAGTAATGTACTCCTGCCACGTATCCAGTATACATGCTATTGTCGCTTGACAAACTCTAACCCTCGGCAGTTGCGTGCTCCAAACAGCTCCACCCTTTTCAGAGAGGACGACACTCACCAGCCATTCGACCCTGGCCAATATCCACAAACGCCAATCATCAACCAACACCAGCCAACATGATGAGAAGCTCGTGTCAGGCTGCGGACCTGACTGGAAGCTTCAGACAGCTCGAGGTCAATATCCGAAGCCACCATTTTGCTGCATGTGACCGCAACTAGGAATTACCAATCCCCGCCATGCACTTTGGGCATCTCAACTTCACAAACCAGCAGTCAGGCAGAAGGCAGACCGGGTGAACGGGTGACTTGAGCTTTCGACTCGGGCGCTTGAGTGAAAACGGCTTGTGAACATGTCGCGGCCCTCGTTTTGCTCATTCCCTGGAGAACAGGTCGTTTTACCGCCGAGGAAAAAGTATCTTTGATAAACTTCAAGGGAAAGCATCTTACACACAGAAATAGGTTGTCTCAGAGAAGAAAAAACAAACCAAAATAAGTGTCGAGACACCTGACGGCCTGGGAAACACGCGCGCCAAGCATTCACCCACACACACACACTTAAATGATCCCAGAGGGAGAAGAAATCTAACCTTCGAGTAACCGTGAATCGAGTCCACAGGTTCGAGTCGTGACTGCAGTGGAAACAACAAGCACACCCAGCAGCCAAAGAAGGGGACGAAGTGGACTTTGGATCACACGAGTAGCGCAGGTAGGCAGGGCTGATCAGGCTCTGTATCCCGCCACGGTCTGCAATCTGGCGCCGTGCCCCCGTGCATGCTCGTGATTGCAGAAAATGGCGTCAGGGTTGAACTGATGCTCGGGACACACACACGCAAACACATACGCGCAAACAAAAGCCACCATACGGATAGGCTGCGACTTTCGCTCCCCTCTGCTTGGTGGTTCGGATTGAGGTGGTTTGGAGGTTCGGAGTGGTATCCCATTTACTCTCTTACAAGAACCGGCTCAGATCCCCAAACCACCAATCCGAACCACCAACCAAGGGTCACCTGAACATAAGGGTCTCAGAAAACAACTTCAAAGACTGGTAAAATGAAGTCTTATTGGGAATTGGCCACTGCATTCAGGTTGTGCAAATACCAAATTGGGACAAGCCCTGTGTCTACTTTATCGCTAAAAACGAATTCGCTTGGTACGGTACAACAAAAGGTCAAACCAAGTTGTCCGCAACCATGTTCTGAACATGGTTGCCATCATGCAACGGAACACAAGAAACCGACGCTCGCCAAAGTGCGCAAGCGCGGAACGCACACAAAGGGGGACAAACACAAACACAAACACAAACACACAAACACGCAAACAAACACACAAACAAACACAAATACAAACACAAACACAAACACACACACACACACAGACACACAGACACACAGACACGCAGACACAGAGACACAGAGACACAGAGACACAGAGACACACGCTAACACAGAGAGACACAGAGAGACACAGAGACACACAGAGACACACAGAGACACACAGAGAGAGACACAGAGAGAGACACAGAGAGAGACACAGAGAGAGACACAGAGAGAGACACAGAGAGAGACACAGAGACACACAGAGACACACCAAGAGAGACACAGAGACACACAGAGACACAGAGAGACACACAGAGACACACCAAGAGAGACACAGAGACACACAGAGACACAGAGAGACACAGAGACACACAGAGACACAGAGACACAGAGACACAAACACACAGACACACAAACACACACTCAACGCCCAGATCTCAGGGTGCTGCCGGCCCGCGCATGGCGCGAAGCCGCACGTCTTGTCCTTTTCTCAATTTATGGGCTTGTCTCAAAGGGGAACCCCCCACGATTGGTGTCCTCCTTCCCAAACCCACCTCGAAAAGGGGCCCTCAAACAACAAAAACAATCGCCATCTTATCTGAAGACAAAGACCTTTCTCGTCGCCTGTCCCAATGTGTTGTGAATTCCCATGCCCTCTTCTGTTTCCAGCCTCGGTGCTTCCACTGGAGCCCAACAGCATCACTTCGTGAAGGGAGCTTATGATTCGCAGTCAAAGGTCAAGGAAGGTCAAGGCAAAACATATTATTGAGTCAACCGTATTCAAACAGCTGAGCTGAAAGAAATCTGTCAGTTCAGCAGTCAGCATCGTCATTGGCTCTCGTTTGCAGCCAAAAGCATCAGCTGTTGTCCTTCATCCCTGCTGCATCATACTGCGCAGTCACATCTGCTGGATTTGTTCGACACAGGGTGCTTAGCTATTTGTTCTTCCAGTCCTTCGACGTTATCCAAAAATTGCTTTATATCATGATGGTCGTGCATGAGTTTCTGGAACGAACCCCGCACGGGAACGTGAGAAGGCAAATTTAATCTAACCCAAAAGACAAACTAACAACAGGCCCTCAAAAGGTTCCCACGCAGGTCACCGAAGTTTGAGCAAGGTGCAAGCATCCATTCGTTAGCTAGCAAGGAAACCCAATTTACATTGCCCGGTCCTGCTTCTTCTGTTCTGCTGATCAATGTGGATCTATGGGAAACTCTGAAAGCCTTCCTTGCGAACTCCCGGCAAATTCGACATAGGCCAACCCACGTTAACAATGCACCCAACCCCAGCGAAAACAAAGCCACGCAACCGACTCTAGGTGCCCACCAGTTCCCATCAAAGGCGAATCTGCAAAGCGCGCTTCTTTTTGATCGCTGCGAAATCGTTAACTAGCCATCTCCGCTGACGCTTGTCCGTCCGCGCGCGGCCGTGTTGCCGCGTTGCAGGCTATAGCTCGGACTCGAGGGAAGCCGTCTCGCGACAGTTCCTAGAAGGGACTTCTGCGAAGCAAAAGGAAACTCATGAACCCATGTCTGGCTGTGGCTTAGCCTGAGAGGTTCCACTCGCCCGAAGTATGCTATTTCATCGCGGCGCGGCACCGGTCACTTGTGAATCCTGTCACAGGTTGGCTGCGAAGCCGGATCAACGACCCCCGCCCACCACATCAAATAGCCCGGTTTCAATCCAGCACATTGCCAAATCAAGCGAAACTGGCTTCAACCCACCCGACACGCACTATTGCTACCTGTAATGGCAGATTCTCGTGGTCCCTCTCGTTCACTTGTTGAGGTCGGCAGAAATTGCCATTGAGCCTTCGTTTTCTGAATGTTCAGCTGATGGCAACGATGGGGAACCGGAAAAGAAAGGCACAATGCTGAAGATGCGGATAACAAGTGCTCAAAGTTGGGGCTTTAGGAATGCAATCCGTGTGCCAAACCACATCAGCGACCTATTTCTCAGCCTAGTGCACTTGTCAACCCGAGCCATGACCGAAACCTGCATGATGGGATCTGCTTGAACACAGTGCAGCGTGCGGGTGTTTGCTGAAACTCCCATATTTATTCGAAGCCATAGCAAGGAAAACCATTGCAGCCTCATAATGACTACCACCGACCATTCATGCCCATTAAGGGTGAAAACCTTCCCATGGCTCCCCCGTGGCTCTTCTCCAACATCATTGGATACCTTGATACGTGCCCAAAGGCTCCCAAGAAGTATGGCAGTGATTCACATGGTGGATGCATCTAAACCAGGTCGAACCCACCAACCCATTCGTCCATTCTAGGTTTGGTCATTGCTCGGGGGGGGCAACTCAATATAGATGAATTTTCTAGCACTTGGCCTGTCATCTTTCGACAGTCGGCGTGAGTGCCATCAACCCTGCAACAATGGCAGGCAGAAGGCATGAAAAAGCTTGGCTCAGGCAACTGAATCCTATCCCAGCTGGGCATGCAACATGACGTAAACTGAAAAATGTTCTCATCTTGCGTGACTCTAGCCGCCTTTCGCAAGCCAGATCCCTCTAGTCACGTTGCGGAAACCATCCACCATCCGGAGCGTCTGCCTCTGCCCGCGTCTGGCAAGGTGTGTCCGGTCGCGGTGCGCCGGCAATTCCGGCCGCACGGCGCGATTGCAAAATAACAGCGATTGACTGTCCGTGGTTCCTGTTTGTTCGGGTCATTCAGCTGTGTATCAAAATGCTTCTCGCTCGCAAGAGCTCACTTAGGCTCACCCGCCTGCACCGAGAGGCTCGGCGAAGCGAACGACCCTTGAGCCAGGCGATGAACCTTTCTCTAAACTCGAGCTTTAATCCAAGAAAATGACATGCTTGTGGAAAATCACGCTCTCGGTGATTCCAAAGCAGCTTCCCATGTCTATTTTGGCACTTTACAGGGGATTGCGTTGGTATCCCAAAAAACGGCCTTAAAGCCCCCGCAACGTCGCTTCAACATTTTAAATAGAGATTCCTCGCCAGCGGGTGTCCAATGTGAAATTCTCCCCCCCGCCCCCCCCCCCCCACCCGCGACCGGCGCAAAAATGCAAAACCCAAACGTCCAATTGAAGAGCCTCTAGTTGGGTTCCAATTGAAAATTGCACTGCGTATCCAGGAGCACAGGTCTTCGAACAAATGATGTCCTGAGCACCAAAACGCAAGAACTGACATGTCCAGGTCTAGAGACACTGTCTGTAGTTTCCCCAAAGCAAATGGGGAAAGGCATGGATCATAGATCCCTCCCATCTTACGGATGCTTGGAGCTTGACACGAGATGTCAGGTGCCATGGAGTGATTGAATTCCCTGGAGTGGTTTTCATCTCCATATTGCCATATTCGACCTGTGAGCCGAACGAGCCCAGCTATTCAAACCTCGCAAGCCGTGTGCTCGCACTCCCTGCCTTGCCTTACCCAATGTGAGTGGACAACATCCTGCACCAGTCCGTACTCGTAGGTGGCTTAACCCAGTAATCATATGATTCATGCATCCCAACTGTACTTGACTGACAGAGAGTTGACTGACTCTGCCATATTGCAGAACCGTCCAAGTGACTTCTTGCCGGTGAATTGCTGGGTGCACCTATGATAGTCTCCGTGAACTGAGCGGGTGGACCTCTCTATTTTGGTCTTTCAAGGGAAGCAAAAACCGAACTGACGACACCGTCTTTTGGGGGAGTTTACGGGTATTGGTCCCCAAGAAGCTGTAGGATTGCGCTCACGGCGTCACAGCCTCTAGCGGCGCCAGCGTTGGCAGGAAGCCATGTAGGCTTCCCCAGCCTGCGCTCGTGGGAATCTTTCTTTACCCACTATCTAGATGCTCATAGCATTGCAAGTCTGGGGGCTGGCTTCTGGTCTCAGTTGGCTAAGCAGATTGGCAAAACAAGCGTGAAGGCATCTGCGGGCGAGAAAAGGAGATGCGACAAGTGACCGGCCTGGTTGATGGATCCATCATCGTCGAACAGGCGGAGGTTGTACGTGCCTGTCAAAAGAATCACTGTAACCAACATGCATCGCGCTAAAGCCTTTCGAGTCGCCAACGCATCGCAATCAATCCTGGCTCAATCTGTCCAAAGTAAACCCCTCAACTGCATTGTCAGTAAGCGGAATGATCATGAGAGGCCATGAGCTCATCAAGTTCCATGCCCAGAATCCCGTGACAGTTGCTGCCTCCGGTCAGCTCTTCTTTTCGGCGGACGGGTTGTTTGCTTTTCCTTGGTTCGGTGGTGTTTTTTTTTCTCTCCCAGGTTCGGCAAAACGATGAAATTTACAGCAGTTGCCAACAACGTGCACCTGTTTTACATCAACGCAGGCAACATCCCCAGCATCGTTTTCACTGCCAATCCGCTCGTTACGGGTGGGTTTGCAGGTTAGGTGTAAGATGGTTTGGGTTAGGGTCGGAAAAGGGTGGGGTTAGGGTTGGTAAAGGGTTGGCTTAGGTTGAGGGATTGCTTAGCGCCGGTTTACGGCGCTAGCGGTTTAGGGCTGTTTTCACTCCCTGAGCTCCAAAAACGTTGCACCATCCAAGAAAGACAAGCCACCCATATTCTTGTGCCTGTGCCTTTAGTGGCATTTGAAGCCTCGGGTATGACTGGGATGCAGTCATGTTCGGCACTGGCCTCGACGGCGAAGCAGAATGGGGGTAATACTCTTGCAGAGGCCGACCTCCATCCAGCACTCTTCAGGAACACTGCAAATGCCCTGGTTTTGGCGACTTGACAAGAATAATTCTTGAAATAGTGCCCAAAAGGGCAAAGCACAGCTCTCAGCCCTGCCAAGCAGCCGCTAAAAAGTAGAACACCACCCGCCCCAACCGGCCCACGATTTCGGATCGATTCCGCCTCCGGCGCGGTCCTGGTTGAACCAGGAGAAGGCTTTCACCACCTGAAGAATCGCCGTCCGAAGGAACCCCTTCGTCCAAAGACCAAGTGGACCTAATCGACCCACGCAGTGTTGGTTGATTGCTTTTTTTGTTGTCCGGAAAAGGGAGAAACCCGGTTTTGCACCAATCTTTGGACCCTCACAAAGAACCTTTTTGTGTTTTGGCCGACAAAGAAGATTTTTGGGTCGGAAAAACGAACGGGTCCTCGATGAAACGAAAACAGAACTGGTGGTTCCCTCAAAAAGTCAGCGCCTGAACTGGGTGTGCCAAGAATCATGGGTATCCTACGCTGGGACAAGAGAAACCAGAGAACCCAACCTAAGAGCAAACAAATCGTCTAGCAAAACAAGAAATGGCAGTCCAGCGGTCCCGAAGGTTTGGGTTGGGACCAGGCCCAATAAACCTTGACTAGGGCCGGGGGGGGAGGGGGGAGGGCTCTAACAAACCTCAAATGGAATCCGACGGGAATCCGATGGTGACGTTCTCGGAATAGCCCGACTTGAACTCATCCCAAGCATTTGGCGCTTCAATCCATGGGCGCCATGTGCACACGCTGTGCTGCCAGCAGTTCTGGTGGGCAGTGACAATGTGGCATGGGAAAGAGGTGACATCCTCAACTTGCCCTTGCCTCGCCCATGCCTTCTTCTACCGGGTGCCCAAAATGGAACTATAGATTAAAGTCCAAACTTCCTATTTACCACTAAAGCTGTCTTCCCAAAAAGTGTAAAGTTCAGGAACTCAGGAAGTGAACAAACACATGAGCCAACCATGCGGACTTGGCCCTGCCTCGCGCCCGTCTTTGGTCCTGGCCGCGATGATGTGATCCTGGGCAGCAGAAAAGGCCGTAAGCAACATCCTCAAGGCCCAGGCAGATGGGTGTATCTATTTTGAGGGCCCCTTTTCTTGCCTGGGCTTTTATTTGTAGACCAACTGGAATTTGAGAAAGACGTTCAGATGCCATGTTTGTTGCGTTCCCTTGAGCATCCAGATGCGGGGATTCAAACTCACAGGAGAGGATCTTTCGGTGACACTCGTAACATCGAAGGAGAAGCCTGCGGCACTACCTCCCTAGGATATCGATCGTGAAACGTGGTTTGCTGACGCAGTTCCAAATTTGGCAAGGAATCACTCGAATTTGCAACCAACAAAAAAACATACGACTTCACAATGCAATTGCTTGGAATGCCCCCTAACTGTCAGGGCCCCAGCCTATGGGGTCAATATGCATTGTTTGTTGGTGGCTGAGACTGTGTAGGAACCGCACAAACAAACCGCCAAAACGGCAAAGATCCGGCCTGCTCAAACTATAGAAAACCAAGCTTCGTCTATTCAACGGCAATCATAGCAACGCGAGGTTGCAAGGTCATGAAGATCGGTGATACGTAGACTTTCTTTGCTTCAACTGCCCGTAGTGGGCGACCCTAAATAGGTCCTAACACATGGGTTTGCTTGGGATCCTACACACAGCATTCTCCCGTGCAAGCGATCGGAACCCGTCATTGGAACCCGTAGAACCGGTCCCCCTGGTCCCCCTGTATCACGGTTGCCATCCTGTGGTTTGAGAGACAAGCTGCGAAGATCTTCTCGATGAAGGTGGCCATACCATTGGGAAGCTCGTCAGTCCTGGGAACGCTCCGAGGCGGCCCGGGTTTTCGCCGCCAACGTTCGGATTCCTACTCGATGCTTGTGACAAGGAAACGGCAAAACTGTCCACAAACCCAGGCCTGCAACAGCCAGCAGAACTCTTGATGTCGGCCAAATGTGCCGATGGACGGCTTGCTTTTCAAATCTATGCCTGGTACGAGGGAAAGCCACCAAGGATACAGGTTGAACTCCTTCGATTGCTTGCCCCTTGCGTGGTTGCCTGGCTTGAGCGATGATAGAACCATGTCGAGTGCAGTAGGCCATGGTCCCCAGGATTCCCGAGAGAATGGAGCCAACTTTGGAAGCCCAAGCCTTCCCTTCGCTCTTTGAGCGGCCCTTTCCTGCGAAAAGGAAAAGTCAACGGTGGATCTGACCTCCAGGGAAACGAACTAAGCCAAGCGGCACAGGGCAGCTGTGATCCTTGGTCTTTGATGCGGGGTACTTGCCGCTGTCCGGCACCTGGCAGCGTCTCTTAGAACCGGAACATGACAGCTGCCGCCCTGGGACCTCCAAAAGGACAGTTTCATTGGAAGCCACCAGCCCCTTGCAACTTTTGACAGTGACCCAAGATCCCCGAATCTATCCCATGTCGCACGTGCCCCTGAATGGCATCTCTAGCACGTGGAAAGCCAACCGGTCGCACCAGCAGGAAAAAAGGAGTTGCTGAGACAATGACTCCTATCGGTACCTATTGTTCCTTTCCTCAATCCTCAGGTTGCCTTTCCGCTTGGCGTCCCTTGAAACAACTACAGGTGCCACCAAAAAACGACCTCCAAGTCGGCGCTGCATGTGAGCTGCACAGCCGTTGTCTGTCCCACAGGCGCCCACAGGCCAAGGCGCGCAGATCGGGTTGAGGTCTTCGGAGGCGCAATTCAGCATGCCCACCTCGTTGATGATGGCACCCTTCACGAAGGGATACTGCCTCGAAATAATTGAAACCGAGCGAGGGAGCAGCTGAACTATTCAGGATTACCCCTGGTTGATTCATAGGTGTCTCATGTTAGAGAGGAATCCTGCACTTTTGGATCTTTTTGGCAGAAACACTCCTTACTACTCCACCGGATTGATTCTTCTGGGGTTGACATCGCCTCAAGCAAATCATTCTCACGCCAGATATGTCTAGAATTCGACGGCTATCGGACAATTGCAAATGCAAGCTGCGAATTGCGCCTACTTTCAGCCGGCTTTCTGGAGCTGAATGCCTAGCTGTCCAGTTCTGATTGCACACGGGTGGGATGCCTCGACTTGATCACATTTTTTAGTTCATATCATGCCCTGGCTGTTGCTTGTGTGATCGCTACTTACTCAAATCCAAGCTGCGCCATGTCTTACTTTGCCCTGCCTTGAGCTATGCGTTTGGCAGGGGTCGCACTCTTGACTCTGCCACAAAGGCAGCACCAGGTCCAGCGAAAACTGAACAGTGGAACCAGAACAGGACGGTGATGGGATCATGCAGGACGGCGGGGACTCAGGTTTGACTAATCGAGGGCTCGTGAGTATTTAGGAATTGGGTACACATTGCACATGTTGACACATTCGCGTTGTTGGTTTTTCAGTTCAATCACTGATCGGTATGCGCAGGGGCAGCAGAAGCAGCAGCAGCAGCAGCAGCAGCAGCAGCAGCAGCAGCAGCAGCAGCAGCAGCAGCAGCCAGCAGCAGCAGCAGCAGCAGCAGCAGCAGCAGCAGCAGCAGCAGCAGCAGAAGCAGAAGTTGCAGTTGTGGAGCTCTGAGTTTAGATCATGTTGTGCTGAATGTTGATCTTGATCATTTCTTGAGGTCTGAGGCACAGCTGCACCATCTTTGCTGCTAATGGCTTGTGCCATAGCTAAGGAGTGAGCCCCCATCTCGGCCTGTGCCTGAAAATGTAGGGACTGCAGGTCTGAGGCCAAACTTCGGATGGTTGCCCAAGTCCCACTCAAACTCAACGTTGATGAATAAGCCAGTCCTATTAATAGGGGGGTGTCCAACAGTGGTCTACACCCCCCGTCAACATCAACCAGGGGTTTATTAATCCGGGGTTCCAGTCAGGTCACTAATCAACTAAGTGGCTCTGAACCCCTGACTAAACCACTCAACCACCACAGCGCTAAACCAGTAGACCTAAACAAAACCACTAAACCACCATAGACCTAGACTCCACACCCTTCCTTCCCGGACGTCCATGACGGGGGGCTCCATGATGGCCTTGACGGCATCCAAGCGCTTCTGCAGTGTCTCGTAGCCCCCCGCGGCCTCAGATTCTCACCGGCTCCGGAAAGGCGAGCACTCGGCCCGGCCCGGTGAGAAGAACCTGTTCTGGGCGGAACACGCGGTGAAGCAAAATAGAAGAAGAGGGCAAGAGGGCCTTGGCACGGGGGTTCAATGGCACTTTAGATGGGAGCCCTGGATGATCTGCAAGCATTGATTTCCTTGATTTCCTTGATTCGTGATCCAGGCCCCCCTGGATTAAACAAAAGCGGCCAACAACGTTGGTTTTTGGCAGGGAAGTGGAAGAGCAAATTGTGGTCCGACCGTTCATGGAAAGGCCACTGGAACAACAACAATTGATGGGATGTGAATGAGACCTTGGCTCGGGCGTTTCTGTATGCTTTATCCCTGTTCTGAGAACTCCGGGGAGTTTCCTCCTTGTACCCTCTTTCCGATAAGCAAGTGGACAAAGGGCTTCGCCAAAAGGAAAGTAGTCCTGCAAAACCCTTCTGTCAGCTGCCACGACTGGAGGGATCGTTTGGCTCTCCAAAGCCGAGCAAACAACACATCCGGCTGCGTCTGAGGGGCATCAGGCTGGCAGTCGTAGGCGTAAAAGTGGAAGCCCACGTAGACCGGGCAGCCGCAGGAAGCCTGAGGCGGGATCTGGAGGATCGGAGCCCATGTCAGGTGTGTCTGTTCTTTTGAAAGTACCCCTTTTTTTGCTGGTGGTTTTAAAGGAAACCAAAACCACCGTTTGGGGGGTCTCCTAAAACTTACGACAGAGGTACTGCCGAACCGCTGCACCCCAAGCAAAACAAACCTGGCATCAGCCCCAGTGACACACCAGCGGCAAAGGGGAACTTGTGGTTTGGATTGGCGGTGGCAAATGAACCTGGTCTGTGGGTTTTGTCCAGATCAGGACTTAAAATTTTGAGCCGCATGGATGTGTCATTTTTTGGGGTGCCCTTTTTGTAACGAAAACCATCCGTTTTAGGTCCCCCTAAAAACAACGACGAGCCACTGTGTCCGGTCCTCCACTCGCTTCTTTGGCTTCCGGTTTCCTTTTCAGACCAGATCGTAAGAACTGTCATTGATACCCTTCTCTGGAAAACTTTGCTGAAACATGAGCGGTGCAGCCTGTTTGAAGGAGCATATCAAGAAGTCAAGAAGGGTTTCAGGATGATTGTAAACCTCGCTTCCGCGGAGCATGAGTTGCAATACTCTGTTGCAACATAGCCTTGGCTCTCACTTCTTGTGTAGTAATTGTATCACCCGGACAAGTTGAAATGTAGCACTGCGTAAGGACAACAACAATCATTGGGCAGCAAGAACCTTCGACAATCTGCCTTGTGCAGTTTGAAGATTGAAGGATCAGTGAGGGTTGGGCCACCCCTTGAACAGTGAAAAAACCATCGTTGGATCCCTTTGCATGGAATGGGTTGGTTTTCTTCTCACGGTGACATCTGGCGACGCATCTTCTGGAGTGGAGGAACATCCTGGCAGCTACAGGAGCCACCAGAGCAGCCACAGGCATGCTCGATGAACTGCTTTGCCTGGGGCCAAGCGACAGGGGCGAGCAAGCCGCGCTCGGTTCAGTCAAGCTACGCTGGATCAGATTTGTCCGGGGCTGGGTGTGGCTGCAACAAGCACATTGGAGGCGACACTCAGGCTCTGAGCATACAAGGTTCCGGTCTAAACAAATCTCTATGTTCTGGAATGAACACAAGGGGCTTTGTTTGGGGCGAGCCATTTCCTTGCGTGCAACACATGCAATCCTGAAACCAGCACGTTGGAGGCGACCGCTCACCAATCCGGAATTGGTTGCCACAGCCTGGAGTATCCTGTGATGGCTGGTTGCTATTGCTTAGCCAAACACGTGATAACACGTTGTGATTACAAGCCATGTTTGATTGGCATGCAACCATGACAAAAATGCAACCCTTTTGCACGGCAAGCCAACCAACGTGACTCACACACACACACACAAATTGCTCGGATTCACAAATAAGCACAATGTCTAAACAGTATGAGTGAGCATTGCTTGTGGCCAACCCTCCAGCCATGCTAAACCATATCAATCAAGTCCAAAACAAGGGTACTATCATATTATATATTGATGGCTCCAACTGTGACACCCATACACCCCATGCTGAAACCGTGCCTGCAGGCCAGCATCTTGCATCTTGCAAACTCCCGCATGCTAAAGCCTTGATGCATTTCTCGGTGCAATCCCATTTTCGACCCAAAACCCTGCCAACACGTCCTTGAGATCATGAGCCACATCCACTCCCCAGAGTCACCCAACTTACCTCCCCTGGCTGAGGTGCAAAGTCGAGATTCTCTGCCACCAAGGGCGTGGACAAGAACTTGTAGCCCTGGCCGCTGCGGAGAAGATCCAAGCAGAAAAAAGGAAAAACACGCGGCACTGGAACGAACAGCCTGCTATTTTCCAGCCAGGAAAAAACATCACGTTGCCAGGGAGTGTTGGCAGTGCTGCCAATCAGAGTTTGTTGTGATTGTTCGAGTCATCACTCCAGCCTCCAACACTGGTGCTCTGGGTGAAATGTAATGTTAGATAGCGATTAATAAAAGGGGAGTGAATACAGAACAAAAAATATCAAAATTATTCACTCTCCTGAAAAGCCAAAAGGGTAGATATTACAGAAAAGAATATGCCCGAAATCCCGAAAATATGTTCCCTTCCAAGAATAGACTATTTTTGAGGGTTAAAACGTTTGAGTCCGGCCAGACATGTCCAGAATCTCTGGATTGCTTCCTGTCCCAAACCACCAAATTCCTTATCAATCCCGTTACTAGATGCACCCTGACAAATTTTCAAGGGGGTGGCACACGGAACCCCCAGGAAGGCAATAATGCAGTTTGTTTAAGGGTAGGGAATTGTGAAAAAAATTGGCCGGGGCAGCCTGCCAAGAAGAAGAACCAATACTAAATCAATTCTAAACTGTAGTGAGTCAACTGAAAAGAATACTGAACAAATACTAAACCAATTCTAAACCGTAGTGAGCCAGCTCAAAGGAATCCTAAACCAATACTAAACAATTCTTACTGGAAAACTACTCAGGCAGGTCCCAGTCTGACCCCCATTTTGTTTTTGGGGTTTTCGCTGTTGACCCCCCCCCCCAATTCGTTTGAGGGGGGGGCCTTTATTAATCACTATCCAACATTAAGAAGAAGAACTACAAGTACACATGATTCTCTTGCGATCTTCACTTATTCTGGTTTCAATGCCTTCCACAACCCCCCTTCCATGATTCTTTAGACCCTTGTGTTACGCAAGCCTGAGGATGCCGAACACCCCTGACCGTCTGTCTGGGCATCTTGACTCCTATACCTTGACAGCCACACTCTTTTCAGAGAAAATCGATGAATGGTCCAATGGGTGACTGTGCTCATCAAGTCGCTTGTATTACCTCGACTGCTGTTCCTTGTGACAGGCTATGCAAGAAGCCCTGCCGACTTGCAAGTATTGTGCAATGCCATGCAAGCTTGCTTCACATGACGTCCATTCCTGCAATAATACGCCTTGCAGACGCCTGAAGCAACAAGAACATATCCTTGTTCTTTTTGGTTTGCGCAAGTTCGGAGGAGAATGCGTTTCCTCAAAACAAGCCATCAATGAATTGAGCTCCCCGCGGCACCGCCCGCTCCGAAATCCCGAAAGCCCGCGGCGGATGCCGCGAGGCTGCGGCATAAGAAACCGGGGGTTGGAGGTCCGAAGCCCCGAAGCGGCGGCAACTGAAAGGCGGTTGACCCGGGCCTCTGAGGGCCAAAGGGACACCCAAAGCCTTTTGACACCGATGAGTTTGTTTCTCCAAAAAAAACCTCGACAAGGGCACAGATCGAGGTAAGAAACTGTGGATTCCACATGGTTCTACTCTCGCGCTCTTTGCTGGCATAGGAGCCCACAGATCTCGCCAGCAGAGGATTCGGCATCCAACACACACCCCGGTAACTCCAAACACAAGCGCCTCACAAAACCAATTCCAGGCCGGGGTTGGGGTTTCGCCGGAGCCAAAAGAACTTGGGCAGGTGTCAAATTAGGGAAACACCAACAAAAATGGAAGGGGGGGAGGTTCCTTTTGGTGTCCCCGGTTTCACCCCTTAAAAGCAGACAGAGAACCATTCTTGGGCTTGGCTCCAAAAATGGGGGGGGGAGCCGGAGGTTCCCTTGAATTTTCCCCTTGTTCACCCCCTCAAAAGCAGGCACCCTTCAACAGTCGCAGAACCATTTTTTGGGTCTCCTTGGCGGTGGCGATGGCCGCCGTCTCCTTCCAGTTCTTCATGACGGTGCCCACGCACCCCGGGTCCTGCCCCATATGCCCTCAGGGGTGGCCCCTTCCTTTTGTTGTTTCTTGGCGGGGGGGGGGGGGGCGTGGTAGAGTTGGCGTTGTTGAGGGTTGTTTTGATGTTTGTTCGATTGAGTGCTCTTCCTTGCTTGCCTGTCTGCCTGCTTTCTTTCTTGATTTCTTTCTTCTGTTTGTTTGCTTGCTTGTTGTTTGTCTCTTATCAACCAGATCGAAAACCGGAAGCACATATGCGAAGTCAACACTTTTGTCAGCGTCCAAGAAATGTGAACAATATGTCATGGCCTAGTTGCCTTTAACCAACGAACGGCCCGGCCCACAAACAAGGGCAAACGGGCAGCAAAGCCTTTTCGGCGTATGGCTCTTAGATTGGACCGAATAACAAGGAATCACCGGCTTTCAGAGGCAGTCGGACTACCAATCAGATCGGTAGCGTGTGGCCAAAAGTGTGCGGCGCCTTCACCCCATCCCTTTGGACTCTCCGGTGAGACTGCTTGTGGAAGGATCATAACCACTTTGGTGTTGCCACTTCGAAAGCTTTCCTTCTTACGGGCCGTGGTTTTAAACCTCACCTTTTGGCTGACTGAAGAGGTGAGCTCGCTGGTGATGTTTGATATAAGGAACCAACCCAGGGAAAGAGCCTTTCCATAAGACCAATCAGTATCTCCATCAGGCCTGGGGTTCCTCGAGACCATTTCGCGCGACCAAATCATCGGCAGCTCCTTCCACATCTCTGGCAGGGGTTGGTGCGCGCTGCACCCCTCCAAAGGCCAAAAGCCGGCGCCTGCACTGCGGCACTCGAAGGCACAGGTGTCTTACGGGTTGCCTTCAAGGCAACTTGACTCTTTGTTGATTTGGCGGTCTGATGGGACAGGGGATCACAACTGTAGCAAACTGGGCACCAATACGGTCACATGTTGGATGGAGCCTGAATTGGTAAGTTCATCCCGTCTGACTGAATTGTTTGGGTCTCGGGCTGTAATCCCACTCACAATGAATCTTGTTTCCCCAGAATCAAACAAACACCTCCAGCGCACCAACCAATACTAAACCAATGCTCAACCAATACTCAACCACTACAAATCCGAAAAACATAGCTGATCCACGCTGCCTAAATTCCGAACTGAGAAAGCTGTGATCCTGAGCGGCGTCTGGGCGCGGGGGGATGGGATGAAATGGGGGGGGGTACCTTTGGCACAAGCGCCGGAGACCGAAGAGGGCGGGCCGGAACCTTCCCAGCGAGCTGAACAAAAAACTTGGTCCCATGTTGTTGCATGAGTATGTGTGCATGCAAATGTATGGCTGTCTCTTCTTTTCTGGTACCCTTTTTGTTGGTTCAAAGGGATGCCAAAAGGACACCCGCCCAAAAATGCGGAGTTTTCCCGAAAAGCGCCGAAAACACACCCGTATGCTAGCTCAAATGTGACACACGTTGGGGGTGATACGTTTGCCCTACGATGCTGTGAACAAGGCAAATGTTGTTCCGTGTGGTCAGGAAAGCTTTAAGCTAAGGTTGTTGGCACATGCCAATGGAGTTAAATGAGTATCATGAGTCACACTTTGTATGCATTTTGAGGAGGCGTGTGTTCTTTGTTGGAAGTGCCTGTCAGCTTGCTCACAACAACGGTGGGCTCAGCTAAGATTCAGTCATGGCATTGCGGTGTTGGCGCGGTTCTGGTGTTTTTTTGGTGACGGCCGTAGCTGTCGTGGCAAATGATTGCCTTCGTTGCTGCCACTGTGATTGTCTTGCTTGCACGATGCGGAGGCTGGCTTTGCACCTGGCTGACATTGCAGCGCTGTGTCATGTGACCATTTGCAAGCCCGGTGAACCCGGCCTGTGGCGTGAGAGAACTGCCAGCAGTTGCACTGCCCCTGGTCAAGGGCTCGAGAAGTCACAAACCGCGCAGGTCATGGACTATGGCAATCGGGGGGGAAAACAAATCGGGGAGCCCCTTTTCGGATAGTTTTGACGGAAAACCAGAAGGAACCACCTACCTGGTCCAAAATTCTGAGCAACATATTATAGATGATGGCTGGGACAGGCAAAACGCACACACAAACACATTGCAGGGAACTTGGCGAACTGGAGCGTGATTGCTCCAGTAGGGTTGCCAGTATGCAGCCTCTGGAAATTGGCCTCGAATCAAACGATTGCTCCTTGCAACCTGACTCATGGCCTTGCCGGCCTTTCCGGCCTTTGCGCGGCGAGACAATTTCGTGTCTTCTTCTTGACCCACAGGCTACTTGCACAACTTAGATCTTGGTTTGGGCTTTGAGCACATGAAGAACAAATCCAAGTTCTGGGAATGGTGTGGCTACCTGTGCAGGGGTATCCAAGAAAAAAGGGCCATCAATGCGACAAACCACGCCACAACCACGACTCTGAGATGCCTTGTGGACCCGAAGAGTTGAGGAGCGCCCATCTTGCTTCAGTTGCCGGGTCTGTCAAGTGTAGTGAAACCAAAAGGCTTCCCTTACCAAATTGAGTCGCATGCATAGGCTCTTGGCCTTTGGTGTTGTTGACCAGTCAGGATGCGTACATATATACAGCATGCGCGTGTGACAATGCCATAAGGCATTTGTCTTTTTCAACTGCATGGAAGGACTGGAATGCTGGAAGAAAGCGAACTTGCTGGAACAAACAAGTGTCTCTGCCTGAACAAACACACACACACACATGGCAGCCAATATCAACATAGCATATAAAGCTTGCTTGTTGGCACTGTCTGTGGGAAAATCCCCCCTCCTTTGTCGCTCTATCCTCACAATAAGCCGAGCCAACGGCATGACAGCGGCATCGACTTTGGCTGTTGTTCCTGGCGTGTTTCTCTTTGAACATTCCAATAGAAGCGATCAACCACAGCTACATTTGGAAGGCTTCCCATCAACGCGCCCTCCCTCGGCCGGCCTTGGAATTGGGCAGAGCAGGTGGATCCCTGGGCGTCGCAAAACGTAATTACGTGAGGCCCAACAAAAGCTGCGAGCCAAAAAAGCGAGATTTGAAAAGGATCCTGCATTGGCGAGACCAGAAGCCTCTAGTTTGCGACCTACGCTGGCAGCCTAACTTGCGTTTCCTGAATATGTGCTTTTGGTTCCAGTACGTTGCCTTTACAATTCACATTTATGATTTCAGTGCGGTTTTCGCAACATTTATGATTTATGTCCTTTGTTTACACGTTGAGCCCCCTTCCGAAGAAAAACAAACAATACACAAGCAGGGGGGACGAAAAAGCAAATCGTAAATTTATCGTAAAACAGGTTGCAGTGTTTAAGTAAAAAGTGTGTTTCTCCGATTTCGTACGATCTTGGCAAAATTTACAATGTGTTGGTTATCTTTTTTGATGACTTCCCGGGACTCTCTTCCAAGAACCAACCCCATACCACAAGCAAAAGGTGTAAAACAAAACATGTAAAACCGGCGCGTCAAAAACAAACCAAAATCGCATCTAGATAGCTTCCCTGGACTTAGCCTACACAGTAGGTCACAACTTTAGTTGTTTCCTGACTCACGTTTCCTGACACGGTCTAGTCTCGAGGTCTTTCACCATACCTAGTCAAGGCTACAAACGGGACGATCGAATCATCGCTGGACAATTGTCCATCTTGGCACAAGGTCTGCGACAGGACTTGTCAAAAAGACAATCAAGCCGTAGGTTTCGGTCATTCTTTACCCAGGACTTTGGAATCAAAGGAAATTATATTGATCTGCCTATGGCGCGATGAAAGAAACACCCATGCAGCAGGCTGTTGGGCCTTGGGGGTTTTGGGGGCCTTTGTGGTGGTTCGCTCCAAGGCTCGTTGGGAAGAGTTTGGCAGCAGGACCTCAGCGAGCGCGATGAAACACATCGTCCAAAGGGATCAAAAGTTGGCAAGGCACGTGGACTGGGACTCCAAACAAAAACCTAAGGCGTTTTGGGTTTTGATCAAGAACAACTAAGCCCAAACCCAATGTGTTGTGTTGATCAAAACCCGATGTACGTCCTCTTTGCCATCAGCTGGCCAACCTGCTTCTGAAACCAGACAAACAAACAAGGCAAAAGCCTCCGCACTCACACGGCAGAATGGCATTGTTCCTCTCTGCCAGTCACAAGCCATGCGAACGGCCATCAAGGACGGGCAACATGTTGGGACTAAGTCACGTTACCATTGCTGACAGTGGTGCAATCAAAACGTGTCCGCATCAAAACTTCAAAGGTCATCGGTGTGCTTGTTTTTGGAGGATACCCTTTTCAGCTTGATTCGAAGGGAAAGGGCCCCCTAAATACCAAGCTAGCATCATGATGTTGGGACTGCAAGTGGCCAACGAGGCCAGTTGCCGCATCGCAGGATTGGGACAAGCACACGAAACGTGGATTGGACACGCCCTTACAAACTACTGCAAGTTTCCTACAACTAGGATTCGACACGTGACAGGCAGGCATGTCGCTTCGAAATGATCTGCTAAATCCACAGTTTTCCCGAGAAGAACCTCGAAGTATGGTGCCTCGTCTGAGCGGTGGGCTGGGCGAGTGTCCCAAGAGCAAAATTGCGTTTCAACACCATACCCACCATGACCGCCAGTCAGGGACTTCGAGTGGCACCTTTGTTGCGCACTGCGGAGCAAGACTTAGAGGACCGCAGGCACACGAAACATGAACAATGCACCCGATGTCACTTACTGAGTGGATTGGCCAAAGCAGTCTGATGCTTTTATTTACCACCAGAATGGTCTTCCCCAAAAAGACCCCAAAAGTATGAAGCCTCTGAACTCAAGGAGTGAGCCGTTGAGGTGCAGCCAAAGTAAACGCAACAGAAAACAAACCGCGGAGCGGTTTAGGGGGATCCACCGATTCCGATGCCTTCATCGCTTCGTTCCGCTTGGTCCAAAGGGCAATCGCCGGATGCCACCGAGGCATCGTCGCAGGGCTCCCCGCACTTGCCGAACCTCGGAAGCTTCGAGTCGGAAAGCGAGTGCAAAGCCCCGGAGATGGATAGGATTGCCAAATCGAACAGGGCGCAAGCGACACCCCATTCCGCGCCAAATGGAACCCTCTCCAGTGCCTTATGGAAAGATAGGGTTTAGGGCATCCCAGTCGATGACACGGGAGTGATGCAATTCAACCGACTCGGGGGTCCGAGGACACAAAAAAAGCTGCAGTGGGCCTTTGCCGAACCACAAGGAGCCACCTAAAGAAATCCCAAGAACTGTTTCTCAGCGGTTCCGAACAACCATAATTCGGCGGGCAAGGCTTAACTCTGGGTGATTTACGATCGAATGACTCATTGACTGATCTGAGATGACCTCGAATGGGATTATGTCAGAATACAGGAACTCCGAAAATGGTTGGTTTCCTTTTAGCTTCCCCTTAAAACGGGGCAGCAAACGGGGCCCTGGGCTCTGAAGAAAAACACCACCCACCGCTAGGAACCTTCCTTCGAACATCCCTGGGCCTGAGCTGCCACGCATATTGCCCATGCAGCTGCCCTTGATGTCGGGCTCATTGGTGCCCAGAAGAATGTTGGCCTGGAACACTGCACACGGCTGGACAGCTTGAGGTCCCTTGTCCTGAAATGCTTTTTTTTTTTTTAAACGGCTGCTATCCCCATCGCAAACATCTGACTCTTGTGCTCAAACTGACTCTGAGGCCTTGTTGGAGTTCTGTACAAAGGACGTTGAGGGATTTGCGCAAGGCGCTGCTTGGACACCAGCATGCGGCTGTGTTTCAAGGGGGTTTCAAGGTTAGGGGCTTCGACCTGTTGGGTCAGTCGCGATGCAAGTATGGCGAAGCCCCGCTACCTTCCTTTGTGGTATCACATCCAATGTATTGATTCACATCTATTGGCGAAAATAAGACGCCGCCGAATTGTCGTTCCGTCATCAAGTGATTGCTGCAACATAGGAACGCCTATAAGGCGTCGGAATGCGCAAGACACCGTGCACATGTTTGCGGCGGACCCAAAGCTCGATATCTTCCCGATGATGAGCCCTCCCGCCATCTCTGCCGGGCAGGGCTGACCGTTGCTGTCCAGGAAGTTGGTTGCACCTGCCTTGGCGAGTGGCAAACATGTCGGCACCGGAGTGGATGTCGCAGTTTCTTGGAAATTTTGGGAGAGCTTGTCACAATTGGGCAGTCTCAGCTTTCACTTCACCAAGCTTTGATGGCGGGTCGCACCAAACCAAATTGCCGGAAGAATCTTTGTGTGTGCGTTGGTGTGGGTGCTGGTGGCTTTTTGGGGTCCTGGTGTGCTAGTGCGTTGCCGTGTTGGTGTGTTGGTGTGTTGGTGTGTTGGTGTGTTGGTATTTTGGTATTTTGGTATTTTGGTATGTTGGTATGCTATGTGTGTAGATGGGCAATGCTGACCATGACCACCTGCAGTTACGCTGTTAGTCGCTGGCTTTCAGATTCAAGTGGATGTTCGATCTCTGCACTTGCCACAAGTTCAAGTGTGGGACGCTACCAAGTCACTGTCGCAAATCATCTTTGGAAACCTCTCTCCTTTGGCCAAATGTCTCACTGGCCAAGGGGCTACCACAAACAACATACAACGGTTTGATCACTGAAATCCAGCAACATTTTTATCTGGAAACCTCCCGGAACGCATCAGCCGACGGTGGACAGGGTACTGCAATTCGACAAACTGGCCTGTGCGTCACTTGAATTGTTTGTGTGAGCATATTGATTGTTCCATGGGTTGACTGCGTTGCCGGCCTGCCTATGTGTTTGCCTCGGCGAGTGCGGTCCGCTGGTGTTCGGATTTTGTTTTGTGTATGTTTGTCCTGTCAGCGACACATTCATGCAACCAAACACACAAACACACGACCACACGGCCAACCAAGCAAACCGAGGAAGAGAAAAGACACAAACACCAACATACAAACATACAAACAAAAAACCGGGCGAGACCCTACAAGCTATGAGGTCCCGGCTTCGCGGACATACTTGTCGACGACGACGTTGGCACCCCACCTAAGCGCATGGGAATCTCCCCTCGAGCGAAGCAGGCACGATTTCGCTCCAAGCGAAGATAGCAGCCGTCAGTATGCATCATCCACGACAAAGGAATGGCATCGCCATAGGGCCATAGGGTAGACTTTCTCTTTTGTCGGCCAAGTTTGGATAGTATGCCGAGGGCAGAATGAATCTTGCGCTTCCGTATTTGCTACAGTTTTGAGCATGAACCAACGCCGGTCCACTGACGGAATGTCCACGCCAAACGGAAGCCGCTGTGGAGAAGCCAAGGTGCTGCTCTGGCATAAAGATGAAATCCGGAGTCAGCTCCTAAAAGCAACCGCGTGTGCAAAGCATGTGGCAATGGCATTGAAAGGTTTGGCACCGGGGCTGTCCATAAGCGTACTAGCATTTTTTAATATAATGTGTCTTTACATCGGTCGGTGCAGAAATCAATTAAAGCCTACCTGGTCGTGTGTTTCGGGACTTGTCCTGATATCCTGCAGGAGCAGGGCGTCTCTGCTTCAATGCAATTTGACTACGATGGGTCAAAACATGTTTCCTCAAGCCGGCCCAATCCGGCTAATGCACCAATAATCGGAAGTGTGGTGTGTTTCTGCTCGCAGCTGTTGTCCATTGTGCTGTGTTCTATGACTGACACGTCTAGTTTCTGAATTCAGGTTGCCCGGAGCCACATTCTTGGTACAGCAATTGTCCTTGTTGATCCATGCTCTGCCTTGTCAACTTTCAGTATGCAGGGTGCGGGGGTGTATTTAAGGGTGCCCCCCCGTACTTAAGCAAAAAACTACATTCTGAACGGCTGAAAATGGACTCATGCAAAAAATGAGCAAAATCAAAGGTAGGTGCAAAACATCGCTGAACACACATGTCCTCCAACACATCGTTGAGGGCACCCCTGACTCAAAAGATGTGGGATCAGGTAAGCCGTTGTCACCCCTCAATGCGGACTGCAAGCGCTGAATCAGAATAGGAGCCGTAGCCAACCGCGAACCCATCACATTGTCGAAAACATGACAGAATTGGATGACAAAAAACAAGAGCAACCATGTGTAGTCAACTGCGTGTGTGTGGGCCCAGCGCTTACTGAACAGAAAGTTGGCCACCCTCACACGCCCAACTCGCAAGAGGCAAACGACATGGTCCATCCAAATGCGCAGTCAAACAAGCGGCCTGACTGGTTTCACCAACGGTCAAACTCCAGCACTCTGGCATGGGCGGCATGGGCTGACGTCAGGTCCAGAGAAGTTTTGTGTTCTTAAGAGTCAAATCTATTTAAATCGCCGTTCACCCACATTTCTTGAAGTTGCAATGCGATATTTTGTGACCTTGAAGAAAGAAAATACAACACCGGCCTGCTACAACACACAGGCATGGCCGACCGCTCTCTTGGCGCCTTTTTCATTGCTGGACCTGGATGTCGGGTGGAAGAAAACGCTTTCCTTCAGTCAGCCTTGGCCTTGAAAAACCGAGAGCGCACACTCTCGCTCCTCCTTGAAAACGGTCTTTTTGCCACTCACCTGGCGATGTGGGGGGGCTCGTGGGACGTTTGCCCCAATCGCAGGGCCCATACGCGGATGTTTATTGCTCACCTGTGTTCAAAGCTGACAAGCCCTGCCAGTGTTTCCTGAGACGTCTCTTCTTTGTCCTCTGTCAAGGCCCCACGTCATTTGTGCAGCAAAAACATATTGAACAATTGTCGCCTCCAATAGCAAAGTTTGGTCGCTAGCCCCCCCGCAAAAAGAAAGTGTGTTTTTTTGGTTTCCTTCAAAAGGGTACCCTCAAAAAAGACACACCCACATTCACAAAGCGCAATTTGAGGTTGAGCTGAATGGGCGCCTGCAAAGAAACACACATCTTCCACACTCCAACCCCTGTCTTCATTGCCCTCAACCCAGTCATGAACCCACGATCCCAAGCAAACGAACCTTGCGCCGCTTGCGCCGTTATATATCAAAAGCATGTGACATTGACCCCCCCGTTGCCCAAAGAACCGATCATAGGCTTAAAAAGGTAACCTTTTCGGACCTTGACAAAAATGGGCCAACCGGAAAACCAAAAGGTCAAAAGGTCCATTCGCTTTGGCTTTTTTGTGCGGCGCCCGATGGCCTCAGCAGCGTCGGTCATCGGCGCCAGGTTCCAGTTCCAGTAGCTCACTTTGCCAAGCCTGATGCGACGGCTTCAGGGAATCAGCTGGGGTCCCAAGCTTCGGGCAGTTGCGTGAAGTGGGTTTGTCTCAACACAGGGAACCCCCCCCCCCCAAAAAGAAAGACAGAAGAGAGGCAGGTTTCCGTATGGTTTCCTTCTACAACAAACCAAAAAAGGGTACCCTCAGAAAAAGACACGCCCAATTGCAGTGGCAAGCAGTTTTGATCACATCTCCAAAACCATACAGCCATGGTGGCAAAGCAATGAAGGAAAAGTGTCTTTGAAATGATGGTCGGTAAAACATGTGGGAGTTCCTCAAAACAGGGAAGCCCCAACGTGGGTTGCTTCCTTTTGGCTTCCCTTTGAACCAACCTCAAACAAGGTACGCTGAAAAGAAACACACTAGGGACACACATGTAGCCTACCTCTCCCGGCTGGCAAAATGATGACCCAGCTCTCCCGGCAAATAGAATCTGACATTTCTACATGTTCAAAACCTGAGATAAGGGGTCAAGAATAGGGCCTACATGGCATTCACTCGATTTACCCCATGAGCTTGCGAGAAATCACCTCGTCCCTGGTTTACCTTCTCCATTTGGCTTCAAAGGGCACGGGAGTCGAACCCCACCCGCCAATCCAAACCGCCGAATCAGCTTCCTCCTGATTGGTGGTTTGAAATGGTGGTTTGGTGGTTTGGGGGTGGTTTCCCAGTTATCCTCTACAGGCACCAAGGATTCAAATCCCCAAACCACCAATCCAAACCACCAACCAAGGGGCACTAAGGGACACCTGAACATTGGCAGAGTCATTGCCTCTTTCTGAGCCCAGGCGCGAGCTGGTCTTCTTCAGTTCGTTGATCATCCGCTGAATAGGCGCCGTGGTTTTGTGTCCTCCCTGCGCGGCTCAGCTTTCCATTTGGGTGACTCAAATGGGGAGGTGTACTGAAATGAAGGGTTTGGAGAACTAAAAGCTACCCATCCCCTATGTTGGCTATATTTGGAGTGATTTTGACTCATCTATAGTTTGCGGTGATCCGTTGAATGAAGGTCCAATACTCAAATGGGTTACTTTTGGATTCCATATACACATGAGTGTCCTTTGTTGAAGCTGGATCCGTTTGGTCCACTGAAATGATGTGGACCTCGGATTCATCAACTTGCCCGACAAACAGGGACTTTTTCAAGGACACCCTGCAAATGGGAACACACCCTTGATGGCCAATCAGAGATTATGAATCTCGGGGTTCCCATCTTGTCCCAATTGCGAGGCTTCGGCAAACCAGACGTTTGTAATCATTGACAACAGAGAAGCAAATCCTGACCCCTTGGACCCAGCCAGTAGGTCCATTCGGATGCAAAATGAGACCCCTCAAGGTAAGGCCTCAGTTTGGTGGATTTTCATCCCCGCCCCCACCCTGGAACCGGATGCAAGTCATTGAGTAGATATGGGTGTCCTTTTTAAAAGCGACAGGAAACCACTCATTTTGGGGTCCCTCAAAAAGTGACAAACCCATGGTATGTCATGTTGTACATAAGACTAGGTATTTGACTTGCGCACGGCTGGAGAAGTGGACATTTTGAGTGATCTATACTTATTATCCTGATGTTCCTAGACGGTTTGACGACTTCACCAACTACGCCGGTGGTGATTCTTGCCACGGACGGAAACAATAATTGTGCGCTGGATCATCAAATCCAGCCGAAGCAACAAATCCAGAAACACACACAGACAAGGCAGCGCTGCATCGTCCGCAACCTGGCTCACCGCTCATCTTCTAGTACGATGTTTCTTCATGAAGAATTGATAAGCCGCTCAGCAGAAAACAGCACAGCTTCTGTGTGGGCAGCGGGTGCTTTGGGTCCTGCTGGCGATGATGACAAGCGCACCGACGACAAAATCGATGAAGAACGCTTGCTGGCAGAAATGAATCAAGAAGAAAACACATCAAAGCAGGTGCAACAGCAGCCGCTATGATTTCGAGTTGGTATCCTATCATGTCATATTGCATCTTACCACATCCACAACCACCACAACTACCAACCACAAGCACCACGACCACTGCAAGCAATTCTACGTCACAAGCACCGCAACCTCACCACCACATCCCCAGCGACGAGCCGCAGACGCCCATCGCCTCCGAAATGCCAGGCAGAGGCCCAAGAAGCCCGCAGCCCCAATTCCTGGGTCGGTGTACGGAAGATTTCGGGACGACTTGCGGGCGTCTTTTTTCAGGGGAGCCCTAAATGGTGGGTTTCTGTTTGGTTTCCCCCTTAAACCAAACACGAAAAGGGTACGTACAATAAAGAGGCACCCACTTAGTGTCTCAGAACAACGGGAATCGATGGGACCCTCAGAAAGAAATACCATAAGTCACAAGAGGTCTCATCAACCCCCACAACCCTCCCGGAAAACAGCCCAGAGACACTCCGAACCACTCCGGAGCTTATCTGGGCAAAGACCCCACAGCTTTCAGCTGTTGGGGGAGGGGGAGGGAGAAAAGGTTTTTCTGAAGAGGGTACCAACTCAAACAATACTTGTCCGAGAAGTTCTTCCACCCATCTTGAAGCTGCTCTAATTTGCCCAGGTGCGGTGCTCAACATGAGTTGGGAATTGCAAGCCAGGAATATGAGCAGTGAAGGAATTCCCAAACTGTCCAGTTGTCTTTTGCATACAATCATTGTCAAACCCTGTTTCTGCTCTGCTATTGCTTAAAGGAGCAGTGCTGTGCCTATCCGGTCATGGCACCACATACACAATGGCAATGTACTGAACACTCCCTGGAGTGGAACGAGGCAAAAAATGAACGAATAACCTAACAAACTATCAAGTAACCCCCAGGCCAGTTGGTTTGCTACCAAGCACGATCAAACCAGTGCTGCAACGACCCGGCCACGGCTTACTTCTTGGCAAGAACACATCATGACCTCGAAGCTACGAAAGCCAGGCAGGAAGCTTCAACGTGTTCTCGGCCCGGGGACGTTGCCCTCTTCGAGCAAAGGGCGCCATTCACCGAGCCAATGAAGCAACGAAATGCTTGGTGGGTGCAAGGCGAGAGGTGGAAGCCCTAGGGTGCTTTAGGGAAGCCTCAGCAAAGCCAGGGAGCCTTTGGGACTCCCGAAACCTCCATCAAGGCTTGAACCTTTTTTACGTGCATTTCTTGAGGGTCCCTCATTGCGACTGGTGTTGAAGAAAAAAAACAGAAGGAGAATCACAAATTTGGGGAGCCCCGTAGTTTGACAAACTTTGTCATGAAAACGGAGGGGCGTCGGAAGCCATGCGCTGCGCGCTGCGCGCCGCAGCTACAGTGCGAGCCGGGCATCGGGTCATCTGGCGTGGCAGGCGGCGCCGGCGAGGCTGGGTACACCTTCTCCTGGCGAAGCAATCAACCACACCGGCTGAAACCAGAGGCCATTGATGATCAAACCAGACTGCAGAACTGATCAGTGGTCCAAACAAAAACAAACAAATGGAAAGACTTCACAACACGAATCCTTCGCCAAACCATTGCGTCCGCCTGCTTTCCGCGCCTGCGGCGACTCTGGGACAAACGGCCCCGGAGCCGGTGCGACTTTTTCCGGCGCGGGCTGCGGCGCTGGCGCTGGCTGCGGCGCTGGCACGGGCTGCGCCGGTGCCGGTGCTGGAGGTGCTGGAGGTGCAGAATCTTGCGGCGCCTGGCAAGGTGAAGACAATGGCGCAAGAGCAGCCATCAAAACAGAGCACCGACCAAATCTCCAGCGAAATTCTTGGAGGCCCGTTTGAGATGAGCCATCATTGCAAAAGCTCCTCCCGGTGGCCCTGCCGGCGCTGTGCCCTCTGTTTTCTGAACTCGGGCTTCGGTGCTCGCACCCTCAAGCATGGAAGGGATATAGACGGCAAAGCAAATCCAACGCCGAAAGCGGTCGAACAAAAGTTCCAAGGGCCATGGCCCTGATCTCAACGGGTCCGGGAAGTCCGTCCGGCCTGTGGGGCAGGCCTGGCACGCAAAGTCGGATCTTTCTCTTTTAGTCGGGACCCTCAGAGAGCAAGGTGAAAAGACTGCCCTCAAAAAAGCACACCCATCACACGCACACCCATCTGTAACCCTATCAGCCTATGACCGAAACCAGCTGCTTGGCGTTTTACGCATTAACAGCAAATCCAGTCCAATGGGTTGTTTGGTCGTGCCATGCGGCGTAAAGGGCCTAAATCGGAATCTGCAAGTCTAAATTGCCCAATTGGACAAGATATTGACGAGGAGTACCCGCAATGCACTCTATGGGTGTGTGCTGCAAACGATACCCCTGTGTGGATTTCTGTGTGATTTGACTCCCAACAAGCTCCGCGACTCCATTTACGAGGCTGTACTACAACCAATGATTGAAACGGCATCTTGTCTGGGACAAGGCTTGACACACAGGAGCCGCCCTAGCCAAGTGCCTTGACAGTGGCATGGTATCATTTCATCCCATGAACCTGGTCACCTGAAGAAACTCTACATATGAGAAGCTGAACTCTCCCAAGTCTGGGGCTGCCGACGCACTGGCAAGCAGCAGCGTGTTGTAGGGCTGCCCAGTCAAGCATGCCTGAGACAAGAATGCCTTCGGGAACTGCTTCAAAGGTCAATATCTCCAGCGGGCGTAGATTGCATGCACACGTGGGCGTTGTTCCTTTTGGTATATATGTGCAACTTGTTGCGCTGCTTGAAACAAGTCCCAGCACATGTGGTCTCATTGACGTGTGATGCATTGAAAGCTCAGGAACATCAACTGCTCCGCACTGGTAACGTGCTCTTAAGATCTTGGCACCGGCTGAAATAACCTGAGGGAGGGCCAAATCACATAGCTCACAGCCAATGAGACGCCAAAGCTAGCCCCAAAGCTTCCCTCGACTACTTTTGTACTCTCTTTCTGCTTGATGGGGCAGGAGTTCCCTTCAACCTGGGCTTTCAAAGCGGTTTTCACGGGTTGGCTTTGTGCCATGGGAAAACAAAAAACATCGGCTTACCCCGGGATACTTGCGAACGGCCAAAAGGGGACATCTGGGCCTGTGCCAAACTGAGTTGACCACCTGTTGGCTAAATTGCAATTAGGAGGCAACCAACCATGAAACTCCACCGTTTGCAGACTCGTACTGTTTATGCCCCATGTTTCAAACCTGAAACTTCCGGAGCAAGTTGAACCAGGGCGCCGCTGAGTCGATTGACTTCAGGCGCCAGCAAGGCCCCTTGTCCAGCAAGTGCAGGGAGGACACGACCACTGCGCTACAGGAGCTGCTCGCCTGGCACCTAAGGATCTCCCCGGAGTCCAAACAGAGGCAAAAGGCCAGTCAAAAAAAAATGAGCAGCCAGACCTGAAACCAACAGTGATCTGAACAAAGGCCAGGGGCCCGTTTTTTTTTTTGCAAAAGCTCACACAGTTGCGGTGGGGGTCAAAAGTTCGGCTTCTTGGAAACCAATTCTCGGTTCGCCAGGGCGCTGCGCTTTGCACTCCTCCACGGTCATGGCGCCTACGTCAGCTTTCCCCGAGTTGGATTGGAGGTTTCGTGGATTGGTGGTTTGGAGGTTAGGAAGTGGTTTCAAATCCACAAACCAATCCCAACCAACTCGTCCGCAGCAGTTCCATGTTTCCTGACGCGACATGTTCTGCCCTGCCCCAATCATTAAAAAACCTGGGATTCAGAATTAAGCCCTCCAGGGCGCGTGGGAACCAAAACAGAGAAAGGCTAGCGCTCCTCTTCCTGGAACAAGTTTCTGGCAAGCGGTCCGCTTTCTTGGGGAAGAATTAGAGGCAGCACTGAGTTGCACAAGTCCTGACTCTTCCAACATTGAATTGAGCCCTCTTTCTCGCAACAAAACAACAACAACACTTGCTATAAGCAAGGCCTGCGGGCTCAGCGCAACACAAAGCAATTTTGGAAATTAACTAGCGCGGGTGCAGAGTACAAAGGCGTCCCACTGCCTTGTCTGTGTCATACACAAACTGAATTCCTGGCTGAACTGTCCACACAAAAAGCGCACATTGCAATGAAGGGTGGACTGTCAGAAGACCAAATCAGCCAGATTGAGCAGCTGAAGTCACATCCCTCCGGAACGTGCGTGATGATTCACAACTGACACACCCACACACCCACACACACACACAGACAAGGGGCATTTGGTTTCCTCGTTCAGGGCATGAGGCTCGAGGAGCCAAGAGCCAGGTACATATCAAATACCAAACGGACGTTTCTCAAAATGATGGACCCGTTGGTTTGTATCTGAAGGGAACCCATGTGGATATCAACCATTATAGACAACCCTGTACTTTGAGAAGCACCCAAGTGAGCTTGCTTGCTCCGCAAACAGCCGTGAAACGAGATGGGGACTTTCCCATACAAGCCCTGCGAATTCACCCAGCTTAAAGAAACAGCGCGGTTGGTTTTGACAATTGAGCTATGCCACTGAGTGTTTCACGGCAGGTTTGCAACCTGTGGGAACATCTCTTTGCTCAAGGCCTATGAACAAAGGTACTTTTGAGACCTTGACTAATCCCTTCCCCCTATGATGCATCCTACTAATAAACATCGTTTCTCCGTCAATACTACTTTCAGACTAGGCAGATTCTAAACCAATACTACACTGCCTGATTTCTCGCCCAGCTCATACTGGCCAGTTCTGAAATAACAAAGGTCCTTCTTTGCCTTTAGAGCTGGTACTACAACCAAATGACATGCAACACTTTGGAACCTTTCCAAGGGGGACTTTTTTCAACAGGGGGTAAACAAAGGGTGAAAAAGCCGATCTGACCCGTAATTACCCTATTCATAAATGCCGTTTGGCCCCCCGGTATATTTCTTCGTAGGGGGAAGGGGTTGAAGATGGACCAAACTCAAAAGGCCCACAGGCCAAATGGGCTTCGGACTGCATTCGCGACCATGTCCCCGCCTACGCTCCAGCCCTGAGGATCCTTGACTCCACCGTGGCTCTCGTAGCAGTTCATGCCGGTGTGCTCGCTCCAATCTGGCAGATACTGAAACGAACCGGCCGAGCACCCGAAACCATGTGAAAACTCCGCGGGCAACTGGCAAAGGCTCCAGGCCGAAATTGGTTCTTTTTCCAGCTTCCCATAAACTTATGGCGCAGCTGCAGGAGCCTGCATGAGTACATTTGATGTGCAACAGGCCACAACTTGTCTGCAGATTGCAGTCGATGCTCCAAAATCCGGACATGGCGGTCACTTCTGAGTAGTGATCAGCAACCCTCCATCCCCGCCGAAATGGGGATGGCTGCTTCCGTTTGATTCAGGGTTGCATCAAACTGCATCTTGAATAGTCACCTGGGCACCAGCCACCTCTCAAAACCGGAACAAATTCCGCTGAAGACCAACATGATGTCTTCCATTGATGTCGCCAAACAGACAACCCGGAGTGCATGCCAGCTGAAACCAATCTTCCGGGTGGGGTTGAACATGAAATGCTTTCCCCAGTTGCTGATATGGATTGTCCTTGTCAGCATATAAGCAAACGAGTCTACCGTGACCAGCCTTACTTGTACCAGGCGCTCGATTGCTTGCCCTTGTCCATAAACTCGACGTTGGGCCTAAATGATCGTTTTATCGGCCCAATGTGTGTGTAGAACCACCAAAAGGAGAATGCACAGGGATTCCAACAAAAGCACCCCCTAAACCTGCCCGTCTCTGACATCCATCAGGCCTTCTGCCAAAGAAATGCTGGCGCGAAGACCTTGCAGACCGGGAAAAAGTAAGGCGGAGGCCCAAAGTCTAATGGTTTGAAAGAAAAAGTAAGAATGTGTTTATTTGTTTGTATTTCTTGATGTATTCATGTTTGAATTTCCCTGTTTATGTGTCAGTCATACATATATATATATATATTTATAATTCCTATCTTGACACATAGCCATTGGGTATGCATGTGACACACACACACACAATTGCAGCTCTCAGGCATTTGGAAAGAAGTGCAGGCTACACAGGACATTCGATTTTTGGCAAGGGCTTCGACACTTGCAGTTCATGCCACAAGCATGATTCATATAGATCTATATAGGCTATGCAAAGTGAAAAGGGATCCCAACAAAGCCACAGGTCGGTTTCCGTAGGTCACCTCTGTGCGTTACGGCCGTGGCTTTGGACTTCCAGCCTAATTAAGGAAATGGCGCACAGAGTCAACAGGCGCTTCTTGCACATGCCAAGGCAGGAGAAACATAGCCACACTTCCATACATATATATATATATATATTTATACACTATATATATATATATGTATACATACATACATAAATATATATATATATATATACGTACATGTTTGGATGAACACACATGCATGTATCAAGGACTGATGACGGGCCTCAATGCACTTATGCACCTGCCTGAACTTCAGGCAGGCCAGCGAGACAATCTTCAACCGCGGAAAATGCGACAGTATGCGACCAAAGCTTACCCCTCGCGCTGCTTCTCCAACCTGCTCCAACACGCCACTATCCCCTTCCTCCCAGGTTGTTTGAAGGTTGGGGGGGTAGCTTCTGATTTGGTCTCAAGAGGAACTGGCGGTTCAAACCCCAAAACCCTACTGTGTGTTAGAGATAAGGTGACAATATTGGTGCGTCCCATCTTGCTGGACACTAAAATTAGTGGCTTCCCCCTTTGGCTTCTTATACAACATTAACCCGATAGTCCGGTCTGTCACTGAGCGCTAGAGACATCAACTTGTCAGACAGCTCTTTAGGAGACCAAATACACTGAAGGAATCACAAGCTTGCAGCAATGTCCAAATAGATTGATGTGACGCGCTGACCAGGAAGACATATATCCTACTGGTGTGCCTTTTGCAGCAAGCCTGCTTGCAAGTTCTGACTGGTGAAAGGGCAGGCAAACCCCTTGCCATTCAAAGCTCTGCTTTGTGCCAACAGGTCAACAGGTGCCGGAGAGTGACTTGTGGTCAGTCAAGAGTCGGGTCCTTGAGATGCATCTGCTTGTCATAGTATGCATCTGTACATATATATAAATATTATATTGCCTACATATCGTATGAGTATAATGTACAGTGAATGTAATATGTTCTTCGTACATACCTGCACACTCTACATAGCTCAGAACATGTGCACGTGCATATTGCTTGCATCATGCTCGCATACAGTAAAGTGTGAAGTGTACCCTACCACTGCTCAGATCAGTCGAGGTTCGCCAGGCATCCTTTCAGAAAAATGAACAGCTCTGGCAAATGATTGGGTCCGAATTGAAATCAGTTCATGAATCTATGTTCAACCAAACTGGCCTAAAAGCAATGGACAAACAGGGCTTACGAGAAAGCAGTCGTGGTGGCACTCCAAATACCGGTACCGACTTTGTCAAATTTGCTCAACGGCGAGATACCCGGGTCAAAGCGCGGGTTCCCCAAAATGTTGTGGAGCCCTGCCAAAGCTAAACGGGTGTCTGAATGGACCCCGCAAAATTGGGGTTTCCCTTTAAGAACCAACAAACAAACAAAACAAAACACCAACTGTTGTCCAAAAACACAAGCAAGACACAAACCAACAAATTGGGGAAACGCATATTCTTAAAGGGTACCAACAAACAAAACACAAACCACCAGACCCGCAGTTTTGGGCTGCCCGGCTGGTCCCGGGGCTTCCCCCGCTGCGGTTGTAGGCGAGCACCGCGCCACAAGCCGCGAGGCCCAGGGAGGGCAAGACCCAACCCGGCCGCCTGCCAGGGCTGGATGCCAATGGCTGCAGATTGAAGACTTCTGTACAAAACACCTGGAACCAGGTCCCATTCGCTTTGTCGCTTGCTTTGTCCCAGCGGCTTGGGGTAAGGTCCCGCTCGGCTTGCTTTGTCCCAGCTTGGGGCAATACACGGGCACACTGGGTATCCGTTCGAGCCGGTATTTTCGTGTGACATGGCAGTCAGTTAGAACTGAAGGCGAACACGCCTGGGGTCGCCATACCCCGCGACGTGTTTGTAGTGTTTGCCCACCTAACATGATGCCCAAGAAAGTGCCCAGAACCGCTGTCTCTTTGCGCCCATCTTGCTTCGCTTGAAGGTGGAGCTGCCAACCCGGTGGGGCTTCCACAAGGCAAGCTTCCCAACATTGGATGCAAAGGCCATGCTTGACCAATGGGGCTGGGGTCTGGGCGATCCGGCTTTTCATATTGGGGCACCCTTGTCTGCACGAACAAGGGGTGAACAAGTCCTACTCGCGGTGTTAATCCTTGTTTTTTTTGTTTTTTCCTCGAACGCAACGCTGGCACTGCCCAACTGCAATCCAACTGAATGCAGCTGCGCCCGGTTGCTACTTTGCCGCGGGAACCTCTCCCGGTCATTTCAGTGGGAGGATCCTTGAATCCAATATGATCTAATCCAATCATACGTGCCCCTCATGAGGCCGAGCAAAAATCAGAGGCTGCTGCGCCTGCTGCCCTGGGTGTGTTGCTCCTGCAGGCCAGCACTCATGACTCAAACGGAAGTGCATCCAAATGTAACCAGCAGGCAAAGGAGTGAAGGGGTGCACCAACTGCTTCATTGGCCAACCCGCAGTTTTGGAAACAAGGCTTGGCAAATCTGGGCTCTGGACATGGCATTTAGAGAAGCCGGCGCTGCTAACGCTGAACACGTACCCGAAACCTAAACCTTCTGGGGCAAATGACTCGTTGTTGTTTGTCTTGATCTCATGTCAAAAAAGACTCAATGACTTGATGATTGGACTTGGGCCCTATCAAGTGTTCCTTCTGTAGTTTGTTTCATCTTCGGTCATATGACGTTTATGCTGACATCTATCCCATATGTGATACGATCTGCAAGCAGTCCCTGCTCACTCGAATTGTGAGAGCAAGGCGGTGAATTTGTATATTCGCGCGACGAATCGTGCACGCAGTCTTGTTTCGGCCAACGCGACCAAAAGGGCGCCCTATGTTCAGCGAGCTGGGGCATCCCCAGGACAGGTGCCCCTTCTACCAGTTTGATTTTCATGCCATACGACAGTTTCTGACCTTCTGCAAACACCAAAAGCAATGAACACGCACTTGACAAAGATGCCTAGAAAGGGAAAGTGCTTGTTAGTTTCCCACGGTGCCAGTCTCTCTTTGATTTTTTTTGTGAAAAGAACACGGCAGGATGGGAAGTGCAGCCCGCTGGGGGAACAAAACTGCTATTTTGGTCGCACTGGATGACTCAAACGCACACAAATCGTCCCACATCAAAAAAACATTGGGGGGAGACCCAGTTCTTGCGACCCCCTCAACCTGTTAAAAAAGGCAAAATGGGTGTGTCGTTGCTTGGGGGATCCCTCAAAATAGTGGCTTTTTTGGCCCCCGGCAAGAGCACAAACAAGGGCTACTAACTCCAAAACAACAATGTGTCAAAGCCGGCGCCTCCATCAAGGGATCCATCTCTGCGCCCTAGCCGCGGTGCGCAACTCGGAGAAGCCACACGGGGGGTGCAATGTGACATCTTGGGCTCCCTTGGTTCTTGGATGGTTTCCATTGATGCCAGTTGCCAGCAAAAAACACACAAAAACTGATAGAGCCACGAACCCGAATGCAATCTCCCCCCAACACAAAAACAAACAAACAAACAAACAAACAAACAAACAAACAAACAAACACACAAACAAACAAACAAACAAACAAACAAACAAACAAACAAACAAACAAACAAACAAACAAACAAACAAACAATTAAACAAACAAACAAACAAACACACAAGCCAAGACACACACACACACACATGTTTTGCAGGCTCTTCCACGCACATGTAGTCACAAACTGGTTTGCAATTGATGGGATGCTTGGATACTTGGTTGCTGCTTGCCGCTTCCCCGTTCGCCGGTAGAGCATCCCAAGTCATCAGGCTACTGAGGAAAGTCGTCATGTGCCATCAAGAAGAAAACTTCAGCGGGCGTCCCCTCAGTTTTCCTGTTTGTATGTTGGAAATTGGGGGGCGTAGACCTTTGGTACAACGCAAAGGCATACGATTGGTTGCGCAACGCTTCCGTGCTCAGTTGTTGTATCTGTACGGGTACAACTTGTTCTAGGTAAGGCTGCTAGTCTTTGGTGGCCTGTGTCTTCTTGCCCGCCATGACACAGAGCCGTGGTGACTTCAAACGTCACAACTGACTGCTGCGCCTCGTCAATGGCACTGCGCATCGACGCGTTGTAACAGGCTGCTGACTTGAGCCTGGATTAGGGAACTTTCGGCATGCCTCTGCAATACGGGTGTGGTGAAAACTAGAATCTTTCTAGCACACATGCTCAGCGCCCCTTCACATGATTTTGCGTTAAAGTCCCTGAATCATTCAAACACGCATGCACGCACAAGCACAAACATAAACACAAACGCACAAACGGCAAAACCGTTGCCGGTTTTAACTGGAACGCAAGCTCTCGAGTCATGGGTCCCAAGTCCGGAAATAAATGGGACGCGCTCAAGTGGGCTCATCCCCAACGAAAAGCCCCTGAAAAAGGATAGTCCTGCCTTTTCTTTTGGATGTGATAGCAAAGAACAACTTTCCAAGACATCAAGCGTGCGCTTGAAAATAACAACAACACAAACACATGCTTTGTTTGCAATATATAATTGTGAATTCTATGTTATTGAACAACATAAACAACTCTTATAAACACCCAAAGCAGCATTGCATCTTCGTCCAATAGGTTCGCGCCACAAAACACGACAGCGCTGTAGCAACGCTCGTACACACACACACACTCTTCAGCAAAGCTGGCAGTTTGCGCTTTCTTCAGGCCGGGCAATCCGGGCAAAGCAGGCTGTATGAAAACCCCCTTTTCTGGTTGTTTAAAGGAAACAAAAAGATGAAACAGCCAGTTGAGGGGACCTCTATTTTGCGAGAATCAGCTCAATCGGGAAGCCTTGAGTTGAACTCCGTCTGCCGAAGGGGCTGATTCTGAAGGCTTATGGCACTTGGGCTCGAGGTTCCTTGAGTCAGGGAGCAACGAGCCGGCATGTTCCAGACTTCATGTTTGGAGTTGGCTCGCCTTGATCAAGGAGGGTTTCCTTTTGGCAATATGGCATATGGCACATAAAAGCTCATGAATGAATTACCTGGGCTCCGCCAAAAACATATGAGGCGGGCACAACAACCAAGGTGCCGATCTGGAATGCCCTGAAGCGTCGTCCCTGTGGCTTCCCTGTCCCGCCAAAGACCAATGCATATCATCTTGAAAAACAAGAAACAACCAACCAACCCAAAAAGTAACCCCGAAAAACAACCCCGAAAAAACAACCCCCAAAAAACAAGGGTCCTTCAAACGATCCCCCCCAAACCCAAAAAAAAAAGAAGCGCCCACCTCTTCCGTCTCGAGCCTGGCAAGTCCCTTCGTCGCCTCTCAGCCCTTGGGCCACCAAGGGGGCAGCTCCTGGGTGGCGAAATGTCGCAAACATATATATATATATATATACATATATATAGAATTACATGCGTATATGTATATGTATATATATATATATACGTGTATTGTAGTACATGTAAATATATGTGTAATATTGTAATACATGTGAGGAGCGGACGAAACACTTTACTTGGCCCTAGTACTTTTTTGAACGTTATCGTTTTTGGGGGAGACCTTATCGTTTTACAGTGTTTTCGAACTTTGGCAGAACCGGCTCGAAAATCGCAACTTTGTAGTACAAGTCTAGTACGCGAAGTACACTTCCGCATCTCCAGCTCGAAAATCGTAACTTTGTAGTACAAGTCTAATAAGAGAAGTACAATTCCGCATCTCCAGCTCGAAAATCGCAACTTTGTAGTACAAGTCTAGTACGCGAAGTACACTTCCGCAGCTCCAGCTCGAAAACTTTGTAGTACGAAGTACACTTCCGCAGCTCCAGCTCGAAAATCGCACTTCTGCATCTCCAGCTCGAAAATCGCAACTTTGTAGTACAAGTCTAGTGCGCGAAGTACACTTCCGCATCTCCAGCTCGAAAATCGCAACTTTGTAGTCCAAGTCTAGTACGAAAAGTACACTTCTGAGCTCCAGCTCGAAAATCGCAACTTTGCAGTACAAGTCTAGGACGCGAAGTACAATTCCGCATCTCCAGCTCGAAAATCGCAACTTTGTAGTGCAAGTCTAGTACGCGAAGTACACTTCCGCATCTCCAGCTCGAAAATCGCAACTTTGTAGTACAAGTCTAGTACGCGAAGTACAATTCCGCAGCTCCAGCTCGAAAATCGCAACTTTGTAGTACAAGTCTAGTACGCGAAGTACACTTCCGCATTTCCATCTCCAGCTCGAAAATCGCAACTTTGTAGTACAAGTCTAGTACGCGAAGTACACTTCCGCAGCTCCAGCTCGAAAATCGCAACTTTGTCTAGTACAAGCTCTAGTACAAGTCTAGTACGCGAAGTACACTTCCGCAGCTCCAGCTCGAAAATCGCAACTTTGTAGTACAAGTCTAGTACGCGAAGTACACTTCCGCATCTCCAGCTCGAAAATCGCAACTTTGTAGTACAAGTCTAGTACGCGAAGTACACTTCCGCATCTCCAGCTCGAAAATCGCAACTTTGTAGTACAAGTCTAGTACGCGAAGTACACTTCCGCAGCTCCAGCTCGAAAATCGCAACTTTGTAGTACAAGTCTAGTACGCGAAGTACACTTCCGCATCTCCAGCTCGAAAATCGCAACTTTGTAGTACAAGTCTAGTACACGAAGTACACTTCCGCAGCTCCAGCTCGAAAATCGGAACTTTGTAGTACAAGTCTAGTACGCGAAGTACACTTCCGCATCTCCAGCTCGAAAATCGCAACTTTGTAGTACAAGTCTAGTACGCGAAGTACACTTCCGCATCTCCAGCTCGAAAATCGCAACTTTGTAGTACAAGTCTAGTACGCGAAGTACACTTCCGCAGCTCCAGCTCGAAAATCGCAACTTTGTAGTACAAGTCTAGTACGCGAAGTACACTTCCGCAGCTCCAGCTCGAAAATCGCAACTTTGTAGTACAAGTCTAGTACGCGAAGTACACTTCCGCATCTCCAGCTCGAAAATCGCAACTTTGTAGTACAAGTCTAGTACGCGAAGTACACTTCCGCATCTCCAGCTCGAAAAACGAAACTTTGTAGTACAAGTCTAGTACGCGAAGAGTACACTTCCGCATCTCCAGCTCGAAAATCGCAACTTTGTAGTACAAGTCTAGTACGCGAAGTACACTTCCGCATCTCCAGCTCGAAAATCGCAACTTTGTAGTACAAGTCTAGTACGCGAAGTACACTTCCGCAGCTCCAGCTCGAAAATCGCAACTTTGTAGTACAAGTCTAGTACGCGAAGTACACTTCCGCAGCTCCAGCTCGAAAATCGCAACTTTGTAGTACAAGTCTAGTACGCGAAGTACACTTCCGCATCTCCAGCTCGAAAATCGCAACTTTGTAGTACAAGTCTAGTACGCGAAGTACACTTCCGCAGCTCCAGCTCGAAAATCGCAACTTTGTAGTACAAGTCTAGTACGCGAAGTACACTTCCGCAGCTCCAGCTCGAAAATCGCAACTTTGTAGTACAAGTCTAGTACGCGAAGTACACTTCCGCAGCTCCAGCTCGAAAATCGCAACTTTGTAGTACAAGTCTAGTACGAGACGTACACTTCCGCATCTCCAGCTCGAAAGTCGCAACTTTGTAGTACAAGTCTAGGACGCGAAGTACACTTCCGCAGCTCCAGCTTCGAAAATCAAACTTTGTAGTACAAGTCTAGTACGCGCGTACACGTACTCGCATCTCCAGCTCGAAAAGTCGCAACTTTAGTACAAGTCTAGTAAGCGAAGTACACTTCCGCATCTCCAGCTCGAAAATCGCAACTTCGTAGTACAAGTCTAGTACGCGAAGTACACTTCCGCATTTCCATCTCCAGCTCGAAAATCGCAACTTTGTAGTACAAGTCTAGTACGAAAAGTACACTTCCGCAGCTCCAGCTCGAAAATCGCAACTTTGTAGTACAAGTCTAGTACGCGAAGTACACTTCCGCAGCTCCAGCTCGAAAATCGCAACTTTGTAGTACAAGTCTAGTACGCGAAGTACACTTCCGCAGCTCCAGCTCGAAAATCGCAACTTTGTAGTACAAGTCTAGTACGCGAAGTACACTTCCGCAGCTCCAGCTCGAAAATCGCAACTTTGTAGTACACGTCTAGCATCTCGTAGTACAAGAGTACGAAAAGTACACTTCCGCAGCTCCACTCGAAAATCGAAACTTTGTAGCACAAGTCTAGTACGCGAAGTACACTTCCGCATCTCCAGCTCGAAAATCGCAACTTTGTAGTACAAGTCTAGTACGCGAAGTACAATTCCGCAGCTCCAGCTCGAAAATCGCAACTCTGTAGTACAAGTCTAGTACGCAAAGTACACTTCCGCAGCTCCAGCTCGAAAATCGCAAGTTTGTAGTACAAGTCTAGTTCGCAAAGTACACTTCCGCATCTCCAGCTCGAAAACCGAAACTTTGTAGTACAAGTCTAGGACGCGAAGTACACTTCCGCATCTCCAGCTCGAAAATCGCAACTTTGTAGTACAAGTCTAGTACGCAAAGTACACTTCCGCAGCTCCAGCTCGAAAATCGCAAGTTTGTAGTACAAGTCTAGTTCGCAAAGTACACTTCCGCATCTCCAGCTCGAAAACCGAAACTTTGTAGTACAAGTACTACACTTCCGCATAGCTCGAACGTAAAGTACACTTCCGCATCTCCAGCTCGAAAATCGCAACTTTGTAGTACAAGTCTAGTACGCGAAGTACACTTCCGCATCTCCAGCTCGAAAATCGCAACTTTGTAGTACAAGTCTAGTACGCGAAGTACACTTCCGCATCTCCAGCTCGAAAATCGCAACTTTGTAGTACAAGTCTAGTACGCGAAGTACACTTCCGCAGCTCCAGCTCGAAAATCGCAACTTTGTAGTACTACACTTCCGCATCTCCAGCTCGAAAATCGCAACTTTGTAGTACAAGTCTAGTACGCGAAGTACAATTTCCGCAGCTCCAGCTCGAAAATCGCAACTTTGTAGTACAAGTCTAGTACGCGAAGTACACTTCCGCAGCTCCAGCTCGAAAATCGCAACTTTGTAGTACAAGTCTAGTACGAGACGTACACTTTCGCATCTCCAGCTCGAAAATCGCAACTTTGTAGTACAAGTCTAGTACGCGAAGTACACTTCCGCATCTCCATCTCCAGCTCGAAAATCGCAACTTCTCAGTACAAGTGTCGTACTTGCGAAGCACACCTTGTCAGCTCCAGCTCGAAAGTGGCGACTTGCCTTCTCGTTTTACGGTGGCCACGCAAGGGTCCCACCCTAGCTAAGTTGCAACTGCAGGGGTTATTATAGAGCCGTGTGTTAGCTAAGGGTTATCGTTTTTGGGGGAGACCTTATCGTTTTCCACGGCTTTGGCATGTGTTATGCAAAAACGTACCCCGCCTTGATAAAGTGGTCTTCGTGTGTTTTGTCCGTGGCTCATGTGTATATGTAACATATTCTAATACATGTGTGTGTGTGTGTGCATGTATGTATATATGTATGTATGTATGTATATATATGGCTCATAGAGAAGTTCTCAAAACTTGTGGACCCCTGCTTGCTGGTTTCAATGGGAATCCAAGGGAACAAAAAGAGGAAAAGCTACAGCAATGCTCAGGTCCTGTATTTCAAGAGAAACACTCTAATATGGCTGTGAATGCTATTGTCTGCGACCCTCCAAACATGAAGATTCATTTGGGGGTTGATGTCCACTGACCACTTTTGAAGGGGTCTCAACTCTTGAGATCCATAGCCACGCCCTCTCAAGTACCAAACGCACGACCTGATGCGAGACCCCGTGACAAGCGCTGGACGGCGTTTGGATTCATGCGCGACCAGTTCGAAAACACCACAATGAACAAGCACTTATAGCACTTGATGAGGACCTCATTCGGAGAACATGCGAACCCAATGAGAGGAAGCTGCATCGAACCGCCCCGAAATAGGTCTTGAAATGGGGTAGACCCTGGGGGCCAAAGAGGTTGTTTCTTGCCAAACAAAACACGAGCCAAAGCCCACCCACTCTGGAGCATTTTTTGTTGAAACCACACATGGGAATAAGAATCTCTGTTCAAAATCAGAACCCTTGGAGAATAAGGAAGCCAACCATTCGGATAATTTCGGAGATATCGCACGGTCCTCGGGATCTGCCTGGCTGGCGAGACTTTCGGCTCTCCCGTACACACCTCTGCTCCAAAATCTCAAAACACATGACTCGCAATGGCTGCCTTGAATTCCTGGGTTGACCAGTGGGAATGTTTGTCGTGCACAGAACGTGGGCCACAAGCGAACGTGGCCCACCCTGGCGGTCCAGCCGTCTGCTTTTGGGTTCAGAACACTTCGCCATGTTGTGTATTGTTGCTGCTGGCATGTGTCACAGCTTTGCCTGAGACATATTTGTGAAAATGTCGGTGGCACACCCGGAAGAAATCTAAACGGGCCTTTTAACAAATTTAAGCACAACCCACTGAAATACAACCAACCAGCCAACAACTCAACAACCCACACAAAATATTTACAGCTACCAACTCTTCCCCCGAAAAGCCCCCGACGCTATGGAGGGAATAACAACAACGCCCGTCCCCTTTGGTTCGGAATGCGCACCTTCGATTGAGGCGGCTGGAAGGTGGCTGTCGCCTAAAGATTCAATCCGCACTCGACCATCCAACCCTCTGGCCTCACCAAGTGGGTATGGGTCAAAATGAAACCACCAGAACGCAGGTGTTGGCTCTATTTACCAGAAATTCATCTTCTCTATCTGTGACAAATTCAAGCCTCCCTCAAAGTTCACCATGGATGAAAATGCCAAACCTGTGCTCGCGGAGACAACTCTTTGGGCTCCCTCAGCTCTCGAGCGGTTTCAGGAGGCGGTCAAATAGGTCGAGATCAAGGCGCCAAAGCCATGAGAACGGGCTGACTCAGTCAATTCTATAGGCATTGGCATCCAAAGCTTCAATTTCTGGGTTGCTGGCTTGAAGACTGGGTGCACTTGTCCAAGCCTGAGTGGTAGGGCGGCGCTCTCAAAACATAAACATGCCCTGACAGGGTTTACTCATCCTGATAGGTCCATGTCTCCCATGGTCAAGCTCCTCATGATCGTGGCTCCCTTAACAGAATCTTGGTCCAAACTCCCTATGGGGTTGATCATCTACCCGCCCCAATTCTTTCAACCATGGCCCTAATCTTGGACTGTTTTGGGGGCCTAAAAATTTGGAAGTGTTCTTCCAACAACAACAAACCAAACAGAAAACACACACACACAAGGAATGGTACACTTGAATTGGCAGTGCTGACCCAGACTAGCCGCTAGCCCTCGCTTTTCCACGAAAAGGGCTCCAAATCAACGGTTGCCTCCGGGTTGTTTCGGCGGTTTTGGGGCGGCGTAACGCCCCCAAGTTCTGGCCTCCAGCTGCGCCGGCTCAACCTGAAACTTCCCCCGACAAAAACCATGGGATGAGTAGCTTCCGTGGTTGTGGTTGAAACTGAGTGAGTCCGCTGGCTTGTGTGGAATTGAAAAAAGCCCCCAAGGGTTTTTTTGTGGCTGATTTCTAGTGAGCCCCTCCATGTCCCGCTTCAAATGGACCAGAGACCACAAGCTTGCCACACCATGAAGTGGCAGAATCAGCTCCACGTGGGCATGTCAAAATAGGGACACCGTCTAAACATGTGGCTGTGGGTGAAAACCAATGGGATCCCATTTTGGAGTAGGTGCAGTCTATTTTAGTGGGATTGGGATGTTCACTGGGTGTACGGGATTTTGGCCCATGGCCATGTTGGGTTTCCCTGTTGGTTTCCCCTTAAGCCCAGCTCAACAAGAAGAAAGCGGGACGACCGCTCAGTGCCTCCAGCGCCTCTTTGGACGCCGGAAGAGGCGGCTCCTGAGGCACACCCGGCTGCCGGCAAAGCTCCTGTTTGGTTCTGTTGCAAAGGACACCTCCTGGTGAAGTGGCTGTGGTTGTCAAAACCAATGGGATCCCATTTTGGGGTAGGTGCACCACCCATTTTAGAACCTATTTTCGTGGGGAGTGGGATGTTCACTGGGGGTATGGGATCTTGACCCACAGCCAAATCACCAAATCACAGCACTGATAGCCGATTGGAACACCAAGCACTTGTAGCCGACTTGTTGCAAACGCCGGTGGCATGGACAAAAATGCAAATCCAGCCTCCCAGCGCGACGGAAACTTCAACAGGGCTCCGACCACCCGGGAATAGGTCACTACAGGAAAGAGCCCCATAGCAATCCATGCTGCAAGCCGAAGCAACCGTGAATATCATGAGACGGCCTTCAGCATGTGGAGTGTTGAAACGTCATATCTGCTTATTTTGCCACACATCCCGCGGTCACATAGATTTGAGCAAAGTCTACATCAGAACGTTGAAAGCAGGGGACGTGGTACACATGCCCTCGCTACAAACCCAAACTCCGAAGGTTGGGTCTGCTCATGCCGCATGTTGGGTTTTGGCCTCTGATTGTTTTCTGGAAAGAACCGCGTGGTTTACGGATTGCAAGATGGATGATCACCCAGTCGCGCAGGACAATGGACAATAAACCGGTGGACACCAACATCAGGAGCTTAAACCTTAGCACCCCCCATCGCCCACCCAAGCGCCTCAGCCGCTTTGGGCTCCTCCGCTTTGTGGCTCTCTACTTCGGATTGCAGCTGGTTGGAAGATGGCGGGGCCTCCTGCCAGTGCAACTTGCAAAACGCAGCACGCAATTCTTCAAACAATGCCTGATGAGATAATCTGTGTTTCAAGCTTGATACTTGCATCTAAGCGCATGCTGACTCTGAGCTGTCGCTTGATAGACTTACTCATGACCCGCCCAAAGTATTTCAATGTTTCACCCATCAACCCCAGGCCACCCCAACCACTGCAAAATCCCCGCCCAGCCCCTTTTTTGTTGTTCAGCAAGAGAAAGCGAGTTGTGTGTGTGTGTGTTTTGTCTGAGGCACTCAGTTGCGGCACCAGCTCTTCGCGACATGCGCCCCGAGTAGGGTATGTAACGCACATCTTCGGTCGCGTTTCTTATCGTTGTTGGTTCGCCGCCGGCACGAGGACTGCTGGAGGGTAGGATGGGTTTTGAGTTTACGGTGGATGTAGAGTGGTGTAGATCAGGGATTGGCTGCTTGCGGTTGGATCAGGGTAGGCTGGGATTGGGGTAGGATTCGGGCGTGTTTTGGGTGGGCTGGGCTGGTTTTGAGTGAGTTAGGGGATAGGCTAGAGTTGTCTTAGGGTGTGTTAAGGAAGGGCTCGTAGATTTGGCTTAGGGTTGGTGGATTTAGAGGGGTCCAGTGTGAAGTTTATAGCTGGATCAGGGATTGGTTTACGGCCGGACTAGGGGCCTTAGGGTAGGGTGGGCTTAGGGCTGGTTTAGGTTGGGTTAAGGGATAAGCTCTCGGTTCGTTTATGGTGGATTTAGGGTGGCCTGAGGGGGTTGGTTGAGTGTTGGTTTACTAAAGCCAGCTGTGTACTTGTGTCCTAGCTGCCTTGTTTCATTGCTTACATGTTTCTGTATTTGTTTCCTTGTTACAAATTTACTTCTCTGTTCGCTTTACCGTTGTGTCTCTGTTTCGCTGTCTGTTTGCTTCTTTGTGTCTTTGTTGCCTCCTCTCTTTGTGTTGTTTTGAGTTAGACGTACGGCGGGCTTGGCTTCGCGGTGCAAGTTGTTTGCGCACAGTATCGCACCGTTTTGTTGACAGCTCTCGCACGGCTGCTAGGCTTGCAAGCGCTGCTCGTGCGATCTCGTCCGATTTGCAAAGCACTGTGGGAGTGGTACAGCTCTGGGTGAGCTCGAATCAAAGTACTGCATTGTGTGGCTTGGATGAGTATCTGATTGGTTTCCCCCTTTGGGTGAAGGGATCTCTTAAAACCCCAAAAAAAACTGAGATAGCCTGGTCAGGCGGCAAGATTAGGAAAATGGGCCCAAACAGATTCGATTTAGGGCTTGATGTAGCCAAGGCCATCCGGAGAGCCCGCAGATTCGCTCAAATGTGGACTGAAAGGTGGCGCCTCAGAACTATACATGAATATGATCATGATTTCAGGCTGATGGGATTTTCAACACAGGCAAATCAAGACCGCCACTGAGGGAAGCATCAAGAACATCTCCCCTCCTGACTCCTTCCGGGGCTCTCGGATGTCGCGCCATTGGGAGACGCTCCACGGTCCACCTGCCAGCACAACTGAAAAAAAGCTCACCAAGCTGAGGCACGTGTGTCCAAGAAGGCACCTTCTCAATTGTTTTGCCCGTTCTCCCAACTACATGAAAGCCAACCAAGGCTTGCTCAACAAACCGCCAGGCTCTTCAGTGCAGCTGGGTTTTGTTCAATGCGATTCTTTGCACATCAGGCCACAGCACATCATGTTCAGAACGAAGCATGAGGCCGTCATGTTCAACGCCAAGCATTTGACATTTCGAGGAGCCACTAGTTTGGCACAATCCACATTCCCATGGCGCGCTTTTTAGCTGTGTTTGCCGAATTGGGCTACTTGCAAAGTTGACGATTCTCTCCCTGGATATCAGGAATGTGTAGAGCGCAGAATGCTTGACATGTGAGTGTGTCACACTGAAGCCGCAAAAACTAGAAACGACGACTAAGGCTACAAATGTACTTGTTCTGACGCGGGTGTTTTTTTGAGCGTGCCTTTTCCAAGTTGGTTTGAAGGCCACCAAAAGGAAAACCACAATTTTGTGTCCCCTATTTAAAGACATACCCAAATATGTTCGAGCAACAAAAAATGACATGTCGACCCGCCTTGACGTCCGGAAATGCTCGCAGAACCCTCGCATTCAGCGCCTGCCAAGCTCCAACGCTGTGCAGATTGTAACTCAAGTGACTGAGCTGGGCAAAAAGTGCGTGCCACCTGCGACAAAGGATGTTTTGCAGGAACCTCGGAGAGGGGGGGGGGGGCCGAAAGGGGGGTCGTCTCGTTTTTTTTGTTTGCCCCTTTAAAGGGGGAGCTCGTCTTTTGTTGGAAACCCCTTGAAGGCGGCGCCTCGTCTTTTTTGCTTTTGAGGCGAAGCCCCTTTTTTTAGTGGCGTCGAAGGAGAAGTGCAGCAGGAAAAAACACCAATGTTGGGGTCCAACCTTCAAAAAGAAACGCCCATTTCCTGTTGAGGTGGTTTTAAGCAATGCAGATTTGGGGTCAAATTAAGGTGGAGCGAGTTTGGTCAAACAACTGTTTTGTGGTACGCGCTCACAGCACCTGTTTGAGTTTCCATTGGGCTGATGTTTAGAAGGACATATAATATAGGGACCGTGAAAGCGCATGTGGGGGCAGAGAGGATGGTTTCGCTTTAGAAAGCACGCTTTGAGCTGGATTTTTGGGGTTACGAGTCCATACTTGTAGGGAGCCCTTATTTCAGGTTTTGGAATTAGAGTAAAACTTGCAGATGGATGTTGCGGAGAAAAGAGAAAAGCACAACTGCGCATGTTTTAGTATGGCGAGCTACGCAGTTTATTTCAAGCCTATGGTGCAACTGGGGAAGCGCAGGTTGCAGCGCGGTAAAAACAAGTCCGAGTGAAGTCGAAGAGAAGCTCAGCGGTGCGCTTTCGATTAGTGGTTTCTATAATTTCTCCTCCAAGAAGGTTTTACTTGCGAAAAGCCGGCGTCCTCTTGCAGTTCCAGTTGGTTGCCATGGACAGCGCAGGCGTGGCGCTGGTAAAGCAAATTGACACGAGCCAGGAGAAAAAGGCCTAGGTCTCCCAAAATTGGCGCTAGACGCTGCTAGGTGCAGATGATTGCAGACCCCCCCCAAATTGCCAAACTGGGCGTGAGGCCTCGGGTGTTGTTCAGTAAGAATGATTCATGCCTCTCCACACGTAAGATATATATATATATATATATTATACATATATAATATATGCACATATTGAGAAAAATGTGGGGCTTTCATTGATGCACCAACTCCAGACTCATGCTTTTCTGACGCTCGCGATTTCAGTGCTAAACACATAACAGCTTCATCACGGTTTGCAATTTCGCGCTTGATAGCGTTTCTTTGTTACCGTTGTGCGCTTCGTTTGCGCTGAGCTCTTCCACTTGTCTTGCCCTCGGGTGAAACCATGTTCTTATTATTATGCTAGCTGCCTCCTTTGGCCATGTTGGAAGATTGTTGAAGATCCAGTTGCACCATTGTCAGGCGAAGTTAGTTGTTTCACGCTTTCCGCTCTTCTGGAACCCTCTCTTTGCTGTCGCAGCAAACATGCTGGCTAGTGGAAGCTCAAAAACGCCCTGTCTCAAATCTCGCACATGAGTACTATTCCTTGTGACAATGGACACAAGGAGAGCCGGGTTTCAACGCGTCCCCGAAGGCAGAAGGCTCCAAGGTTTGGGAAATAGGCCGCCCTGGGCAACTTCAGCTCGTCGCCACAACGTAGAATGCGATATTTCACTGACCCCGATGACCTCACCGCCAATGTTGCAAGGCATTCACTGGACTCTTGCCAGATGTGGTATCATCTCCCCTCACAAGATGGGTCAAAAGCCCGGTTATCCCCCAGTGAACATCGCAATCCCCACTAAAATAGACTAGAATGAGGTTCTATTTTTTTTAAATGGGTGGTGAATTCGCCTACCCCAAAATGGCACCATCACAGGTGACCAAAGGTAGTCACGATTGACAATTGTCCATTAGCATCCAACTTTGCATCACCCGCCACCAGGTGGCACGAATGGCTTGCAGCGTTCAGGCACCTACCACCCAATCGAAACCGGCTTTCAAACCCAAGGTGTGATACGCTTTGATCAACACACGACATATGACTGTACTTTGTACGATTCTGTACTTGGCTGTACTTTGACGACGGCTTTGCTTGTACGATGTTCGGAGCTAGGACTCTGTGACAAGGCGTTCGATCAGATTGTCAGGGCAATGGCCTCTTTCGATAGTTATGAAGCGGGCGCTGTAGTCGGTACACTCCCACAAAAAGACGTAGCAACACAGCAAAACAAAGGCTGAAGCGTGGAAGTTCGAGTGGCACAAGGCATAGAAATGAAATGCGTCGCAAAAAACCGGAACTGAAGGTGGAAGTTCCATAAACCGAGGCCGGCCCTGTATATTCCCCAGAAAACATGGAACGTTGCCTGAGAACAACAACGTCCAACGCTAAACAACAGTAACAGTGTTCGGGCCGATTTCCATCATGGAGGCCATCCTAAAACAAGCTGACACCTACACGAAAAACATGCTGGAAACCTTGCGCAGATTGCCGATCATGGGCACCAACACAACGTGGAACCTGTGTGGCCATATGTGATACTGTTTTTCCCCAACAGCTGAAAGCTTTGGGGTCTCAGCCCAGATAGGCTCCGGGGTGGTCCGGGGCGGCCCTGAGATAAGGTTCCACGAGGGTTCCACCAGGGTTCCACCAGGTTTCCACCAATCTGCAAGGGCTGCGGGGTGGTCGGGTTGCGGTAAGGTTCTACGAGAATTCCACCAGGGTTCCACCAAATGTTCCATCACCAGGGTTCCGCAAGGTTCTGCGAGGGCTGCGGGGTGGTCCGGGGTGGTTTGAGGTAAGGTTCCACGACAGTTCCACCTGAGTTCCAGGTTCCACCGGGTTCCACCGGGGTTCCACCGGGGTTCCACCGAAGATCCACCCGGTTCCACCAGGTTCCACCAGGGTTCCACCAGGGTTCCACCAATTTGTTTGAGGGCTGCGGGGTGGTCTGGTGCAGTTTTACCAGGGTTCCACCACATTCTGCAAGGGCTGCGGGGTGGTCCAGGGTGGTGCTGCGTAGTCCGGGATGGTTTGAGGTGTTTCATGAGGGTTTTACCGGGTTCCACCAGGGTTCCACCAGGTTCTGCGAGGTCCGGGGCGGCCCTGAGGTTTCACAGGGTTCCACACAATTGCGCAAGGATTTCACAAGCGCTCCACAAGGCTCCAACAAGCGTTCCAGAAATGTTCTGCAAGGTTCCGTGGTGGCCCTGGAGGGAAGCAGTGTTGCGCGCCCGGAGCAGTAAATTAAGGGCTCAGAAGATCGCTTTGCTCATGGGCGGAACACTAAGCAAAACCGAAACCAATGGTTTTCAGCACACTTTCACTGTTTGCCCCTTGCTCAAGTCACTTGCTCAGGCAACGCGGCCCGAAATGTTGGCTAAATCAGATCACGTTGCTGCGGGACTCACGGTGCAGCAGAGTAAATGCTTGGCATTGCTGAGTATTACTTGGTGGGCTTTGGGTTCCAAGAATTCCACAAGGCTGCGAGGGCTATGGGGTGAGGTTCCAAAAACGCTCCACGAGGTTTCCACCAGGTTCTGCAAAAGCTATGGGGCAGCCCTGGAAAGGTTCCGACAGAGTTTCACGCTGAGTTCCACGAAATTTCTACGAGGACGGTTTGCGAGGTTCACCGAGCCCAGGTCGGGGCCCGATTGCACCGTCAGGGCCCCGATTGCGCCATCGCGCCCCGATCGGGGCCCGACTCAGTCAGGCCCCACCAAGCTGGCATCGCCTAGTTTTGATAGATGCAGTTGTAAGGCCGTGTCGTAAGGAAAGCCGGCGTTGAGCTTTAATATGGGTGGCTGGGGTTGCGCCACGGAGCATGGCCCCGATTGCACCGTCGGGCCCAGATCGGGCCCCGATTGCACCGTCGGGCCCCGATCGGGCCCCGATTGCGCCGTCGGGCCCCGGTCAGGCCCCGATGGCGCCGTCGGGCCCCGATCGGCCCCGATTGCACCGTCGGGCCCGATCGGCCGATTGCGCCGTCGGGCCCCGGTCAGGCCCCGATTGCGCCGTCGGGCCCCGATCAGGGCGCTGTCACTCTTAGCTTTGCTTTATAAAGTTACAAGGCGGCATCCTCAGCAACACCGGCGGTGAGGTGGGTCCCGGGTTCGCGAGGATTCTGGGAGGGTGTGGTGCTGCTGGGGATATCGCCTGAGCTTATTTTTCTTCGTGGAACCAAAGCCAGGAACAGAGAACATAGACTACATTATATCTACATTATTACTGCTATTATTTAACTAGGGGTTCTACACTTTTTGCTCGAGAGTAGTTATCATTGGCAACCACGAACTGGCCAGGCACACAACATCGAAACTTGTTTGTCCACGCAAAAGCCTTCTGGCAATGTTCAAGAGCACGTTTACTAGCTGATCTTGACACTGCCCTGTGAAAAAAACAAGAGGTAATTTCAGAACACTTTGCAGCCGGCCTCTGACGCTAAGCCCAAAGCTTGCAACTCGGGGCGCAAACCCTGCCTTGGGTTGCGCCGCTTCGGGTTTCGCAGGGCTGTCCTCCCAGCTTCACTCAATGCTTTGGGTCAGCCGCAAGAAGTTCCCAGGCGCAAGATCCACAAAGTAGAACACAGGTGTCCTTTCGAACACGCACGCCCATACACAGCCAAATGTGTAGGCATGATGCCTGCCCGCGCAACACTGAATAGCCCTAGCAAGCATATATCTGCTCATTGTAGATAGCAATTGCACGAGTAGTGTGCATGTTGGGCCCCAAACAAACATATTGCCTAACAAACGGGTGCGTTTCAGTTGGTGTCTGCCAAAGACAAACGATGGCCCCTGCCTGTGTCCCGGTGTCCGCTGCCTGTCGAAAGTGGTTTTGCTGAAAGCGGTTTGCATCATGCTTCCGCTACCCGCCGCAAGTTCATAACATCTCATGGAGTGTGCCCACCGTTAACAGCTGAGCAGGGCGCGATCTGCAATGCGAGAATGCCAACCATAGCGCTTTTTTTGTGTGTCTTAGTTTTCTTAAAACTGCCCTTTGGCCACCCCCACCCTCTTTTCGCCCCTTGAAACAAGCGCGCTGCTTCTGTTCTCGGTTTTCGCCCGCTGGTTGGTTAGACTAACAAAGCCAAGGCGGCTAAGCGTCGGTCCCAAAAACAGAAGTAGATTAGATGTCCTATTGTTCGCACATACAAACTTTGGACATCTGTGCACTGGATAGAGCTGGAGCCTCAAATGTGCTGGACAAAAGCAGTGGCACGCGCTTGCCAAAAGGTTGTTGAAGTTCGCAATTGACATGGTGTTGAATTGTATGTGATGCGCAAAGCAATACTTCAACAAATGACGTTAACCAATCCGCAGAACTGGGTCCATACTTTGGCGGACGCATTGGCACGTTCCAATATCGCCGCTGCAAAAGGACGGCCAACACGGCAACTACAAAATGAGCACGCTGCTTCAAAGCACCTTCTTCGCTGGACCGCGCAGTGGATCTTCGTGTACCGTTTGCTTAACCTCTGCTATAAAGGCTCAAATCATTAGATTGGAATGGGGGTTACGCTAGACTTGAAAGCCAAGTTTGGTCATCATCATGAGGGAATATCATCATGAGGGAATAATGCGCGTAGTGATCTAGCCCTTACACTAACTAATCTGAGAAGGGAACCAATAAAATAATTACACTGGCATACACCCCAGATAGCACCCCAAAACAGCACCTGCACCAGCACCCCGAACTGCACGCCTACGGTCAATCTTGCAAAACTGCGCCCGCACCGTCACCTGCACGCATGCCCCCTAGCACCCGGCCATCTATCTCGCAAAAATGCGCCCGCACCGTCACCAGCCGTCACCAGCACCTCAAACAACACCCCAAGCAGCACCGTCACAAGCACCACAAACAGCTCCCCAAGCAGCACACCCTAACAGCATCTGCGCCAGCACCCCCTCTAGCACCCAGCCTTCAATCTCGCAAATCACTTTCCCCGCTTGATTAGAAGTTAGAACCCTTATAGCTTTCGGATATCTGGGGAAAACCGCACACACACACACAACACAAACCCATCCACCCACCCACCCACCCACCCACCCACCCACCCACCCACCCACCCACCCACCCACCCACCCACCCGGTCGCAAAAGGCAGCCCTGGAAAACCCGTTTTCAGCAAACCAGCTGCCCAAGGCGAAGCAACAGATTAACTCCTTGACACAAATTGCCAATGCTCCAGAAGTCCATCATCTGCAAACTATATTTTAATGAATGCCCTGATGCTGTATGTTCTGTTATGCTGATTTAAGGAGTATCCTTCGACGCGTCGATATTTGTCTGCACGCTGCAAGAGACTTGCTAAAGGTACAGCGGACGCCAAAGCCACTCAACGCAAATATTAGTGGCACCCGCCTGCGAATTGATGAAACAAACATCGAAAGGGTATTTTTTTAAGGTCTTGAAGAAAGGCCAAGAAAAAAAACAAAACCTTTATTTTTTGGGGGGAGCCCTAAAAACAAACACACCCAAATAAGAACCACGTGCGTCAACAAAGTCAACTATATTTGGCAGTGTCCAAATTCTGACAACACTACAAGGGTCTCGACTGTCAACACCAACACACCCAGGTATGGTCCATACATGTTAAATCGTAGCTCAAGGGTATGTCGTTGTAACGGTCCAATGCCACCTCGTACCCCGCCTGCGAGTTTGGCATCTGCACCGCTTGCCCCAAGGCTTCACTTTGCGCAGGTCCATCCTGAAACAAGCATCAATTGCAAACCGGGGTTTTGGTAGGTCCGATTGCTTTCGCATGTCTTGTCAAACCAGCTCTGCTGCCTATGCCCCGGCATCCACACACACACCTGCAGCCTGCAGCCAACATAAGCTTCTCGATGCCGTTCCCACTGATTAAAATCCATTCGCAGCAAGCGAAGTTTATCAACATACCGGCATGATACACCTTCGCACTCCAAAAAAATCATTGAACAGCAAGAAGAAAGCAGAGAGAAGAGGCCCACAAAGACCAAGGCCGTACGCAGCGCCAAGGACCCCGGAATAGAACAGGACCCCGCAGTAAATCTGGCGGAGTATCGAATCTAGTTCCCCAAAATGGGACACCTCCCTTTCAGCAGGATTGACTATCAAACCCGGGTCAAGATTGGGTTTGCTTGCCCTTCAAAAAGTCCTGAGGGACTAATTTGTCCACAGAGCAAGCGCGGTCAAAACCAGAATCAATCAACTTCTCAAAGGCAGTGATGCACTCCAATGCGCCAAAGTACAATGTAAAATCCACCGTCCGTCCAGCCGTTCGTCCATCCATCAACACGATCCAATAATGTACCTGAATGATTGCATGAAGCCGGGATGGTTTTTGAGGGTACCCCTGTTGAGGCTGGTTTAAGGGGAAACCAACCAAAAACCAGACTTTTTCGTGGACACATACCCAGCGGCACCAGGGGGGAGAGGGGGGACCTGCCTGCGAGCCTGGCCACTTCTGAGATTCGCGGTCGCCCTGCGGCCACCACGGAGGGATGAGTTGGGGTCATTTTGTGAGGGTCCTTTTGGGGTTGTTTCTTTTGCGAAACCAAAAGCACCCCCTCCGAACCAGCCCAAAGAGCCTTCAATCGGCCCTTGTAAATGGTTCCTAAAGTTCCTGAAGGGCTCCTCATAGAGAGCTCCTTGTGAAAGTGCTCTTAGGGTTTTGCAGCTTGAGACCTCAGAACCCGCTGCCAACGGCCCATGACTGATCGGATGGGCAGCCAAAGGGCTGGGACCAAACAAAATCTGAAACAAGTCCGCACACACTTAAGAGACAAATCTGTTACAAGGAGTCAAGGATTAGGAAGTTTGCAACTAGAATTACCTAGTATGAGAAGCAAAGCAAGGTATGCGCACGCGCGCGCACACACAACCACCCAATGCCCGCCCTCAAAATAAAACTGAACACAAGTCACGCACACAACAAAAACACACACACACACACCCACCCACCCACCCACCCACCCACCCACCCACCCACGCACCCACCTACGCACGCACGCACGCACGCACGCACGCACGCACGCACCCACACACACACACACACCCACACACACACACACACCCACACCCACACCCCACACACACACACCCCACACACACACACACAAACACACAAACATGCACACGCACATGCACACGCCTTTGCACACACACACACACACACACGCACACACACGCACGCGCACACGCGCACGCGCACACACGAACACGTGCACATGAGCACACGCGGACACCCGCGCACCCGCGCACCCGCGACACGCACACGCGCACGCACACGCACTCGCACACGCACTCGCACACGCACACGCACAGGCACACGCACACGCGCACACGCACACGCACGCGCACGCAAACGCACACGCCCACGCCCACGCGCACGTGCACGCGCTCGCGGACGCGCACGCGCACGCACCCGCACACCCGCACGCAAACGCACACGCGCACGCGCGCACACACGCGCACGCACACACGCACACAAACGCAAGGACAAACATAAATAGAAACACAAACACAAGCACGCAAACACAAGCATAAGCACAAGCACACACACACACACACACACACCCAGGCACCCAGGCACCCCACCAGGCAGGCAGGCAGGCAGGTAGGCAGGCAGACAGACAGGCCCCAGGCTCGGCACGCGCACGTGCCGCCACGGACACGCACACATACGCACACGCAGGTGCACACGCTTATGCAGACGATCGCAGACGCAAACGCACACGCACAAGCACACACACACAAACCAGTTAAACAAGCAAACCAAATACACAAGCACGGACGCGCATACACACAAAAACACCCACGCAAACAAACACGCACACGCACAAACACACACGCTGGAAAACATGGCACGCACGCGCACACACACACACACACACAAACACACAAGTATCTTTTGGAATTTGCTTCTCTTGCCATGCAATCAGCATCATGCTGCTGACCTCCTGCTCAAATTACGGTGCTGCGTAATTGATCTTGCGTCGCCACTATCATGCGCGCAAGATCACACGAAACGAGCCAAACAAACCTGATTCTGCCTGTGTGTCGGGCCATTGCCACTGCGCCGGTGGTCCCGAGGTTTCGCCACTTGGCGAAGGGAGCTCCTGGAAGAGTCGATCAAGGAGGCACTTTATCTGTTGGCGAAACCAAAACCAAATGCTTGTGCAAATCAGCTCCAATACAAACACAGCACAGGTTCCACAATCAGGCGCCCAACACAAAGGATCCTCTGATTATAGACAACGACAAAAAAACACATGGTTAAATTATCAAAGCTATTGCCAATACTTGTGCTAATGCTAACTCCTTTCATAGTCTGAAGGATTGCCATTCCAGAAATCAAAAATGGCCAGCCGGAAACAGCAAATGTGTAAACAGAAAAAGGTTTAACAGGCTTGTAAAGGGTACCCCCTTCAAGGCTGGCTCCCCCGAAGAACACAAAACCTCCCCTGATTTATCCCGGCACGCTCCAGCCCTGGAAAGTAAACAATGATATTTCATGCTAGGTCATCTATGTCCTTGTACTTTCTATTGCAGTGCTCATAAACACTGGAACCGGAGAGGACTGGCCAGGTCCAGACTAATCTGAGAGGGTCAGGGGACTCTCCAAAATTTTCCAAAACCTTGTCGACCTTCAAGGGCGGGGGGGTATTAATCATGTTCCCCCATGAGTCAAGGCTTGGCGTTTAGCAGGGATAAATACATCAACTAGCGGCTGAGCAAACCGAAACCGAAACCCGTGCATCCTTGCCTGTGTGCTGGGCCACTGCAGTTTTGAGGCATCGCTGGGCGACTGGCGCTCCTGCAGCGATAATCAAGAACAAAGCCCGCTCATACCATCTGCGCAGTTAAGTTTGGTTATCGTAAACAGCACTTCTGGCATACCAACTCTGGACAACAAAAACAAAGACGCGCGAAACACATGGACGTCAGCCACAACTTGATGCCATGAAACTGTAGCTGACGTGCACATGTAATTGTCGAATCGTACGCTAGCATGCGAGTCCAAACAAGGGTCTCCCCCTAACAAATAACACCGAGCTCATGTCTGCCACCTGCCTCCCATTATGTCAAATTGATTGCCAAACCGCGCGAAACTCCGCACACAGCAAAAGCTACGCATGCTGCCTGCGTGTCTGGCCACTGCTCAGCTGGTCTGGATGCTTCGCTGGGTGCCGGCAGCTCCTGCAGGAAACGTCTACTGACCACGGCTCCGCTTCTAACAAAAAGCAAAACACAAACTTTCCGTTGTCAGCCCTGGATAAACCCACAGCCAAAGTGAAACGTCCCAAAATAACAACGACATCCACATCTGCTAATAGCACTCTTCCAATGTTTCTCTGCGCAAATAACCAATCAGCAAGCCTAATCTGAACGCCAACTGTGCCAAGAGCCATCTATGCGTCCTGCCTGCGAGCCCGGCGACCCCGGCCATTGCGCCGTGGGTCTTGGGGCTTCGCTTGACTGGTGCTCCTGCAAAAAAATATCAACCACCGCCCGACCGAAGAAACTTACTCATCTCAGTGGTGCAAACAAACGTTGTACAAACAAACGCTGGTCACAAAAGAAGCAAAGGCAAACGTGTCACACCACCACCAGCGACCACACCCACTGCTTCAACAAACATCCATGCAACCTTCTTCCGCTTGAAACAAAACCGGTTCAACGTTGCGCAAAGACACTCAGGAAAGCACTTTCCACCGACTGTGCAGAAATGATGCTGCAGACCCCTCACCCCTCCTGCATGTCCGACCACTGCATCCCAGGTGAAGTGCTTCCCTGCAGGAAGAATCAACCAAGGCCAATTCAGCCATGTGATATCTACAAGCATGAACAAATAAAAGAAGTTCAGAGACCAGCTTGCGGCGGGCATTCAAAACTCAATGGGATCCACGTCTTTTTGTACTTGCTATTCCCTGCGGGCAGCAACACTTCACAGTGCTAATTGCTAATGAGTGTAGGTCGCAATGGCAGGCCCCCCCCCCCCTGAATGCCCCTAAATAAAGTTAAGGGGGGAAAAATCAGGGTCGGGACCAATTTAGAATTGGTTTAGTATTGGGCTTTGTTTTTGGGTTTTCGAATACTACTTTAGAATTGGGCCAATTCTCAAGTAGTATTAGAATTGGGCCAATTCTAAAGTAGTATTAGGCATGTTGCTTTTCTTATTTTGCTTTGGGGGAATACTAGTTTAGAATTGGGCCAATTCTAAAGTAGTATTGGGCCAAGAACTTTTGCATTTCATGAAGATTTGCATGGGCTGGCCCTGAATAAAGATAAGGGATCAGAGCAGTTTTGGGATCAGTGGGAATGAGCTTAGCTTTATTTAGGGTCTGGAAATTATTTGTTGCATGAGGCTTCATGGGGGGCAGCCTTGCTGGCAGGGTCAAGTTGTGATTGTTGAAGGTGTCTATATAAATAAATAAAAAAAATGATGAAGGGAATCACCCAATAATGTTGGGTCCATGCAATTGATTCTGAGTCCAAATTTTGTCCAATGTTTCATGTTTTGTGTTGTTTTTGCCATTTTTTTTTGGGGGGGGGGGAAGTTTAGCTTGTTGATTATTTGGTTTGGGAAAATGTTTAGCTTTATTCAGGGGTAGCTTACTAGTCGTAGGTGGACATTAACTGAAACCCATGCCTCCTGCCTGCACGCCCGGCCACTGCAGTCTTGAGGCATCGCTGGGCGCTTGGTGCTCCTCCGGGAACAATCAATCACAGAGCCCGTTCACACCATCACTGCAGACTGCGCTTCTAGCATGCCACCTCTGGACCACACAGTACAAACATCCCAGACTCCTCCTCCTGTGCTGACGTCACACATCAAAACTGCACATACACAACGGAATGATGCCTGCTGCTGCCAAGGACATTTGTGACATCTGCCTTTCTTACTACATATGTCAAATTGGTTCTGCATCCTCGAGAAACTTGGCACAAAGCAAAAGCTACGCATGCTGCCTGCGTGTCTGGCCACTGCTCAGCTGGTCTGGATGCTTCGCTGGGTGACGGCAGCTCCTGCAAGGTAGCGTCTACCACGGCTGCGCTTCTAACAAAAGCAAAACACAAACTTTCCATTGTCAGCCCTGGATAAATCCACAGCCAAAGTTGCTCCTCATCCTTCGACCCAGGCTAACGTCCGCAACAGTATGAACCCTCCCAAGATAAAACAACGACATCCACATCTGCTGGTGGCACTCTTCCAGCGTTTCTCTGCGGAAACCACCAATCAGCAAGCCTAATCTGAACGCCAACTCTGCCAAGAGCCATCTATGCGTCCTGCCTGCGAGCCCAGCGACCCCGGCCAGTGCGCCGTGGGTCTTGGGGCTTCGCTTGACTGGCGCTCCTGCCAAAAGCAACCACTGCCCGACCGAAGAAACTTACTCATCTCAGTTGTGCAAACAAACGCTGGACACAAAAGAGGCAAAGGCAAGCGTGTCACACCACCACCAGCGACCACACCCACTGCCTTAACACATCGATGCAACCTTCTTCCGCTTGGGACAACACCGGTTCAACGGTGCGCGTTGCTTCATGATGCGATGAACGGACTAGACAAAGACACTCAGGAAAGCACTTTTCACCGACTGTGCAGAAATGATGCTGCAGACCCCTCCTGCATGTCCGACCACTGCATCCCAGGTGAAGTGCTGTCCTGCAGGAAGAATCAACCAAGAACAATTCAGCCATGTGATATCTACAAGCGTGCAATGGGATCCACGTCTTGTTGTACTTGTCATTCCCCTGCGAGCAACAACACATCACAGTGCTAATTGCTAATGATTGTAGGTCGCAAGGGCAAACATCAACCAGCTTCAGGGCTAACTGAAACCCATGCCTCCTGCCTGCACGCCCGGCCACTGCAGTCTTGAGGCATCGCTGGGCGCTTGGTGCTCCTCCAGGAACAATCAATCACAGAGCCCGTTCACACCATCACTGCAGACTGCGCTTCTAGCATGCCGCCTCTGGACAACACAGTACAGACATCCCAGACTCCTGCGTTTGTGACTGACGTCTCAGATGAAACTGGCACTACTTCCAACAAACTGTACCAAAGCGCCCATGAACGCCAAAGGGACACGCGCCGAGCAAACACAACAGAATGACGCCTGCTGCTAAGCAGATGTGTACCATTTTGCCTCTCCCACTATGTCAAATTGGATCTGCATCCTCGAGAAACTTGGCACACGGCGAAAGCTACGCATGCTGCCTGCGTGTCTGGCCACTGCTCAGCTGGTCTGGATGCTTCGCTGGGTGACGGCAGCTCCTGCAGGAAACGTCTACCACGGCTGCGCTTCTAACACAAAGCAAACCACAAACTTTCCATTGTCAGCCCTGGATAAACCCACAGCCAAAGTTGCCCCTCATCCTTCGACTCAGGCTGACGTCCGCAACAGAATGAACCATCCCAAAATAAAACAACGGCATCCACATCTGCTGGTAGCGCTCTTCCAGCGTTTCTCTGCGCAAACAACCAATCAGCAAGCCTAATCTGAACGCCAACTCTGCCAAGAGCCATCTATTCCTCCTGCCTGCCATTGCGCCGTGGGTCTTGGGGCTTCGCTTGACTGGCGCTCCTGCAAAAGGCAACCACTGCCTGACCGAAGAAACTTACTCATCTCAGTGGTGAAAACAAACGTGTGTCACAAAAGAGGCAAAGGCAAGCGTGTCACGCCACCACCAGCGATCGCACCCACTGCCTCAACACATCGATGCAACCTTCTTCCGCTTGGGACAACACCGGTTCAACGGTGCGCGCTGCTTCATGATGCGATGAATGGAAGGCAGCAAAGTGCATTCCACATCAACAGTGCAGAAATGATGCTGCAAACCCCGCCTGCATGTCCGACTGCATCCCAGGTGAAGTGCTTTCCTGCAGCAAGGATCAAACATTGCTAGCTCATCCATGTGCTTAACGCATGCGCAGCTTGCATCCAAAACATAATGCCATCCATGATCCATGTTCCCTTTTTGGTGTTTGCCATTCCCCTTCGGGCGAAACACACATCACATTGCTAGTTGCTAATGATTGTAGGTCGCAAGGGCAAACATCAACTAGCCTCAGGGCTAACTGAAACCCATGCCTCCTGCCTGCGCGCCCGGCCACTGCAGTCTTGAGGCATCGCTGGGCGATTGGCGCTCCTCCAAAAACAATCAATCACAGAGCCCGTTCACACCATCACTGCAGACTGCGCTTCTGGCATGCCACCTCTGGACATCACAGTACAAACATCCCAGACTCCTCCTTCCCTGGCTGACGTCACACATTAAAATTGCACTTTGCGCTTCCAACAAACTGTGCCAAAGCGCCCATGCAGGCCAAAGGGACACGCGCGCCAAGCAAACACAACAGAATGACGCCTGCTGCTAAGCCGATGTGCACCATTTGCCGCATGCTGCCTGCGTGTCTGGCCACTGCTCAGCTGGTCTGGATGCTTCGCTGGGTGACGGCAGCTCCTGCAGGAAACGTCTACCACGGCTGCGCTTCTAACACAAAGCAAACCACAAACTTTCCATTGTCAGCCCTGGATAAACCCACAGCCAAAGTTGCCCCTCATCCTTCGACTCAGGCTGACGTCCGCAACAGAATGAACCATCCCAAAATAAAACAACGGCATCCACATCTGCTGGTAGCGCTCTTCCAGCGTTTCTCTGCGCAAACAACCAATCAGCAAGCCTAATCTGAACGCCAACTCTGCCAAGAGCCATCTATTCCTCCTGCCTGCCATTGCGCCGTGGGTCTTGGGGCTTCGCTTGACTGGCGCTCCTGCAAAAGGCAACCACTGCCTGACCGAAGAAACTTACTCATCTCAGTGGTGAAAACAAACGTGTGTCACAAAAGAGGCAAAGGCAAGCGTGTCACGCCACCACCAGCGATCGCACCCACTGCCTCAACACATCGATGCAACCTTCTTCCGCTTGGGACAACACCGGTTCAACGGTGCGCGCTGCTTCATGATGCGATGAATGGAAGGCAGCAAAGTGCATTCCACATCAACAGTGCAGAAATGATGCTGCAAACCCCGCCTGCATGTCCGACTGCATCCCAGGTGAAGTGCTTTCCTGCAGCAAGGATCAAACATTGCTAGCTCATCCATGTGCTTAACGCATGCGCAGCTTGCGTCCAAAACACAATGCCATCCTTGATCCATGTTCCCTTTTTGGTGTTTGCCATTCCCCTTCGGGCGAAACACACATCACATTGCTAGTTGCTAATGATTGTAGGTCGCAAGGGCAAACATCAACTAGCCTCAGGGCCAACTGAAACCCATGCCTCCTGCCTGCGCGCCCGGCCACTGCAGTCTTGAGGCATCGCTGGGCGATTGGCGCTCCTCCAGGAACAATCAATCACAGAGCCCGTTCACACCATCACTGCAGACTGCGCTTCTGGCATGCCACCTCTGGACATCACAGTACAAACATCCCAGACTCCTCCTTCTGTGGCTGACGTCACTTAAAAATTGCACTTTGCGCTTCCAAACTGTACCAAAGCGCCCATGCAGGCCAAAGGGACACGCGCGCCAAGCAAACACAACAGAATGACGCCTGCTGCTAAGCAGATGTGTTTGCCGCATGCTGCCTGCGTGTCTGGCCACTGCTCAGCTGGTCTGGATGCTTCGCTGGGTGACGGCAGCTCCTGCAGGAAACGTCTACCACGGCTGCGCTTCCAACAAAAAGCAAAACACAAACTTTCCGTTGTCAGCCCTGGATAAACCCACAGCCAAAGTTGCCGCGCATCCTTCGACTCTGCTGGTAGCACTCTTCCAATGTTTCTCTGCGGAAACCACCAATCAGCAAGCCTAATCTGAACGCCAACTGTGCCAAGAGCCATCTATGCGTCCTGCCTGCGAGCCCGGCGACCCCGGCCATTGCGCCGTGGGTCTTGGGGCTTCGCTTGACTGGCGCTCCTGCAAAGGGCAACCACTGCCCGACCGACGAAACTTACTCATCTCAGTGGTGAAAACAAACGTGTGTCACAAAAGAGGCAAAGGCAAGCGTGTCACGCCACCACCAGCGACCACACCCACTGCCTCAACACATCGATGCAACCTTCTTCCGCTTGGGACAACACCGGTTCAACGGTGCGCGCTGCTTCATGATGCGATGAATGGAAGGCAGCAAAGTGCATTCCACATCAACAGTGCAGAAATGATGCTGCAAACCCCGCCTGCATGTCCGACTGCATCCCAGGTGAAGTGCTTTCCTGCAGCAAGGATCAAACATTGCTAGCTCATCCATGTGCTTAACGCATGCGCAGCTTGCATCCAAAACATAATGCCATCCATGATCCATGTTCCCTTTTTGGTGTTTGCCATTCCCCTTCGGGCGAAACACACATCACATTGCTAGTTGCTAATGATTGTAGGTCGCAAGGGCAAACATCAACTAGCCTCAGGGCTAACTGAAACCCATGCCTCCTGCCTGCGCGCCCGGCCACTGCAGTCTTGAGGCATCGCTGGGCGATTGGCGCTCCTCCAAAAACAATCAATCACAGAGCCCGTTCACACCATCACTGCAGACTGCGCTTCTGGCATGCCACCTCTGGACATCACAGTACAAACATCCCAGACTCCTCCTTCCCTGGCTGACGTCACACATTAAAATTGCACTTTGCGCTTCCAACAAACTGTGCCAAAGCGCCCATGCAGGCCAAAGGGACACGCGCGCCAAGCAAACACAACAGAATGACGCCTGCTGCTAAGCCGATGTGCACCATTTGCCGCATGCTGCCTGCGTGTCTGGCCACTGCTCAGCTGGTCTGGATGCTTCGCTGGGTGACGGCAGCTCCTGCAGGAAACGTCTACCACGGCTGCGCTTCCAACAAAAAGCAAAACACAAACTTTCCGTTGTCAGCCCTGGATAAACCCACAGCCAAAGTTGCCGCGCATCCTTCGACTCTGCTGGTAGCACTCTTCCAATGTTTCTCTGCGCAAACAACCAATCAGCAAGCCTAATCTGAACGCCAACTCTGCCAAGAGCCATCTATGTGTCCTACCTGCGAGCCCGGCGACCCCGGCCATTGCGCCGTGGGTCTTGGGGCTTCGCTTGACTGGCGCTCCTGCCAAAAGCAACCACCCGACCGACGAAACTTGCTCATCTCAGTGGTGCAAACAAACGCTGGTCACAAAACAAGCAAAGGCAAGCGTGTCACGCCACCACCAGCGACCACACCCACTGCCTCAACATCATCGATGCAACCTTCTTCCGCTTGGGACAACACCGGTTCAACGGTGCGCGCTGCTTCATGATGCGATGAATGGAAGGCAGCAAAGTGCATTCCACATCGACAGTGCAGAAATGATGCTGCAGACCCCGCCTGCATGTCCGACTGCATCACAGGTGAAGTGCTTTCCTGCAGCAAGGATCAAACATTGCTAGCTCATCCATGTGCTTAACGCATGCGCAGCTTGCATCCAAAACACAATGCCATCCATGATCCATGTTCCCTTTTTGGTGTTTGCCATTCCCCTTCGGGCGAAACACACATCACATTGCTAGTTGCTAATGATTGTAGGTCGCAAGGGCAAACATCAACTAGCCTCAGGGCTAACTGAAACCCATGCCTCCTGCCTGCGCGCCCGGCCACTGCAGTCTTGAGGCATCGCTGGGCGATTGGCGCTCCTCCAGGAAGAGGATATACACAACAGAATGACGCCTGCTGCTACGTAAGCAATTGTGTACCATTTGCCGCATGCTGCCTGCGTGTCTGGCCACTGCTCAGCTGGTCTGGATGCTTCACTGGGTGACGGCAGCTCCTGCAGGAAACGTCTAACACGGCTGCGCTTCCAACAAAAAGCAAAAAACAAACTTTCCGTTGTCAGCCCTGGATAAACCCACAGCCAAAGTTGCCCCTCATCCTTCGACTCAGGCTGACGTCCGCAACAGAATGAACCATCCCAAGATAAAGCAACGACATCCACATCTGCTGGTAGCACTCTGCCAATGCTTCTCTGCGCAAACAACCAATCAGCAAACCTAATCTGAACGCCAACTCTGCCAAGAGCCATCTATGCGTCCTGCCTGCGAGCCCGGCGACCCCGGCCATTGCGCCGTGGGTCTTGGGGCTTCGCTTGACTGGCGCTCCTGCAAAAAGCAACCACCGCCCGACCGAAGAAACTTACTCATCTCAGTGGTGCAAACAAACGCTGGTCACAAAAGAAGCAAAGGCAAACGTGTCACACCACCACCAGCGACCACACCCACTGCCTCAACAACATCAATGCAACCTTCGTCCGCTTTGGACAAAAGGCGCGCGTTTCTTCATGATGCGAGAACGAATGCGCAGGAAAGCACAGTCCATGCGCAAGCAAAAAGCGGTCATGGAGCAGCTTATGGCTGGCATTCTGTACTTGTCATTCCCCTTTAGGGCGAAACACACATCACAGTGCGAGTTGCTAATGATTGTAGCTCGCAAGGGCAAACATCAGCCAGCTTCAGGGCTAACTGAAACCCATGCCTCCTGCCTGCACGCCCGGCCACTGCAGTCTTGAGGCATCGCTGGGCGCTTGGTGCTCCTCCAAAAACAATCAATCACAGAGCCCGTTCACACCATCACGGCAGACTGCGCTTCTGGCATGCCACCGCTGGACATCACAGTGCAAACATCCCAGACTCCTCCGTTTGTGACTGACGTCCCTTGACTTCGATGCATTTTGCAAAAATACTTTACCAAAGCGTCCATGCAGGCCAAAGGGACACACGCCAAGCAAACACAACAGAATGACGCGCGCTGCTGCCAAGCACGTGTGTGCCATCTGCCTCTTACTATGTCAAACCGGTTCTCCATCCTCGAAAAACTGGGCACACAGCAAAAGCTACGCATGCTGCCTGCGTGTCTGGCCACTGCTCAGCTGGTCTGGATGCTTCGCTGGGTGACGGCAGCTCCTGCACGAAAAGTCAACCACGACTGCGCCTCCAACAGCAAGGAAAACACAAACTTGCTGTCCGCATCCCTGGACAAGCCCAGCAGCCAAAGTTGCCCCTCATCCTTCGACTCAGGCTGACGTCCGCAACAACATCAAGCATCCCAAGACACAGCAACGACATCCACACCTGCTTGTACGGTCCGTAGTACTCTTCCACTGTTTCTCTGTGGAAACGAGGAATCACAAAGCCTAACCTGAACGCCAAACTCTGCCGGCCCAAACTATGCGTCCTGCCTGCGAGCCAGGCGACCCCGGCCATTGCGCTGTGGGTCTTGCGGCTTCGCTTGACTGGCGCTCCTGCAAAAAGCAACCACCGCACGGACCGAAGAAAATTGTTTGTCTCAGAGTTGCGGATTGCAGCTTCACGCGAGCCACGGACAAAACAAAGAATGCGCACGAAAATAACATTCAAGATCAACAGAGCAGAAACGACGCTGCAGACCCCGCCTGAGTGTCCGGCCGTTGCATCCCAGGTGTCAGTGCGCCGCTTGAAGTGCTTTCCTGCAGGAAGAATCAACCACGCCCATCTTTGCCATTCTTTGCTCGGCACGAACAAATAGACTCTATACGTAGGAAGAAAACCAGCAGCCCCACAACAAACAACACTTGCAATTGCTGCTTCGAGCAAGACATGCGGTCCATGTTCTTGTAATCGACCCATGGACAAAAACGCTCCAACGTGATGCTTGACGTAGCTCGCGGATGCAAACATCAACCTTGCTTGGGGCAAGGCAACAACTCACGCAGCCTGCCTGCCTGCGTGCCGGGCCACTGCAAGCTCGAGGAATCGACGCGCGACTGGCGCTCCTGGCCCTGCGGCCAATTCTTTGCCCCTGCATGTGCAAAGGCACCCATCCAAACAAGTCGAAGGGGTCACCCACTAAACAAGCGTCAGACAAATGCCTCACTGCCGCAAAGGCACAGTGCGCTCTGCCTTTGATATGTCTCATTGATGATTTGCCTTCGAGAATGGGACAACAAAAAGCTACGCATGCTGCCTGCGCGTCCGGCCACCGCACAGCTGATCTGGAGGCTTCGCTCGACTGCAGCTCCTGCACGAAAAGTCAACCACGGCTCCACTTTTGACAGCAAGCAACGCATAAGCTTGCTTCTGTCAGCCCTGGATAAACCAAGCAGCAATCGATTGCGACAAAATAAGGCATCCCAAGATTCTGAAGTATCCACACCTGAACTTGTCACATAATCCTAGCTCAAAACAACAACAGAATCATCAGCTGCCAACACCTTTCAGCCAGAAACAAGGATGCGCCATGCTCAACAAGGCTGCATACAATGAGTGATGCAACTAGCGACTGGGATCAACCCGCCTGCAAGCCCGGCCACTGCGCTGCGGGTTTTGAGGCTTCGCTGGGCGATTGGGTCTCCTGCGACAAGCAAGGGTTTGCCCCAGTGGGAGCAAACAGGCCTGGCCTATTAAAAAGCAAGCAAGGCCCCCCTGAGCAGTTCACGGCTGACTTCTCAAGCACCCTGACAATCACACAGTCAACAGCAAGAAGCGGCCTCAGTTGCAATAACCAGAGCCACCCGATCGGATCTGTTGTCATCAGCAACCAAAGAGCTCAGCATGTTCCAGTGGAGCTGCGCGCAACGAATCAACGAGTTGGCAAGCATTGCGATCCAATCTCACATTCGCATCCTCCGGCCACGCCGGTCTCGAAGCCGTGGGCAATGGTTCCTGAAGGAGTCGATGCCAATGGGATGCGACATCTCATGGAACGCATTTGAAGCCTGGACTAGTGTCCTGCCGTCCGCAACAAAACGAGGCCTGCTCAGATTCAAGCAACCAGCCAAACAGTACAGCTCCTTTTTGCTTCGGCCTTCGGCCACCCTTGCCAGCAATAAAAGCCACCCGTGGGCCACCAGTCACTCAAATCCAAACAAACTATTTAAACATCAAAACAAAACAAACCAACTTCTAGGGGACACTTCCCCATTCTTTCCAGGGATCCTTCTTTCCAGAAAACCAGCAGAACCCCAGGGGAAACAGCTGGTTTCTGAAAAGAACGATGGTTGAAAAGAATGGGGAATCAACCCCTAGACAACTGCCCAAACTCGACCCATCAATCAAGATGTGTGTCTACACTATACCTCCGGCACCCTGAGAACCAACAAACCGGTCGCAGTGTTCGATGTTTGAGATGGCGCCCGCATGAGACGACGACAAATGTTTGGGCAAGAGCTCTCTGTGCTGGTTAGGCGGTGGGGTCGGTGTTAGTGGGTCCTCCCCATCGATTCCGGAGGAAAACCGGTAAAACGGAAAAACGGTTCTACCGTTCTCCCCGGTAAAGCGGCAAAATGGTAAAACCCGTCCCATGAAAGGCTTGAGGGGGGACAAGGGCTCCTGCTGTACCTGGGTTTTTGTTACAGCATCCGAAGATGCGCTTTCTGACCTTTGAGGCCCATGAATTAGACACTATGTTCCGGCCAATACAACATGTTTGTTGAGAGCACCGAAGCGATTGGTAATCTTTCCAGAAGAGGCAGAATGCTTCTGGAGTACCGAAGCGGTTGGCGCTCTTTTGCTACCAAGGGGCTGAGCCACGAATCTGCCCAAGTCTCATTTGTTCAACTTCCCAAACACTGGTATATTGGGAACAGCCGTTGCTCTTTCCCATTCAACATGAGCAGGACCTGAGAAGCAAACAACGCATTGAAGAACATAATGTTTACCCCAAATTGAACAATGCTTAATGAATAGGGGGCGCCCCCTTTACTGAGAATCCTTCATCCCTGACGCACAAACATCTGCCAACCCCGGCATTTATCCGTCCTGTATGATCCTTTATTGTCCTATCATAACCTGCCTTATGCGGTCTTATCCTGTCTTATCCTATCTTATCCTATCTTATCCTACCATGTCCAATAGTATCCTATCGTATCCTGTCATATCCTGTGTCTATCTATATATATATGTCTATCTATCTATCATACTATCTATCTAGACATAATATCGATCCTGTCTGTCCTATCTGTCCAAATTTATATCATCGCATATGTCTTATCTATATTGTACATCTTATCTATATGATCTATCGTATATGCCTTATCTACCTTGTCTATCATACATGAATTACTATCCAGTCTTATCCTATCTTGACCTATCTTATCGGTTCTTATCCTGTGTGTCTTATCCTATCTATCCCATGTTGGCCTATATTACCGTGTCTCATCCTATCTTAGCCTATCTTATCATATATATCTATCGATCTATCTATATTTATCGCTCTATCTATCCATCCATCTATCTGCCGATCAATCTATCTACCTATATATCATATCTATCGTACGCTATCCTATCCTACCTCATCCTGTGTTATCCCATCTGATCCTGTTTTACCCTATCTTACCCTGACTTACCCCATCTTATCATATCTTGTCCCGTCTTATCCTCTCTTCTCCTATCTTACCCCACGTTATCCTACCTTACATTGTTTTGTTCTATATGTTCCCATCTTGTCCTATGTATCTTATCCTATGTATCTACCTATCTACCAACCTACCCACCTACCTATCTATCCTATCTATCCTATCTATCCTATCTATCCTATCTATCCTATCTATCCTATCTATCCTATCTATCCTATCTATCCTATCTATCCTATCTATCCTATCTATCCTATCTATCCTATTTGTCCTCTGTGCTATCTGTCCTATCTGTCCTATCTGTCCTATCTGTCCTATTTCATCGTAGCTGTCTTATCTGTCTTGTTCTATCTTGGCTGTATCCTGTATGTCTTATCTATGTTGTCTATATTATCTATCATATGTATCACGCCTACTGTCTTTTCTTGTCATGTGCTATCCTGTCTTATCATACCTTAACTAATCTTATCCTTTGTTATGCTAGCTTATCCCATCGTATCCAATCTTCTCCCATGGTATCCTGTCTTATCCTGTCTTACCCTATCGTATCACGTCCTATCTTGTCTTGTTCTATCTGATCATATGGGTCTATCCATCTACCTACCTATCAATCGTATCTACCCTATCTTTCCTATCTATCTCAGCGTGTATAGCTTGTCCATCGTTTATATCCTATCTATCTGATATATCTTATGTCTTATCTACCGTAGCTATCTTATATATTATGTCTACCCTATCTACCTTGTCTACCTTGTCTACCTTACCTACCTTTGCATGATCCTGTCTTAGCCTAGCTTAGCCTATACTATCGTACCTTATGCTATCTTATCCTGTCATATCCTGAATTGTAAAACCTTACCCCATATTAGCCTATCTTGCCGTATCTTATGCTATCGGAGCCGATCTCATTTTATGTATCTATCTACATTAATATACATCTACAGCTATATTTCTATCTGAGCCTATATTATTATATTGTTATCCCATCATATCTTGCCTTATGCTGTCTTATCCTATCTTATACTATGTTCTCATATCTTGTCCTATCCTATAACGGGAAACAGCTGGTTTTTCTTTAAAGGTTACACAGAACCGACCAGGCATCGACCCCTAGAAAGGATATCGTGCTGCGCGCTCAAACAACGGTAAAACGTTAAAACGGTTTTACGGTTTTACCTGCCAGCTAAGACGGTAGAACGGTCAAAACGGTAAAAAAAAATACGGTTTACCTGCCAGGTCAAACGGTAAAACGGTAAAACGGAAAAATGGCTTTACCGTTTTACCTCAAAAATGAGACGCGGACCTCGAACTCACTCCCACCGCCACACCGGCTTACCGTCACATTCGTAAAGAGCGCTAGCAAAGCACCTCTGTTTCGCAACTGAACTAAGGAACACGCCTACGCTGTGCATCCTGCCTGCGTGTCCGGCCACTGAGCTGCCGGTCTCGAGGCTTCGCTGAGCGCTTGGCGCTCCTGCAGGGACCAACTTCGGTGCGTATCAACGATCAACGGCTTAAGCGGTCATCTGAGTCACTGATTCCCAAAGTGAAAGCACAGGCCCCTCAGCAGTTTCCTGCCCAAACCCACAACATGAAGCACACAGTCACATGTGTCGCAAGCGACCGCAAGCAAGATGTTTGAGGCTCCAAACAAATCACAAGCAACCATCACAAGTATAACAGAAGCACTATGTAAACCTGCTTTTTGGGCACATCGGCAAAACCTCACAGGCCCCTGGTCAGCAGTTTACAGCCCACACCACAACATGAGACACAAACAGAGCAACAAATACTCAAAACACGACACGCAAGTTTCACCAACTTCTTGGATACTTCGTCGGTTGTGGTTGCTACAGTAGTTCGTAGACGACTGACGTCAAACGTCCAGCTTAGAATCTGGAGGAGTCCAAACAAATCACAGGCAAAGCTCACCTGCAGTCACTGTGTAAATCTGCCTTTTGGGCAAATCGCAAAACATATTCATCCGCAATCTCAGAACGTACGGCGATCGAGAGCGCCATCTGCACGGCGCAGCACTACTTTGGGACGCTTCAAAGCTCCTGCCTGCTCCGGCTGTGCTGCTGGCCTCGAGGCTCTGGGCGAGCGCTCCTGCGAGAGCTAATTTTGGTGCTCATGTCAAAGGGTTCATCGACCTGTGTCAATGATTTCAGAGTGAAAGCACAGGCGCCTCAGCAGTTTGCAACCCAAATTGTAAGCTCGATGTTAAATGTGTTGCAAGCCTGTGCAAGCAAAACAAACACATGATGCACATACCACAAGTTACACCAACTTCTTGGACATCTCGGTTCAAAAAATGTTTTTCAGTTTTGGTGACAAGTCTGTAGACGACCTACCTTAACATCAAGCTGGGACTCTGACCACAAGCAAAGATCACAGAGAGTATGAAAAGAACAGTAAGACTATGTGAATATGTTCTTTGGGCCATCGAAAAGCCTTCATCCGCAATCTCAGAACACAAGGCAATCGAGAGTGTACATTGCATCTTGGCGCAGCAAACACATCAACTAACTGAATCACAATCTATCATGCCAATAATTGGGACGCTTCAAAGCTTTGCATCCTGCCTGCGGGTCCGGCCACTGCGCTGCTGGTCTGGAGGCTTCGCTGGGCGAATAGCGCTCCTGCACGAACTCAAGCACGGCGCGACTCGTGTCCGAGGAATGATCAAACATCCGCGTCAATCATTTCGGAAGAGCAAAAGCACATGCCCCTGGTCAGCAGTTTGCAGCCCGGATCCACAACATGAGACACGAAGTCAATTGTGTTGCAAGTATCTGCAACGCATACTACACGCGGGCTACACCAAGTTCTTGAACATGTCGAATTAATATGTTTTTGTTGCGGTGACTAGTGTGTAGACGACCGACATCAACATCCAACTGAGGTTCTGGAGGGCTCGAGCAAATCACAAGCAAGGATCACCGACAGCGCAAGAAAAACCGTAACCTGAGCTTTGAGCACATTGATCAGATCTTCACAAGCAATATCAGGACGCAAAGCGATCAAGAGCGCCATTTGCATCGTTGCATCTCGGCGCAGCGCGCATCAACCGATTCACAATACATTACACTTTGGGACGCTTCAAAGCTCATCCTGCCTGGTCGGGCCACTGTGCTGCTGGCCTCGCGGCTTCGCTGGGCGAGTAGCGCGCCTGCATGAAGCGTCAAGCGCGGGCCCGACTCATGTGCAAGGGGAAGTCAAGCCTCGGCCAATCCAATGAGTAAGAACGCCAAGCCGAACAGTCGAACACGTCACTAGACAGAATCGATGACAGCAAAACCACCTTCTTCAATAATACACTCGATACGCTGTCCTGTTCAGACCAGGGGCGCAACATAACCCACACGAATTGAGAAACACCAACCTCATGGGGAACAGTGTAAGACACATAGTTTCTTCCTAACAATAAAAGCCCCCGAATCATAAAACTGTTCTTCCGAAATTCCCAAAAATGCCAGGTCTGGAAATACTAAATTTGGAGCAATTAGCCAAATTTGAAACCAATACTAAAAAGCGATATTTCATGCCCAACTCCAGTATTAGGGCCCTAGGGGGCCTTTCAGAACCAACACAACATGTGTGGGGAAAACAGCACTCCTATAAGGGGGGCTCTGTTGTTTCTGAGGAAGGCGATTACGATTTGTCTACAGGGCCTTTCCAGCACCCTTCGAACAAAGAAATGACATCGCCAATTGCTTGAAACATCTCGATGCAATGGCCATCGCGGTCAAACATGTATTCAATCTACAAAAACTACTTAGAAACGTCAAGCTCCTCACATCCTGCCTGCTCTTCTGGCCACTGCGCTGCTGGTCTCGAGGCTTCGCTGGGCGATTTGCGCTCCTGTATGAAGAGTCAAGCGCGGCGCGACTCATTCCGACGGGTAATCAAGCCTCGGCCAATCTCTAAATAAAAACGCCAACGTCCCCGCCAAGCTGAACAGTCGAACAATCGATGAGGGTAACAGCTCTTCAATACATCGAATCGGCGTGACGGTTTCTCGCATTGAGACAAAGTAACACTAGCCTCTTCGACAACCGTACAAAAGTATATATTGTACAACTATAACTAAACATGTATAATATATATATATATATATATTATTTTCACAAACGTATATGTGCAACTGCAAACATGATAACTATCTACGACCCCTTGTCCAGCACCCTTTGAACAAAGAAATGACCATGCAAGTTCCTTGAAACAACTCGTTACAACGAGGTAACAAAGAGTATCGGCCATCGCGATCAATCATGCAATCATTCTACAAGAATAACTTAGAAAGGTCCCTCTTCGCGTTCTGCCTGCGCGTCTGGCCACTGCGCTGCTGGTCTTGAGGCTTCGCTGGGCGAATTGCGATCCTGCCGGGAGAATCAATTTCGGCGCTACATATGTCAAAGGTTGAGTCGATCACGTGCGTTATTCATGTCCGAAGAGTGAAAGGACAGGCCCCTCAGCAGTTTACAGCCCAAATCGCCAATTTTGAAGCTGAACGCCAAGTGAGCAGCGGTATTTTGCCTATACACTACTTCTATGCCTACGCGGAAGCTTCCGCAAGCCTACGCCACTGCAAAGGGTGCACAAGTCATCTTGCAGGAGCCTACGTGGACGTCTACGCGGCGGGCAAATGTTCAGCGCAAGTGTTTACTGCACGAAGTGCATTTTGACAGGTTCGGCAACTTTTCGGTACAAGTACACCACGCGAGGCGCACTTTAGCAGCCTCGACTCCAAAAACACCTGGCTACCTGAAAAGTTCTAGGCAATGAAAATAGCTTGCAAGCATACGTGAATGCCCAGCGGGGCCTATGCTAAGATTGTAGAGCAAACGACAGAAGGGTTGCACAGGAAGTGAATTCCAGTACACTTAACAACAGCATTGAACCATGTCTTGTTCAAAACATGCCCACGCGAAAAGCCTACGCTAAGGGTAGTACAACAACCTACGCGCAGAAGCCGACGCGAGCCGACGCCCCCAACCAGGATTCCAGGATTGCCTCCGCAAAGTACCTGCAGTGCTCTTTTTATATAAACCCTCTCATGTTTTATCAGACACCGTGTGTTGCAAGCGTCTGCCAGCAAAACAATCGATTTTAAACAAGTAATGCGCATACCACGAACTACAACAACTTCTTCAACATATAGTTTCGTTTTGCTGTTGAGGTCACCAGTTTGTAGACAGCCGATGGCCAGCATCAAGCTGAGATTCTACACAGTTCCAAACAAAACACAAGCAAAGATCAGCCACGGCATAAGCCATACAATCACACTGAGTAACACTATGTAAAGCTACATCGATGAAACCTGCATCCGAAATCGCAAACGCAAGTCGGTCAAGAGTGTAAGTTGCATCTCGCAGCAAACACATCAAATAACTGAATCACAATCCATCATGCCAACAATTGGGACCCTTCAAAGCTTTGCATCCTGCCTGCGGCTCCGGCCACTGCGCTGCTGGTCTCGAGGTTTCGCTGCGCGAGTAGCGCTCCTGTACAAAGAGTCGAGCATCCCACCACTGATGTCCGAGGGGTATTCCAACCTGCGGAAATCTCTGGAACACATCACCAGCCCGAATCGATGACGATAACATCAATTTCTTCAGTACATTCGACCGGATGTGTTCTCGTATTTCAAAGTGCGAGAAATCAAAACCATCATCGTGACACCAACCTCTTGGACAACCGTATAGTATCAAAACATAATTACGCAAATATGAACTATCTGCAGCACCCTTTCGACAAAGAACTGACCGCGCCAACTGCCAGAAACAACTGATAAAATGAGGGAACAAAGGATATCAGCCATCACGAAAAATCATGCAATATTTATGCAAAAACAACTGAGAAAGGTCGCTCTTTGCATCCTGCCTGCGCGTCTGGCAGCTGCTGCGATGGTCTCGAGGCTTCGCTGGGAGTTTGGCGCTCCTGCCGGGACCAACTTGCTCCGTATGTCAAAGGGTCAATCGATCATATTTATGCGTCATTCATGCCCGAAGAGTGAAAGCACAGGTTCCTTGTCAGCAGTTTGCAGCCCAAATCCACAACATGAGAACATGAGACAGAAAGTCAAAGTGCTGCAAGCTTCTGCCACCAAAACAAACAAAGCAAGGAAATAATACGCAGACCACATGCAAGTTTACACCAGCTTCTCGGACGAATCGACTCGAGTTTTTTCAGCTGCGGGCACTAGTTGGCCCACGGGTCATAGTGCGCCGTGCGTCATTCAGCCGATTTGCATGTTGTCGTGGGTAAGGGGGTTTGGAGGGGGATTGTCGCAAGTCGCAGCAGACGTCGTGCGTATCGGTTCCAGTTTTGCTGCTTCAGCTGGCTCAAATGTCCCCAGGTTCATGCCTGGCTCTCGCTTTCATTCTTCTACTTCGTTTGGCTGGAAATTCAGGAGCCTTCGGTGAACATCCGGTGCTCAGCCCGTTTTTCTTGGTTTGGCTTCCATACTTAGACTCAGACGCCGGGCAAATGCGCGCCTTTGCTTCCGCGGCACTGGTCGTGCTGCGGCAACACTTGCTCTGCCCCGGGCACGCATCAATTACTTTGGCTGCAGCTGCCTGGCGCCGGCGTCTCTTGTCGGCCACACATACTCCGGTGATGGCAGAGTCTTGGGCGAGCCTCGCAGACACGAGGGAGTTGGAGGACACTGATGCCTTCAGCCCCATTGATGGCCATGAGAGTTCGCGCCATCGAGCTGAGAAGGCAAAGTTCTACGCTGCCCAGACTGCTCACTCGGCACAAGCGAATAAGTCAATTTTGCAGACCTGGGATGTAGACGCCATGCTGGATGAGGCTGGGAAGGAGGAGGCGGCTGCATTTGGGGAGCACATCACGCGCAGCAGCATGCTGGGGTGGGATCTTGGTCGGACTTGGAAGATTGCTCCGCTGATTCTGAAAGTCAAAGGATCTGGCCTACCAACCTTCAATGCAGAACTATCCAAGTATGTTTACATGTGGATGTGGAGACAGCATGTTCTGCAGGCAGGAGGCTGGAAGGCTGCGGCCTTTCTCGACAAGCTGAGCGGCATGATGTGAAAACAATGCTGCGGATGAAGTAGTTTCGAAGCAATTCCCCACACACCGTGAACCAGCCAACGCCACGAATCCTTGTAAAACACTGTCATTTGCAGCCCTGAGAACTCGGGTTCGCGCCACGGCACGTTATGACCGGTTCTCCTACTAGTTGGTAGACAGCCGACGTCAACATCAAGCTTAGACAAGCGACTGACAGTCGACAATCAAGCAAATCACTAGCAAAGCGCAACACAAGTAACACACTAGTTAACACTGAATGTAAATTGCATCTCGGCGCAGCATACGCGTCAACTAACTCAATCACATTGTATCAAAACAATTGGGACACGTCAAAACTTTGCATCCAGCCTGCCTGCGGGTCCGGCCACTGCGCTGCTGGTCTCGAGGCTTCGCTGGGCGAATAGTGCTCCTGTATGAAGAGTCAGGCGCGGCACGGCTGATGCCCGAGAGGATATCCAGCCAACGTCCCCGCCAAGCCGAACAGTCAAACAGGTCACCAGACTGAATCGATGACAGTAACATCTCTTCAAGTCATCGAACCGGCGCGATGTTTTCTCGTATTCCAAAAAAGGTTGCGAGACATCATATCCATCATCGGCCAACCACATGATTAAACACCACTAGCCTCTTCGACAACCATGTAGTACACACATACGTATACAGTATGAACATATATGTACTGATGTGTTACCTATGTACGGCGCCTTGTCCATTGCCAGTTGAACAAAGAATGAGAAACAAGTTACAGCGAGGCAACAAAGGATATCAGCCATCGCGACCAATTATGAAATATTTATACAAAAACAACTTAAAAAGGTGGCTCTTCGCATCCTGCCTGCTTGTCCGGCCACTGCGCTGCTGGTCTCGAGGCTTCGCTGGGCGAATGGCGCCGCTCCTGCCGGGAGAACTAATTTCGTGCTCCGTGTGTCAAAGGCTTAATCGGACATCTGCGTCCATGGTTTCCAAAGAGTGAAAGAACAGGCCCCTCAGCAGTTTGCAATCTTGAAGCTTAAGCTAAATGTCAAATGTGTCGGAAGTGTCTGCAAGCGAAACAAACACAATCAAACAAACAAAACGCATACTCACATGCGAGCTACAACAACTTCTTGGACGTGTCGATTTAAACTTTTCCAGATGCGGTCACTAGTTTGTGGGCGACCGACACTAACAAAAGGCTGAGATTCTAAACCAAAGAACAGTAACTAACAAAGCAATACTCTTTTTGGCACATCGATGAAACATTCACCCGCAATGTCAGATCGCAAGGCAATCGAGAGTGTGAAACGCATCTCGGCGCAGCATACGCATCAACTAACTCAATCACATGTTCTGCCAACAAAACTAATCGCTTCAAAACTTTGCATCCATCCTGCCTGCGGGTCCGGCCACTGCGCTGCTGGTCTCGAGGCTTCGCTGGGCGAGTAGCGCTCCTGTACGAAGGTTGCAAGCCGCACGACTCAATGATGCTCGTACTCAGACAAAGGGCGCGAGAAATCAAAACCATCACATCGGCCAACCAAACCTGAGTAGCACTATATCCACTTCGAATCACTTCGACAACCAAACAATCTAAGTACAATGTATATATAATATCTATGTGCAAATATATATTACCTAGCCACGACAACTTTTCCAGCTCCGAAAAAGGAAATGACCGTGCAAATTATTTGAAACAGCACATTACAACGAGGTAACAACGAGTATCGGCCATTGTGATCACTCATGCACGCGTTTTACAAAAACCACTTAGAAAGGTCGCTGCCTGCGCATCTGGCCACTGCGCCGCTGGTCTCGAGGCTTCGCTGGGCGAATGGCGCTCCTGTAAGACAAGTTCCGCACAACACCACTCATGTCCGAGGGCGAAACACGTCCGCGAGAATCTTTGAATGAAATAACGCCAAAGTCCGCTTAGTACTACACTTTACTAGTTTTGCCCAGAGCAAAACGCAGCAAGCCTGCGCGCCCGGCCACTGCGCCGCTGGTCTGGCAGCAATGGGCAATTGGCTCTCCTGGGAAGGATGGAGCTTCTGGGGACCCGTATTTGGGGTCGGAAACTTTTGTAACTTGCTTTCATCTTTGCAAAAACTGAAACCAGCTTGTAGCCATCCGCAGACATATTATGAGCTTTTGTTTACCGGTTTCCACGAACCACGCACACGAAACCAGCCTTTAAAAAAAAGGTGAAGCTGACTAACGCAATTCCCAGCCCAGAATACACCAATTCATTGAAAGAGGCGAAGATGGACACCTTGCCCGAGCGCGCGCACACACACACACACTCACACACGCGCGCGCAAACACACACGCACTCGCAGCGCGCGCCCAGGCCCACGCGCACGCAAATCCACACCCGCGCCCAGGCTTTCGCCCAGGCACAGACACACGAGCAAACACACCCACGGTCACAGGCAGACTCAAACAGACACACGCACCACCCCCATACCCGCCCACCCACCCACCCACCCACCCACCCACCCACCCACCCACCCACCCACCCACCCACACAGCCACACACCCACCCACAGACACACACACACACACACGCACACAGGAACACAACACTTTGTAGGACGCAGAGGCGTCCCCAATAAAATTCTAGCGTGCCACCCGGAGCTTCGTTGGCCCAAGCCGCACGGCAGCTCTTGGATCCCCGGCATTGGTGAAAAGCTCAAAAAGTCGCCCGTTTTTGCAGGCTGGCCCTGCCCTTCTTTTTTCTTTTGCTTTTTCTTTTGGAAATTACATGGTTAGCCCGGCTAGACTGATTCTCTGCTGATCTGGCGTCTGTGGGACGCCTTGTCGTAGCCTGCTCTTGTGGATGCCTTGGTGGTCGAATGTCACAAAGTGCAGTGGAATTCTTGGACAACAGGTGTGGCACACACACGGAACTCCTGACAAGGAGTAGACGGCCCCGGCGATTGCCGCTATGGGCGTTGCCTGGAGACAATTGCGTACATCCGGCGCTGCCTGCACAAATGCCAACAACAAAGTTGCAAGAAACAGGAAGCCAAAAATCACCTCGCTTCTTGCAGACACTTGCTCCGAATTCGATGCACGATCTTGCTGGAAATTCTTCGCGAACTTACAGCTCTAACGCCTGGGTGTCTTTGACAGCCTGCGTATCTGGCTGTGTTCGTTGGTCATTCGAGAACGCACAGGCGCAAGCTTGTGGGCACGAGGCGCCGGCCGCGTTCAATGGTCGGAATTGATGTTGGTCTGGCAGTCGAATTTAAACAGCTCTATACGGGATCGATGGTGTATCCGAGAAGCTCCCCGTTAGCTACGTCTTGGAGCTGGACGGGGGGGTTTGGTAGAAATCCAGACCGCAAAACGGTTTCGACAAGTGTCCTGCGAGATGAGCTGCTCGTCAGCTGGTTATCTAGGAGAACCTTGCGGTCAATTTGGGGCAAACAATATGCGCCTCTTGCGCAGCATGATCTCGGCCATGGATCACAACATGGCGTAGGACGCTTCAAAGTTATTTGGTATGTCAAAAGACCAAGTTTGCACTACTGCGCGGCAATGTCCCTTCCAATGGCTGTGTGCAAAGTCTCGCCGTTGGTGCTTTGAAACAGTGAAGTGTCATCCATTGCCGGAGCTTCTTTGACCAGGATTGAGTCAAGGTATTCTAGCTTCTGCGTGTACGCTTGAAAACCACTGTTGAAAGCCAACAAGTTGCAAAGCCGACGTGAAACCTTGAGAGGGGCAGCAGGGCCAGCAACAACTCCGGCCAAACCAAGATCCAGCTGATTCTTGCTGCGGCCTCTTAAATTGCAGAAGAATGCGGCTCGACCAGCGTCCCGACCGCTGTTGACCAGCTGCAAGAGAAGCCAAAAGGGAACTGGTTGCAATAAATTTTCATCTGCCCTTGGGAAAGCTTTCCAGCTTGCAACATACAAGTTAAACCGGACAGAGACACAAAATGTGCGAATTCCAGCTAGGATTCTTAGGAAAGCCACTTCTGGATCAGACCACTCTGAAAAACTCACGCTTAGGACAGTAGGACGCAATGATATCCCAGCGTGCCACGCGCAGCTTCGTTGGCGCAAGCCGCGTGGCCAATCTTGTGACAAACTCAACAAAAGTCAGCCTGTCTTGCAGGCTGCGACCCTGTGGAGGTCACTTCCTTTCTTTCTTTTCTTCTTTCTTTTGGAAATTACACGGGATGCCTTGTCGTAGCCTGGTTTCGCTGCTGACAAGGGGGGATGTTTGACAGGAATGTCTCCTGAAACCAGGCTGAAGGCTTTTGCTAGGGAAATCCGGCGGTTTTTGAGAGGCTCATTTTCGCATGAAGAACGGGCTCTCAAAAACATTGCCTGTCTCCCTGCTCTTGTGGATGCCTTGGTGATGGAATGTCACAAGGGGCAGTGGTAAACCTTGGTCAACAGGTGTGGCACACACACACACACGCCACACACAACACACACACACACACACCACAAGACATACCACACAACACACAACCCACACGCACACACCCCACGCAAACGCACACCCACTCCAACACCCACACCCACACCCACACCCACACCAACACCAACACCAACACCCACACCCACCCACCCACCCACCCACCCACCCACCCACCCACCCACCCACCCACCCACCCACCCACCCACCCACCCACCCACCCACCCACCCACCCACCCACCCACCCAACCAACCAACCAACCAACCAACCAACCAACCAACCAACCAACCAACCAACCAACCAACCAACCAACCACACACACACACACATGCACACACGCACACACACGCGCACACACGCGCACACACGCGCGCACCCACACACACACACACAAGAAATATGTACATGTACACCTACATATATATATATATATACACATATATGTAAAAGGAACCATATATGTGTGTATTTAAATATATGGTCGGGCCCCCGTGTTCACCGTTTGCTTCTTGAAGTCCTTCAAAATAGTGTCTGTGTATTGACAGTACACATTCGGATGCCAGACTCCCTGGCATCGCGATTTTTATTAGTTGTAGACTGATGTTGAAGATGCAGAATCATGAAAGATCATGAAAGTGTGTCTGCGTGTGCGTGAAACCCCTGCCGAATTCTGCCGCTGGGGGCATTCCACGTTGAGTTGGGCATGCCAAACAGCATGCATTGCACAAGCGTGTCCTTGTGTTCTACGGTTGCAAAGTATAAAACAACACGTTTGTAACAAACGCGGTGGTTGACTCTTCCTAAGACATGCAAGTGCATTTTAACCAAGGAAATACTCATTTCAAAGTAAACCAGTTGACAAACACATGGAACTCCCCAAATATAAACAACTTGGCTACCCACTTGAGAAAAATCCCATCAAAGCAACCTCTGGCGGAGAACAAAAATCAGCCCCAAATTGGCAGGGGGGGGGACAGGGAGGGGTTGGGGGATTTGGGGGGGGGCAGGGAAGGGGTTGGGGGGGGGGGGGCAGGGAGGGGGGGGGGGGGGGGGGTGGGCAGGGAGGGGTTGGGGGGGAGGTGTCGGTTGTCAACGTTTGCAGTTTTGCCTTGGGTTCTCTGTTTGTTTGACATCCCTCACACAACCCACACAAGTGTCCGCAAAACAACAAACACAGAGCTTGTTGTTGTTTACTGAACAAAGCCAAACACCAAACAAAGTGCGGGGCAACAAGAAAGCTAACAATCCTTGAGAAGCCCAACAAAATTGAGGCTGAAATCATATATTAACGCTCAACAATTGTTTTTTTTTTTTTGTTGGTGTTCTCGAGTTTGTTTCCTTCAGTTTGTCCATCAAGTATTGTTGTGTTTGTTGAGATCTGCTCCCATTGTCCTTTCTCAATGTGTGACCATACACACTCCTTGGGCTTCGATGTGCATTGAAGCGTTTTACTGACTACCTTTTTCCGGCACTGTCGCGACCTCAGTCTAGGTTCGACTGGAAAGACGAAGTTCTTACCAGCCAATTAATTCAACAGCTTGCTATAACCTCTTGACTCAAGCCGCAGAAGGCTCCTTACAAAACTCCTTACAAGGCTCCTTGCAAGGCTCCTTGCAAGGCCCATTGTAGAGTTTCTTCTTGGGGGGACTGTACCAGGGGCGGGGGAGGGGGGGAGAAAACAAGATACTGCACCATATGTATTTATAAACATGCATAGGCACATACATAGATTCACCCAACGCACGACAAACAGCTCCAATGCAAACGGCCTTCGAGTCTGGCCAGGCTCTGGAGGCTTCGCTCGGATGGCTGTCCTGTGCATTGTTATCACAGGGATAGAGTGCCCAACCCCCCTCGAACTTTTAAGCAAAAACAATTGCGGAAAGGGCCAGCGCAGAAAGCCTTTTCTGGGAGGTGCTGAAAGGGGGAGGACGTGGTAACACCCCCGTGTCTGGCAGCTCATTGAAAGGGGGGAGGGGTTTGTGTAATCTGAGCTTTTGCAACTGTCTGCAGTGCGACGGGACAGCGTGACTTCAAGATCGGGTGCGCCGGATGCGCTTGTGGTGATACGCAGCTAAAAGGCAGACAAAAGAAGGCAGATACTAGACAATAGTCCTTTCACTGGTGATTATTGTATCTGTAACGCCATGGTATTGTACTATGCAGTGTCCTAAACTACCCTTGGCTAAAAGATTTGACCACAATGTGCATTCACAAGCTTGCAGCCCTGGCAGCTTCTTGTATGCAGAATGTTGCTGCCTATCCCAGCAGCTTGATTGGCATGCAGCCTGTTCAAATTTACGGAAGTCAAACTTACGCCAAGGTATTTCGTGGAGCTTGCACGCGCACTGGCTTGATCTAACCTTGCCCTTACATAAGGATTCGACAGCTGTGCTCGGAGAGGCACCCGCCTGGTCAGGCCATCCTGCTTGTCTGGAAGCTTCTTGAGGAAAAGCGCCGTCCTGAGGGCAAACAAATCTGATCTTTGCAGTCTGCTGTGTGTGCAGGTCGTCTGCAGAGAGCAAAGCACCTGCTGCAGGCAGAACACATCGCTCCCTCATATCCAGTCAAAATAACATTCGGCATTTGAATGCGGGTTCTCTTCATCTCAAGGCAAGCAGCTGGGAAGAGTTTGACCTGGTCATTATGGTTCTCTCTGTTACCTCTGATCATTCTCGAGGGGCATCTACCTTGATACTTGGTGGATACTGTATTTACCGACCGTCTTTGCTAAGTTTCAGTCATCATCGCATCGGCATCCAAAAGCACCACGCTAGTCCACGCGCTCTTGGCCAAACCTACAACGCTTTGCCCTGGTGCGGCTGTGACGAACAGGGATCCTCATGTCCTAATCTCAAATCTGAGGGCTAGCGAGACTCATTCGCAATGTGCCCCGTTTGCAGTGTGCGTTCTGACATAGGATCATGGGAGCAGCGTTCAACATGGATTGAGATGTTTGTTCTACCATTGCTGTTGTGCAGGTGAATGCCAACAATTCCTGTCTCCATCAAACCAGAAACTAGGCTGATGATCTCTGGCACATCAAACTTTGATTTGGCGGAGCCCTTTGTGGATAGTGTCAAAACCAAAAGAGAGGGTCCAACTCATCCTGACACAACTGCCGCGTGAGCAGCGCCCCATACCTCTTGAAGCAAATACAAGGCATAGGCCACTGCTACCACTACCATCCACTGAACCAGCCAATAGGGGTTTTGGGGGTTTAGGCGCTTGTGTCATTCTGAACGCCTGCAGTCATTGGATTGTTCCCTATGTGAGGTTCGGACCGCAGAATGTGTTACATGGTCAAAACTCCTTTGTGGTCATGGTCATGTTTCCCTGAACCGGAGCCTAAACCTCTATCTAATGGCGGATGGTCTTTTGACGGCATCACCTTTCCGCAATTACAATAATTGCCCAAACCTGAAATCAGGGATCCCCATTTGATCCCCCAACCCCCAATTGTCGATTGGTGGTTTGGTTTGGTGGTTTGGACAGGGGCTACTTCCTCATGGCTTCAACAGGAACTGGGGTTCAAATCCAAATCCAAATCATCAACTAAGGGCTACCCAAATGGGAATTCGATCGATCTTTGCGTTCTGCAGAAATTCATCGCCGCCTGAATGCTGGACCACTGGATTGCTGCGCTCGGGGCCGCAGATTCCTCCGTGGTACTGGAGAAAATCTGTCTTTCCAGTCAGATTGGCGCTGAATACTGAACGACAAATTGGAGTAATGCTTTGCCAGCCCTTGGCGGGCGAAGACAACTTGTTTTTGGTTGTGCCCCTCACAAAACCCAGGTCAAACACCAATGTATTGAGAAATATCCTTCTGTCGCATCCTCTTTCTTGGTTGCGGAAGATTTGGTGATGCCCAAGACTAGCTCTAAGATGCTAACTTCTTACATGAGCTCAAAAGAACCTGACCAAATGTTGGACCCTGATTCCTTTCGATTCTTTCTTTCAAGGACAACATCTAGGGCCTCCGAGAATTTCTTCGGCACGGGGTCAACCTCTTTTGCCATTGACTTGAAACAAACAACCGATCGCCCAAACAGGGACCTTACACTGTCGAACTGCATAGCCTCTGCAACGCTGAAAAGGAGGAAGGACATCATGGCCCCTATCAATTTCTCTGGGAAAGCACCAATCACAAAACTGCTTCAGCGCTCCATTGCTTGCATTGAACCTCTTGAGAAAGCGGACCGTGCCATGAGACTGGCGAGAGGCGTGGGTCCAAATGCCAGGCTTACGCCAAGCTGAACACCCGGGACTCAGCTGACTTAGGTTTGTGAGTAAGGCCTCGGGTGGCAACAGAGACAACACTCAGGGTTCTTTTGTTCCCGTTGATCAAAGCCGTTGAACCTCACATGCGGGGGAGTCACATGACCTGCTTCTCAGCTTGGCTACACATGCCGCGCGTTGCAACGACCAATGGCGTGAGTGTATGCAGAATATATCATGCCCTGGCGCTGGCAAAAGTAAATCCGAGCGCACCTTCCTTGAACGTTGATCGAGTGTAAGCCTAGGACTTCAAGTACCATCATGCAGGGATATAAGATTCAAGACGGGCCCAACGTTTGAACGCTTGCCTTCCTCTCCTTTGCACTCCCAGCCTCTTTTGCCGGCCAGGTCAAGGTTGGCGGCATGAACCGGTCAGCCTCACAACCAATGTGTCAAAGGAATATACTGTTACGAGATATGCTGGGCAAAATGACCATTCTGTGCACTAACATGGAATCTTCCAAGGGTCCCTAGTAGAGGAACATCCGGGATCCAGTCAAGAAGACATGGACAAACTGGGAGAACCCTCTGGTAGAGAATTTAAGGTCCTCCCTAAGCTAACAGACAATGCTCATGACTTCTATCGTGGACTAAGTAATCCACGTGCCCCTCCTACAGCTTTGCTCTGGCTGAGTCCAAGCCTCAGCATATCGCCGGCCCATGCTGTGCGCCACTGAAATGCCTTTCAACCCAAGGACGCCCACGTACTTTCGACCCGAAAGAGAGTCCACATATCTTCACCAAACTGGCCAACCAAAAATAACAAGAACCACCCCTGCATGCCCCATGCACGCAGCCTGAACACATTTTGCGCACATAGGTCTCTCGTGTATCAATCCTTGCCGACCATCCCCGCCATTGGGCCAACTTTCCAACAGTCACTGCGCCCGCCCTGCTGCGGCGCCTCCCCGTGTGCCACAACGGTGCCCTGGCCAAAAGCTGCCGCATGGAAAATTCTTAGTTGCTCTGTCTGAAGCAGCGAAATCGAACGGGCCAACCATGACGTGGAAAATTTGGAGTCAGAAGGAAAATGGTATGATTTCGACAAAAAACAACTTCTCATACAGAATGATGCATTGTTTACTCATGGCCCAACGTTGTGATAGGGCCAACCACATTGATGCTCTGCTCAAACTCTGGCTTCGACAAAACACACCATCTCATCTGGAAGTGCTAAGTATCAAAATTCCTCATTTGTGACCCCAACATCTTCCCGCTTGAGGACGGGACGCTTGCAGGTGAAGCTGGCTCAAGGCATTTGGTAAGTTTTTACAGTAGGCAAACAAACTGAATATGGCTGTCATTAGCTTGTAGGGGCCGTTGTTTTTGCACACTGGGACAATACTATCGGTGCTTGAAAAGGATAACAACACCTGCGACCATTTGTACCATTCCCAAGAAAGGGACAATTGGCCAGGAGTCAAATCCACATGAGGGCAATGATGCCTGTCCGCAAATCGGAGAAGTGGGAAAGGCTTACGGCATGGGTTTGCACCCAAAACGCATTCCCCGCCCCAAAGAAGGTTTCTGCTTTTCCACCTGCAAAAATTACATTCGACAGGACCAAGATTGGTACAGAACCTTACATCGAGACACCCGGGCCTTGTGCCGCATCATTAAGTATCCTGATTTAGCACATCATTTCCGTCGGCTACTGGCCAGCAGCAAGAGTTTGCAAGATGCCAGTCGAACTGTTCACGGACACCAGACGTAAATTGTCGTCCTTATAATCCCCTGGCACCCCTGGATCTCGCTCACCTTGCAAACCTTGCAACGCGCATGAAAACGCTAACACGATCGAGGGCACAATAGATTCAGCTGGAAGGATCACATGCTTTCCCAATGCGAATGTAGCCAAAACAATGCACCTCAGTGCTTCAGCTTACCTCTCAATTGCCGATTACAACAACCAAATTTGTATTCCCCTCACAACCAATGCAGGACTAATATAGACTGCAAGCCGCAGATCCATAATTTTGGTGAATCATGGCAGGTCATCCCGATTCCCAATCAACGGAGTGGCGTGATTACCAGTAGAGCCGGCAAAACCAGTGGGCGGAAGCTTCCAAATGTGAAAACTTTAGTTTGTTTCTCTGCTTTGCTTCTGCATTTTCTTCTTCTTGCTGTTTGTCGCCGTTCATTCGTTCGGGTTTTAATTGTGTCTGTTCATTCCTTTTTTCCTTCTTTCCAGCTCTCTTTCTTTCTTTCTTTCTTTCTTTCGTTCTTTCTTTCATATTTTCTGATGTTTGCTGTTATTTATGTATTTGTGTCTTCTGTTTTCTTTCCTTTCTTTTTGTGTGTCTTTCTTTCTTTGCTTTCTTTCCGTCTTCCTATCTTTCCTTTCTGCATTTTTTGGTTTTCATATGTTTTTTGCTTTCTTTCTTTCTTTCTTTCTCTCGTTCTTTCTTTATCTTTCTCCGCCTACCTGGCTATCTATTTGGCTACTTGTCTATCCACCTGTGTGTCTATCTGTCTGTCTGCTGTCTGTCTATCTATATTTCTATCAAGCCATGAGTCTATCTACCTATCTATATATCATCTATCTAGCCATTCAGCATAATTCAGCTATTTACGCATTCCCGCTCTCAAGCGGCAGCAAGTCAATCTAGAAGCTCTCCCTTTGCTTTGGCGCGGGTTTTCCTTCCAGGGGCTCATTTGCGTTCTATCTATCTATCTATCTATCTATCTATCTATCTATCTAGCCATCTGTCGCGCCTGTGCGTGAATCGAGTCTTTTGCAACGTTGCGTGTGTTTGAGATTTATCTGTGGAACATGTGTTTGAACACACCTTCCGGGATTTCTGCTGATTTCTTTCGCAGTGCTTTTAGGAACGTTTTGGGGATGTCTTGGAAGATGTCTTTGGGGCTGACGTTGGGGCTATATTGGCGCTCTATGTCTTTGGACATGTCTTCGGGAATGGTTTGTTCGCGAGGGTATTCTCGTGGATGGTTTTGGGTATGTGTTGGGGAATCCTTTTCTGTGTCGACCGCTTTCAAGGGTGCTAGGTGTTTCTTCCGTTATATTGTGGGGACCGCGTCTTTGGGAATGCTTTTGGGGTTGTATATGCCTGCCTTCGGGTTTGTGGCCTCTATCAGGTTTCACATGTCCATTCCCCCACTACACGTAGCGCGCTTTTTGCCCGCGTGCTTATATGCGGCATGTGCTGTCAGTATTTCATCTGGAAAGACATCTCATCTGAAACTTTGCCCTATCAAGGGTCGTTGCTGCAACTCTTGACTCTGCCCGAAGTCTCTCTTCAACCCTGCCTGAACCACTGGAGAGCTGCCCTGGCACACTGGAAACATGTTTGGCTACCAAGGAATCCAGGTAGCCACAGACCTCCCAATGTGCATTCAAAAGGTGGCTTTTTGCCGTGCGGGCACTGGCAAGGAAACCAGCTCAGCTGTTAAACTTGCCTGGTGGTGCTTGATGTGCCTAGGTTGTGCTGGGTCGCAATGCAAATGCATCTTCGCATACTCGTGGTTGTGGAAGCGTGCCGCAATCTCGGAGAGAATTATAATAGGGATGAGCAGAGTAGCTTTTGGTTTCTGCCAGCGAATTGTTTTCTCAATTCATGTGGTTGTGTGTGAAGGTTCAAGCCAAAGCAGGTCAGCGCACAAATAGACAAGGGACTGCCAAAAGTGTGTTCTTTTCGGAGCTTCGGGAAACCATGGCAAACACTCGAGCCGTGAGTCGATTGTCTACATGGAAAGAATACGGTATGCTGACAGGGTCTGCCCATGGCTGATGTTGATGAGGCACAGCAGGCTAAAATCATATCCTATCATGACCATCGCCAACTATCCCAGCCAACCCTGCGCGGATTCCATGAACGCCCGGACTTGTTCTGACCATCTCCTTCCAGCCGATCCAACCAAACAGTCGAAAGTCTCCATCCCAAAACGCACACCTGCAGGCGAGGGTGACAAGAATCGGTGTTTTCTAAGTGCCACGGACAATTCATTGTTTGGCCAGCGGAGGATCTAGCAGTTTCGGGGCACAAGGAATAGGGTGTTTCTAACCTGCTTAAGCTGCTGATGACACAGGCCCTTAGTGTCCCTCCTCGACCAAGCGTTAGTTGCCACGATCAACCTGCTCATGGCCCGAAACATCCTCAGCCTTCCCGCCTGAGACCCGCCGGACAGGAGTCTGCCCTGCACAGGTTCATTGCCAGTTGTTCGGCTGATGCACAAATGTCACAGGGCCAAGTGAATGGAATCTTCAACATCGTGGCTTTAGCTATCTCGAATGAGATCGGTCCTGAACGCAACACTACATCCACGGGGGCACTAAACGGGTGTGAACTTGAGTAAAAGACCCTTGGTCCGTTGGCGGACATCAAAATTCGGTGGGGAGTCGTGTCCACCAACCAACTTTTCAGGCGGTTCCAACAAACAAAAACGCAAACGACCGGAGGACCGGGCCCGAATCGGCCCAGGGGAAGAGGAGGACGGAGATGTGTCCTGGCAATTGCCAACGTCTTCGACCGACCAGCGGAAGTCTTTGCTTGAAGCGTTAAGCAAAGTGCGCCAAGGAAAGCCAGCATCCCCAACCATGGATTCCTTGCCTCCCACATACGCATATACAAATACATATTTAGACCTAATATCAATCTATATATATATATACATATTACATTAAGTGGGCTCCGTTTAATATGTGTTCATACCTTGCGTATTGCAGTGAATGGCGATGAACGTGGGATCATGGCAGGTGGGGGCAGGCCTGGGCCTGGGCCACTCCCAAATTGCCCAAGAAGTCGAACTCCATTTTCCCTGTCTTGCTGGTTCGTTAGGCAGGGAATGAGAAATGGAATCACCCCTAAAACCCATCCCCGATTTGGTGTCCTTTGAGGAAATCCCTAGGTTCATTCCCAACACCCCCGGGTTATTCCCTAGTGAGCACCAGCTATTGTTGACCCAGGATTTATAAACCCGTCCCACTATTAGGGCCGATCAAAATCAACTAGGGGTTTATTAATCCGGGGCCAACATTACACAGTATTTCAACTTTTCAGGGGACTCCCTAAAGTCCAGCATCAGCCGATAGTAAACCCTGGTTGCCTGCTACGTACTGTGCATCAATCATGCCGGCGTGGAACTAATTCAAGCCATGCCATCATTACGCCAGTACGGCCATTACGCATCCGTTGCACATCTGCCGCCGCCCAGTTGCACAATATGGTTCAAGCTGTGTATTTCAGCCACGTGTTGCAAATGTTGGTCCGGAGAAACAAGCTGTGTGTTTCAGCTGCCATCTGCTCCAAATCTTGGCTTTCTGGAGTTACAAGGGATGTCTTTTCCCGACTTGCACACTCCGATGCCCCAAGGGTGAGTCACCCCAGGCCATTCCGACCGATCTTCCAACGCCCCTGGCCTCGCTGGGGGCCTTGGTGTCCAAAACTCTGACAGTCGGCCCAGAACTGTACAGTGCGTCTATTTATAATAGCTCAGGGCAAATAATTCACAAATGTTGACCCAATCGTCGCCGGTACTTGGATGCCGCTTGACAGGACGAACTTTGTGCCGATACCTGCCTGTCCATTCATGTTGGCCCCTATCTCCATCATTGCCGGTTGCCGAGAGTCACTGGACGTTCGGTGCTGCTCTTTTTTGCCAGTTTTGTTGACACGATTTGGACAACAAACAAGAACCCGTGCAAAGCCGCACGAAAATATTTATGGCATAGTGGCTTTAGATTTGTTGAATCAGTGATTTGCCTAATACCTGGCTCAGTTGCGAGGCTGTCTTCAAACCCGAACCTTCTCAGCTGGAGAATCTGCAGGAGTTCAAGGCCCCTGTGAGTCTCTATGGACGTCGCTAACAGCAGCCTATATTATAAGGGTTGATCAAAAGGTCCTTTACATGGGATGACTATTGGGGAAACCGCCCAACCCACTACATGGGAAAAGTTGCCCATGCTCATTTTGGGGCCAGGAAACTAGTAGAGTCATACAATGCCAACGAATTTATGCTAACTCACGTTATTGTATGAACAATACTTAACTGCACTACTCTTTCAACTTTTGAAATCTGCTAGTTCATTTACTCTAAAACATGTCATATTCTAACTGCTAGCCCGCCACCATATGGTGCTTTCCACTTTCTTGACAACATACTGACATAGCACCAAGGTTTCACAGAGCTTAGAGATGTCAAGCATGTTCGGGATGCACTGTGTGTCTGCCGATCTTACTGTTGGCACTGTTGCGCGCAAAGATGCCAAAGGAAGCTTCCTAGCCTTGGCACTATTGAATCACTATTGGCCTTGTAGGGGACCTTCCGCAAACATAGCATACCTGCATAGAGTCGGCAGCCTGTGTCAAGTTGCTTCATGATCCGGCCAGCTCATTCAACAGAAACAAAGACTACAGGCTGCAATCAACTCTCTCGAGGGTTTGAAGGAACCGCTTGAAGTCTCGGGTGTGAGCCCACAACATCAACCATGCGACACAAGTCATTCTATCTGCCTGATCCCCTGAAAGGGAGTTCCAAATCCAACGATTTGTGCAGGAAGTGCAAAAGGCGGGGTTCTTCCAACTGTCTCGTTTATTCATATATTTATTCTAAATTATAGTTCCAACTGTCCTCATTTATGCTAATTGGGTCTTTGCTGATCAACGGAGTACACGTTATTCTAGCTGAGGAGTGGACGGAGTTTGGATATTCTATCTGCTAGACCGCCGCTTTCAGTACATTCAAGGGTAGCTGCAGCGCCGCGTGCTCTGCTTGACCATTTGACTTGCACTGACAAACCCGAGATACTTGCATGATGAGTCTGCGAAAATGCGCGGTTTCATGTTTGTTCCTGAAATGTTCAACGCTTGCTAATTTGCTAAGAAATGCCGACTGCATGCCGCCTAGCTGCAATTCACAGAGTTTGTTCTTCTCTCTGATCTGCTTGTTGGTCGGCTGTGTTAGGTTCAAGTACCACGTGCAAACGACTGCGCTTGCTCAAACAAGAGTGTCACCATCATGCAGGGATGGGCCAACCCCTTGTTCAAACATGTTTAAGCCCCATGTTTGGCTATTGACGAGGGTGAGGATGAGGATGAGGATGGTCCATCGTTTGTCCCAACATCGCACTTGTATCTTGAGTATAAAGCCTCCGTGCCGATTACACTGCCCCTTGCCTCCGCTGCCTTCTGTGATAAAGGAGCATTGTCCTGGTGTGTTGGGTTCAAATGGCACCAGTGTGGTGCTGATTCGGTCAGTATGCATTGGATAGAGGACTTCCAGGGCGAATTATATGCTGCCCAAACCCAAGGATCTCCTCTGCTTTTTGCCAGCTGTCTGCGTGCCGTGCTCTTTGCGGCCGCAGGGCTATCGAATGCGCCGAGTCTCTGCGATGCTCACTACTCCCCCACTGTGATATGCTATTTTGTATGTGTGTGATTGTGTTGCTGGCGCAACATCTTGAATGTGCCACATGTTCCCATGTCCCCATGCACCAGCAGGCTGTGACTCGCGCAGCAATTGCCAACTTCAAACGTCACCCCACTGCGCAAGGCGCAAGCTAAGAGGGATCGCTCTCTCCCGCGTCACCCCCGCCGCCTAAAGGGGATCACCAGGACTTTCGGTTCAACGCCCCGTTCAGAACGGGCATGACCAGCGGCTCCAGCCGCCCAATCTTCTGCTCGATGATCTCATGGTAGCTCTCTACCCTGAAGCCACTGAACAGCGCAATGCAAATTTCAGGTTCCTTCAGTCAGAATCAATCCTGGTGTTTAAAGGGAATTTCCCCCACTAACAAAAGGCACCTATGATAGGAGGATGTTGTGATTGAGGTTCACAGTTGAAGTAATTCCCAATTATATCTGCTATCTCTTGCTTCAGCATAACCTAGGAACAGCCATCTTCTCATCCATGGTGCTTCTTGGGCACATCACAGGCATTCCTGAACGCCGAGGAAGGAACTCCTGAAAAAAATACATCGCCATGTGCTGATTGAACTTAAGCACTGGTTTCAGTGAATTCACTTAGGACTTGGGGATATGCGTGCCCTAATAGGGTTGTTCGGTCCTCCACCCCGGAGTTTACAAAAGTGACCAACTCGTGTGTCTCTTTCTTTGGGGTACCCCACAATTTGCTTGGCTTCCCTTTAAAACCTCCAAACAAATAGGGAACCCTCAGGGGAAGCCCCCGAAATTGGTGCCTGTCCATTTAGCTTTCCTTTAAAACCCCAAAATCTTCCAGTTGCTTCAGTCCTGGGAACCAAATAACATGTCCAGTTGCGATACCAACGACTTAAACCCTTCAAAACCACTTAAGACCAACTCCAGATTCCCTTTCAAGACCTTTAAGGTCTGGAAAAGAGCTCAACATATTTCCAGCCACAGATTCCCTGAACCAGTTGCTTTGCAAATGGACGACACGGAACCAACTTAAGACGGTGCCATTTCAGCGCAGCCGCCGGAAGGCCCAGTTGCGCTCCACGCACTCCCAGGCGAGGCCTCGCGTCAGGAACCAGCGGCCCTTCTCGCTGAGGCGGCCCTTGTGCACCGCCTGCCGTGGAAAACGTCTCTTGACAAACGAAAAACCGAAATCGAATCGAGCGGTCTCCTGTTTTGGCGTCCCTGGAAGATTTGTTCATCAAACAAAAAAAACAAGGGCCCTGGCGGGCCTTTGGCTTCCGAAAGAAACGCCACCCAGGAACAGGTACTCAGAAAAATGACAGACCCATCTCACGGCAATGGGCCCACTCCCTTCAAACAAAGGTGAACAGCATCTTTTGCAACATCCCCACCCTGCATGCTGAACCAACACACACCTCGTTGGGTGGGGAAACTTATGGATTCCATACTTTTCCCATCCAACGAGGTCGGAAGCCCGGAATCTGAGTCTGCCCAGCCATGGCCGGGCCTTCCATCGCAGCTTCAACAGCTTCATCACGATATGGCCAAACGCACCACCTCAGAGCTCAGGCGCTCCGATCCCCTTGGTTTGGCCCCAATCCCACGGTTTGACCCCACCCGAAGCCATCCGTAAGCACAGTGCCGCTCCTGGCGCGCTCTTGAACCAACTGGGGGGTTCTGGTCAGGGTATTGACACGGAACCCAGTAGCAGCTTGACTCGAAAGATATGTGGATCTGAGTATCTGAGTATATTCTTCAGGTTGTTGCTGTTGGTCTGCTTTGCTCTCAAGAACAGGTTGGTCCAAAACCCATGGTTCCCAAACCCAAGAAAAGGGGTACCCGGTACCCGTTTTGAGACAAACCTAACATCTCTGCCGTGGCGCTGGTGAACCTCTGCGCCACAGCTCGGGCCACTTCCGCAGCCGAGTCCTCCTCCGCAGCCGAGTCGCTGACAGGGATAGCCTCGCCGTACCGCGCGCTTCGCCTCGAGAGGTGAAAGAAGTCCTACTCGGCAGGCTGAACAGAGCTCTATGGGAAGCTGCAGATTTGGCAGTGGTCAAAATTTGCAAGCTTGCTGGTGGTAAGTGCTGGTGGTAAGTGATCCATCTGGAGAAGATCGTGCGCGGTCGCAGAATTTAACAGTCTTGCTTGCGTTTGAATGGTTTTGGCACCAAAACTCTCAAACTGGCAGAATCAAACCTGCTCCAAAGATCACCTAGTACAGCACTGGGATCTCTATATTTCGCCTTTGCAACATCATCCCGTCTAGAGGAGACTCTCTTTGAATTGCTTGAAAAGGTGATGTCCAAGATCAGCAAAAATCAATGGTCACTGCCCAGCAGTTGCCTTGCGACTAAGGCACCTTGCCTCGGCCGCCTTGTGCTCCTCATGCTCACTGTGCTCACTGCTAATGGAGTGGCACTTTGGCCTCTCCCACCGATGCTCACGGTCGCGGAGCTGTGCGCGACGGCTTTCGCTGCGGCTTCGGCTGCGGCTGCGGCTTCGGCTGCGACTTCTGCTTTGGCTCCAGTCACCTCGCAGAGCAACTGCAAACCTATCTGTTTGATTCATCAAAATCGAAACCTGGCTGGGGAGTGCAACTTGTGCCTTGAACGTTTCGCAGCAATACACAACTGTCTCATTTACCAGGAGCTGCAAAAGACCGGGGCATGCATCATAAGCGCCCAATGATGCCCAATGGAACGATTGAATTGGCAGCAAACTTGTGACAAAGCACAGGCAAAGTCTGTAAAACGCTGTTGCTCAAAGCTGCGACTGGAGCTTGACGTCTCTCTCCGCGACATCTCGCGGCGTGGCTCGATCCGTGTCCGTCCGCGGAACGCACCCCCCTGGATGTACGGGGCGTTCCGCAGCAAACGGTCCCAGAAGCTCACCTCGTGGGGGGAACCCAAGGCGCTGCTTTGTTGGTCTACCCTTAGGCCCCCCGCCCCAAATCCACACAAAGGCACCCTCAAAGGTACACACACACACAAAAACAAAAAATGGATTCCCGAAGCCGCAACCGAACGCACCT